GTGAAGTGTCAGAATTCAAACGAGTAAATAAAAGTATAGGTAGGTAGGTACCTTACCTACATTGTCATAAGGGCTGCCCGATATTGGATTTCAGTTATCGATTATCAACAAGTGTGTTATCGATAAGTATATACAGGCTGTTTCAAATTATATTATATATTATATGCATGAATATCTTAGATACTGTTACTGGCAAAGTTACGCAATCAGAATACCGACAAGACAAAAAAATCCGCCTATTTCAGGAGATATACATCAGGATAATGCGAAAAAATGAAATTTGGTTTTTATTTTTCCCTGACTTCATTCAGCGACAAAAAGAAAAAAATATTCAACATTGTCATGGTAATTTTTTAATTTCATAATTTTTTGTTGCCTGTTTTGATTTGACCCTAAATCACGTTTCACAGTGTTGAGGAAGATAAAATTTCATTCTGAATACGTATTTATGCCTATTTTTGACACTCTAATTCAGTGACGGCTCGTCAGGGACGGCAGGGTCGGCCGGGCCGTACCAAATAATTTGGGGAAAATTACTGAACTATTTGATGAATAAAATTATTTTCCGAAACTGTTTTCATAATTCATCGCTCATTATCCTACTGTTATGCCACTATTATTTGAATTTCATTCATGGAACCTTTGAGTATGCCATCCGCATATACACCGAAAATCACGAACTAATTCAGGACCTACGACATCTGGTAATCCCATCGTCAAAACGCCGCTTTCAGTTGAACGGCTCGCGTAGCTCATTACACTGATGCAGACGGCCGGCCGATCGGTGATTTCTTGTCTCGACGCATCGCCACAGGCATCGCCTACAGATTCCCCGCTTCAAGTTTAAATTTTCGCTTATACGCGTCATACCTTGGGTGCGGCCAAGCTCTGCTGGCCGTCCAACGTATCGATCGTACTTTTCAGTATTAGTTGTTTGCAGTGCGCTCGCTGTGAACCGTATCGAACCATTCCGACCTAATTTTTAATATACGGATTGGCATGATTGACATTCTATTTTCATTTTACATTGTAGGTATTTGAGGTAAATGAGATATCTGAAAACGCCTTTTCATACTAAAAAAAAAACATACTCGGGGTACTTTCAATATCGAAATCCAAGTGTTTACTTACTTTATTGCTTTCACATTCTGGAATTCACCTGCGTTGAAGCGATTATCATTTTTGATGAATTCCAACAATAATAGTCCAACTTGAAACTTGACTCAAATGTAAACAATGTCACAAATATAATGAGTTCTGAGGTCACGATTCTACGGACCAAACAAAGCGTTTCGGTTTCCATTTGAATTTATTTCAAATACGAAAAATTTTAAAATTTCCTTTTAGGCTCAAACGTAGGTAATAATTATCATATAAAAAACGCGGAACGACGCGATCGCCATCTGTTGGTTTTATGTGAATACAACATCTCATGAAATTTCAGTTAGCAGTGCCGAAGTTGCAAGATTACAGAATTACAGCAAGATGAGTGTGTACCGCCATCTATTAGGTAGGGTCCGAACCGGTCCGAACTACCAAATTCATGTTTCCTACTTTATCTTCGAAGGATATTGCAACGAAACCAAACCTAATAATCGAAAAATGGCGTCCTTGTGTCAAATTTCAGGTTTTTGTTCGAATGGAGACATTCCAGGAGCTGATATTTTGGTAACGCATTCCTAAATTTTGGTTCCATACAATGAGGTAATTTTATTAAAATCTGAGACACAAAAATTTTCAATGTTTACATTTTTCAAAGACCCCTAACTTTTTTCAATGGACGAGTTTTGACTCCGAAAAATACTGATTCCCGAATTTGAACCTTCCTCTTTACGATAATTCAATTAGTTTTGAGATTGAATTCATGACAAGGCCAGAAAGGTCAAATGAAAAAGGGTCTGCTAAACCATTTTAGTGAAACCCTCCTCTTAACTCCTAGCTTGAGCTTTCGTCCTTACGATCATCCAAACCGTTTTTCATTTGGACTTTTCGTTTGGCAGAAAATGGGGCTGGAAAATAGGTCTGCATAGCGATTGTCGTGAATCGTCGGTCTTAATATTTATGACAAAGTGACCTATGAACCTATTATCTTATCAATATCATTATGATAATAATTCGAAAATTTGGAAATCCAACTTTTTGTATTCTTAACCTATAAGTGATAACAAGTAGAATGAGGGGAGCTTAGTATCTTACCGCCTTTGTTCAATGGGCCATTTGCTAAATGATTAGTTAGAATAATCTTCATTTTTTTAAATATTTTGTTAGGTTAGGCCTTAGCCCGCAGAATCATTAGTCTTCTCATTTTATTTGTTTTTCCCCGTTCGCCCCTGCCCATAGTGCTGATTATGGGTATGAATGCAGTGATTGCTTATCTGACCAGTGTTGCCAATATTGTGATTTTCAATAATCCTAGGAAATTTGGTATGACCTTGGGTATTCTTGCTGATGTTCTCAGAATAAAAATTCCAAGTATAGACTATCCATAGTCAATTTCAACAAATCCAGCGTTATACGTTCGAAGATCTCAGTTCGAAGGGTCCGAAGTGGCACCGTTTGAATCAACTTTGTTCTATTTTAATAATAGGCATCTTCAAATTTATCAACTTGCGGTTACAAGTTACAAACAAGAACAACGCTATGTATAGGTATATCTGTGGATTGTATTTTCAATAATAGTAATTGAAAATTAGTTTGAATCATAAAGCGGCGTTCACCTAGTCGCCAATTGCTGCGGGTTCTTGTTTCTTGAGTTTTTTTTTAAACAACACATATAACTGGTATTTTTTCAAAATCTAGTGATTTAATATTTTTTTTGTTGGCAACACTGGATCTGACTCCAAATTATAGGCTGTTCGTTTGTATTGCTAAACTGGCTAAAGTTGATCTTTTTCCCATAGTTGTCTCTGTTCATGCCATGATGTAAACAAAGAAAGTCATAGAAAAAAATCAAGGGCTGAAATGAGCAAATGAGTATGAGAGCCATATGAGAGCAGAAACATACGGGCCTGTTCGTTTGTGTTTGCTCTACCTGCTGAACTTGATTTTTTTCTATGACTTTCTCTCTCTGTTTACATCATGTCATGAACAGAGACAACTATGGGAAAATAATCAGCTTTAGCAAGTTTAGCAATACAAACGAACAGGCCTACTGTCCCTCCCTACTGAGTTCATACTCACAAATTAAAATACATATGGCGGTCAATCAAATTTGTTAGCAAGTCAACAGAAATTTCGAAACGAGCACTTCGCCCACGTACAATAAAAAAAAACATCGTTGAAATGCAGTTCATGGCTCGCAGTATCTTTTCCAGTTAATCACTTCGAAAAAACAAAGAAGAAAACCTTTCTGGAAAAGGATTTGCATCCGGGACCTCTGGCTCATACATAGTTTGGTTCGGTACGTTGTTTAATATATTTACATACCATTGTATTTTTGGCAAAAATATGTACGAAAACAGTTTCTGATGCTCACTACGCGAGCGCAACTTTTTTGATTGGTCTAAATTTGTAACCACCTACTCTCTAGACTGGAGTGAATTTGGCTCTCGATTTGGCTGCCCTTTTTACTTCACACCGGTGGTCTGGAATGTTTTTATTTTATAATTGGAAAATAAAAATGAAACAAGGGATAGGTGGGTAAAAAATGAGAATGACATTTCTCTCCGATCATATGAAGAGAAACCTCCTAATTAACTAACAACAAGTCAAGGCTAAAGCCGGGAGAATCATGCACAAAATGTGACAAAAAGTATATTTTTTACACATAATGAACGTACCTTTTATAGTAGATACCCTATGCTGACACTCGTGAAAACATAGTTCATTAAATGCCATCTGAATCGCACATTCCACGATCACGCTATTAATTCGCGAAATTATCCTTTATGCACTTGCACTACTTGTTTTGGAAACATCCTTCGTTTGTCTAAATATTTGCAATGGATATGCAATGGGTCGTATGTGCGCATGCGTAGAGGTGAAAGCTGCGGCCGCGTCGTAGTACTTCGACACGGATTGTTTTGAATTTTGATGAATTTATTTGATCCACCACCGCATGAATTTGTTAAATTGATGATAATATGATGATTTCAAAATCGACTGGAAAGGATTGAAACACACACAAACACACTACAAACGGTAAACACGACTTGTGTTGAGATGAAATCGAAAGCATTTTGTTTCACTTTGGATAGGTAGCTAAAAAAACGAATCATTTGGGCTGAGTGGTTTTTCAGTGAACAAGATAACATTTTTTGTCCCAAAACTATCCTTGTTTCAAGGTGTATATAGCTACTTATTTTATAGCGAATATTTCATTGTCCTTATGCAAATTGTAGAGTCACATTCTGATAAGATTTTTCAGCATGTGACAGTACATACTAACTTCTTTACACTTGAAACCTAGAATGTTTTTTCTTAGTGAACAGGAATAAGTACATATTTGAGGGACATTCCCATTATGCGCGTACACTGTGTACCTATTCAACACGCAAATTACAAGCATTTAGGTATCTGATTATTGATCTGCACACATGTGACCTTGAAAATCTGTAGGAAAACGAGGTCTCCGTGATGTCTGGTGCCCTTGCGCATCGACCTTGAAAGTTTGAGGTCCCTGGACCCTGATGGATTCCGATCACATCAAAAATAAACGTAGGTAAGGTGAAGTGTATATTGTAATCTACCATCATAATTTTGAAACAATTTGGAATAAAAGCGATATATTAACAATAATAAATTTTCTGGAGGCCTCAGGTTACCTTCTCAGAAAATGATGTCTTGATGCTTACAAAGCTGTGGCTCTTGAAAATTTTATATACTTAAGGTACATGATTATAACTACCTACCTATCCAATAATAATTCTTTTAAAATTCGTCACCATAATGAAGTAATAATTTATTCAAAATGCACAGTAAAAATTCCTATACAAAAAGGAGATGTTATCTCAACTTAGACACTAAGTAGGTACTGATGGAATCCATTAAAAATAACCATTTTATCGAGCATCAAAAACGATTACTATTAGATACTGTTAAGGAAATATTCTTAATCAAACTTGGTAGCTCCACTTTTCTTGTGGCCGGATTTAGAAACCAATGCAAAATCACATATTAATCAGCAAAGGAATTATAAACACATCTCAGCAATAACATCCCTCTGGAAAAATATAAACATTCAAGTATTCCTTTCACAGAATTCCAATCAAGTTTATTTAATTTCATATGAGAACTAGCTACTGGAAAGCAAATGAACCATTGTGTCTCGTGATTTTGTATTGCTTTCCTCTTGTTCTACTCCATTCAATTACTTTAGTAGTTAGGTCATTGTAGGTATATGAACAAGTGACTGAAGTGACTGACTATAAGTTGTTGAAAGGATACATCTTTTTGTTCGCTTTTTGTACATAATCCTATATCCACATTCTCGACAACGAATGGGATCTCTTGGACGTATTTCGTTCTCACTGTGGCATTCTGAAAAAATGTTTGGTTGATGATTTTATCCAGGTTGATAATTTCCTGATGAATTTGTTACCTCCACAGATATAAATCATTGGTGTTTTCTGCATACTCGTATCCTTACTGGCACCGTCCGACATTCTAAAGTGTAGACCAAAGCACCAAAAGATGATCGAAACTATTTAGTATTTTTGTATTTATACTTTTCAAAATAAAAACCTTAACCAAAAATAATACTGAGACTGAGAAAGAAGTGACAGTGACAGTTGTTGACGGCTCTTCCTTTTTTGGTTCATCTCTCTAATGTGCCCTAAACAAAATCGGTTTTTTGGTTAGTGCTTATGTAGACAATTGACTTATCTTGATAATGACTTTTGACCATAAGCATAAGACAGGATCTCGCAATGAATCAGAAAAACCCAAGAAGCCGATTAAAAAAAAAAAAGAAGTACAGGTTTCCTCTCATCTTTGCTGATACTGTCAGTGTCAGGTTTTTAAATTTTTATTGTTTTTGTTTATTTGGTATTTCATGTTTGTTTATTTCATTTTCCATAAGATATATCGTGATGAATCAAATGAATATACCTAATTGTTCGTCTTTTATCACACCACACGACGATGAAGGGCAAGACTTGGGTGATATACCACTGATTAGACAAATCGACAATATCAGAATACTCCCAAAATACTCTTCACGTGAATAATTTGAAGTCAAAAAACTTCAAAGTACATCACTAATATTATGGTTTTAGTTCTATCAAAATCAGGAGATGATAGGGTCTGTATGGATGATTTGGATCAATTACAATTAGATTTAGAAAAACTCTGTTCTACTTGTACTGTAAGAATAAGATATTTGTTGTCAGAAATCGGAGAAGCAGACAGAAACATTGAAGGGTCTGATCATACTGTCCATGAGAAGGTGCAGAAATATTACCTCCTTGTCATATGGGCCATAAAATATAAACACTATTTTTTGCAGAAATCCTTCAAAAGAAAACTTCCAGAAGAAATTCTCATAAACCCAGACTTCAGGAAAAAAATGCCTGAAAATGAAAATGCTGATAAGTTCTGGGCTTCAATTAAACCTTATTGTTCCAGTGTTACCAATAATGATATAACAGTTAGTAGAATCATGCAAACCTTCATATCTTTTGACTGGGATATAATTCATTTGCATTATAGTTACTAGATAGCCTCATCAATGAATGCTCTAAAGATATGAATTCCAAGATTCCAGAAACTGGTGAGAATTATTCTAGTGGATGGTCAGTAGATACTACCAATGAAGAACCAAGTAAACCCCCTATGAAAAAAATTGCATGCTTCTCTGACATGAAGAAGAATGGCCTAAATTCGTGAGTATTCAATATAATTGATAGAATACCTTCTCCACTATGGAGTTCAAAGAAGTTCTGATAACTTGGTAGAAGTACTTGTAAATATTCTCAAGAATACATTATTCTGATCATGATATTGATTTCAGAATGGTGGAAACCTTTGCTACACCTTTAACTCAAAGACTTTTGGCAGCTTTAATTGAAGAGAAAGTGGTGACTAACCATTCAACAAATGGAGAAAGTGCACCTCCTGTATCTAATAATCTGAAATGTAAGTCAATAATCTATATACATATAAATGGATGTTTTGTCTGTATGTCTTTTGTAGAATTGTAAAAGGCTTGACAGATATCACTAATTCTTTTTTTGTTGTGTGTGTGTTAATATGAAATTCAAGATGGCGGATCCAATAATTAATAATAATGTTCAAAATTAGGATCTGGGGGTGTGTGGGGTCGGAGATTATGATTCCTTTAGCACAATTTGAACATTCTAACAGCGGATCCAATATGGTGGGCGAGAAAATAACAGGTGGCACCACCTGACGGCAGCAACTAGAATACTTCTGAGTGGTTTGTTTTGAAGATATGACCAATAATCACAAACAAAAAACAAATGCCAAGGAATGAAAACAAAAGTAAACATACTGCTTTGACAGCTTTCAAGAACTCCGATAGGTGGCGTACGCTTATTTTCTATCGCGAATTCAAAATTTGTATCTGGTGGTTTTTGACGTCAGATATTATGATTCATTCCTCAAAATTTGTAAATTTAAGATGGCGGCAGATCCAATACGGTAAGCGAGTTTTGTAATTATAATCTGATTCTATTCAAAATTGGTATCTGTGGGTTTTTGAGGTCAGAGATTATGATCCTTTCGTCAAAATTGGAAAGTTCTAGATGGCGGATTCAATATGGCGGGCCAGTTTTCATTGTATTAAATATACTTTAGTGTTTTAAAGAACTAATGAAACATACTCTTATGGATCGCCAAACTAAATATAAAATAAATATAGTAAGTAGTTTAGAAAACTGAAGAGATAGAATTACTGATGAAAAGAAGTAGAAAATAAATATAAGTTTGAAAAACTAAGAAAACAGGCTTTAATGGTTAGTCGCACCAGAGATTATACACTCCATAGAAGATAAAATAATAATAATAAAAGTGTGTTTTTAAATATTCAACTGAAAAAATATTTTCTAGAAATAATATACATAATTATAGCAAAACAACGTTTGTGGGGTCAGGTTAGGTTGTGTACTGTCTTTCCTTCAAATTTATTTTAGTAAGTAGCATATTAATGCGCGCAGGTTACAGCTAGTTTCTATATTTGCAGTATCAGAATCTACAAAACTGAAGACATCAACTGGAGGTCAAAAAGTTCCATGCATTGACAGGAGATTGAAAAAAGAACTTATGGAACTGGGTATAATCTCTATGGATGACTTGTCTAAGGTTAGTTTAAGAAAATAACTACTCTTATCTATTTTTCACATCTATGTACACACAATCATGTAGCTGATTGAACTTGTTCAGTTTTAGAGAGTACCATACCACTGACTGGACAGGAATGGCAATGAGACATTTTCATTACAATGTGAAACCTGAATGAGTGACATTTTTGTCTGGGGGTGGATAGTTTCAACATATTGAATGATTTAAAATACAAATACAGGATTTCAAATTGAATGTTGATGTGTGTTATCATGCAAGAATATAATTGAAATTCTATTGTGAGACAGGAACTGGATTTCATAATGAAATACTGAAAAATGCATTTACTTATGAAGTTTCATAAACTAGTTTGAATATCTCCTTCTAGGTAAACCAGTCCCTATTTTCATATTTCACTGCATATAGAGCTAGGATGTGCATAAATTACATGTTTCATCTATAAAAATCGTTCAATATTAGTATTTTTTTTATCGAGCCTTTACATATTCATTGGTTCTTATTTGTCACTCCTTTCTAATATCACCAGTACCGGCAGTACCCTCAAAAACAAAACATAATGGGCCAATGGGGAGGAACTGTAATGGAAATTTATCTACCATTTCTATCAACAGAAAACTAGGGAACTATAGGTCAGTGGCGGCTTGTGACTTTCATGACAGAGGAGGCTGAATGATATGAGATTTACGACTCACCCAAATCAATAGCTTCAATGACATTCTGTTTACCAGTTAACCTGAACTTATACTTGAAGAGATATGTTCCTGTGATTTGCAGTGTCTATGCAATCCGCGAGGCAAATTTTTCAAATCATTATATCCTAATCGCCCCCAACATGATGACTTATCGGTTGAAAATTATATGCAGTACCAACAAAATAGCTTATTCCTTACCTCAGATCCCGTCAACCAGATATATTTTTTATAACTATAAGAATTGAACGAACGATTTTGTTTGTTACCTACCTGTTACAATCAGATTTTTTTAGTTCCGGTGTCGGACGTTTGTTTTTCACAATCAATTCATCTTCATAAGACGAAGCACTGAATGGGTTCACCAAAAAGTATTCCACAAAATCGCAATCGTTTGAAACACTCATTTTTTAGAAAATTTATAGAGCCCCTATTCCCCTAACCATCAACCTAACATGAACATAAACAATGCACTCGCGCTGGATTGCCCGCGATTCGCGACGCGACGACAAAAACGTGTTATTCCGGCGTATTCGGGCATTTGCATTGCGCGCGTGGGTTGCGCCTTGTGAAGGAGTCTAGCCTCCTATAGATGTTGCCAAGTTGAATATTTTACGCGTGATTTGCAGACATCGACGTGTGATGCGTGGGCAAGCACTGTTGCCAATTCAAAAATATTTACCTAAAGACAGGAAATAAAATCAAAATCGATGTATTTTGGTGTCCTTCTAATGAGAAATTATAGATAATATCAGTTCAAGGAGAATCTCTGAGGAGGCTCAGCCTCCTTTGCCTCCTCTGAGGAGCCGCCACTGCTATAGGTAGGATCACAGTATCCAATGAAAAAATAATAGTGAACCATTCTTATCAACTTTTGACTAGTATTTACTGGTTAGTTCAAATTTTCATCCTTAAATTCGTATTTTCCAGAATAAAACACAGAAGCACAACGTTTTTTGAAAAAATACTGATGAAATGATATGGGCAAAATGTAATCAACTTGTGATTTTGGACTATTTTTCAAATCAATCTTTGTTCCCCTCCCAAGCCCAAGTCACATGAATAAACTAACTCATGTATGATTTTTCAAAAGTATAAGTTTAATCTTTCTACCAAACAGTATGATTTCAAAATGTGCAATAGTTTTTCATGGCTGCATTCTGAGTGCACCATCCAGTCTGATTGTCTCTCCATTCAACATGGGATTCTCAATTACACTTTGCACTAGTTGAGCATACTCTTCTGGATATCCCAACCTTGAAGGGAATGGAACAGATTTTTCTAGAAATGCAACAACTTTTTCTGGTAAAGAATCAAACAAAGGAGTTTTGAAAAGACCTAAAAAAAAAATAGGAATTTGAAGTGTATATACAGAGGAAAACATGTGATATATTTTTACTAATTTTTACCTGGTGCTATTGTTACAACCCTTATGCCATCTGTGGCTAAATCTCTAGCAATTGGAAGGGTCATGCCAACTATAGCTCCTTTACTAGCTGAATAAGCAGCTTGGCCCATTTGCCCATCAAAAGCAGCAATGCTAGCTGTGTTGACAATAACTCCACGACTTCCTACTTGATCAGGTTCATTGTCTCCCATCAGTCCAACAGAAAGCCTGATCACATTGAAAGTGCCAACAGTATTAACCTTAAACATTCATGATGGGAATAATATAATTTTTTGAGGTTGTTATGTACCATTAAAACTTTGGTGAAATCTTCTAATGAGTGGGGTGATTTCTTTCTGAAATTATAAGTCTTGAAAGCCACACCTATTCCTGCACAGTTGACAACACTATTCAGCTTTCCAAATTTTTCTTTTGTTAGTGATAGAGCATTTTTAACATCTTCCTCAGAAGTTACCTACAAGAACAAATTGTCAGATATATTCTATGACTGAAATCATTTTGATTTTTACATTGACTGGTGCAAAAATGACTTGATCTTCCCCAATGCTCTTGGCAATTTCATTGCCTTTGGAGGCAGGTAGGTCACACAAAACAACTTTGGATCCTTGCTGCACCAGCCTTTCAACAGTTGCTTTGCCTAAACCTGAAGCTCCTCCAGTTACTAAGCTTACTGCTCCCTGGAAAAATATAGGAGAAATATTATTTTCAATTTCTTTGAGTCAAAGATTTATGGTCATTTCATGATAAACCGGTATAAAAGAAGGGTATATTAAAAAATCACAATTCTTGCATTCGTCACCCCTCCCAGGTTGATTTCTATGCTAGAAATACAGTACAATATGCCATAGCTTGTGAAAAAACTTACCTTCAACATTTTCAATTGGAAATGGTGCTTTATAAGTTAATTCTTGAAATTATCACAGAATGGCAGAGAAACTAATATTCATTAATATTTATGACAAAGTGACCTATGAACCTATTATCTTATCAATATCATTATGATAATAATTCGAAAATTTGGAAATTCAACTTTTTGTATTCTTAACCTATAAGTGATAACAAGTAGAATGAGGGGAGCTTAGTATCTTATCGCCTTTGTTCATTGGGCCATTTGCTAAATGATTAGTTAGAATAATCTTCATTTTTTTAAATATTTTGTTAGGTTAGGCCTTAGCCCGCAGAATCATTAGTCTTCTCATTTTATTTGATTTTCCCAGTTCGCCCCTGCCCGTAGTGCTGATTATGGGTATGAATGCAGTGATTGCTTATCTGACCAGTGTTGCCAATATTGTGATTTTCATGTCAATCTGGTGATTTAACAGATTATTTTTTACTTTGTTGAGAAATCTGGTGATTTTCAATAATCCTAGGAAATTTGGTATGACCTTGGGTATTCTTGCTGATGTTCTCAGAATAAAAATTCCAAGTATAGACTATCCATAGTCAATTTCAACAAATCCAGCGTTATACGTTCGAAGATCTCAGTTCGAAGGGTCCGAAGTGGCACCGTTTGAATCAACTTTGTTCTATTATAATAATAGGCATCTTCAAAATCAACTTGCGGTTACAAGTTACAAACAAGAACAACGCTATGTATAGGTATATCTGTGGATTGTATTTTCAATAATAGTGATTGAAAATTAGTTTGAATCATAAAGCGCCGTTCACCTAGTCGCCAATTGCTACTGGTATTTTTTCAAAATCTAGTGATTTAATATTTTTTTTGTTGGCAACACTGGATCTGACTCCAAATTATAGGCTGTTCGTTTGTATTGCTAAACTGGCTAAAGTTGATCTTTTTCCCATAGTTGTCTCTGTTCATGGCATGATGTAAACAAAGAAAGTCATAGAAAAAAAATCAAGGGCTGAAATGAGCAAATGAGTATGAGAGCAGAAACATACGGGCCTGTTCGTTTGTGTTTGCTCTACCTGCTGAACTTGATTTTTTTCTATGATTTTCTCTCTCTGTTTACATCATGTCATGAACAGAGACAACTATGGGAAAGTAATCAGCTTTAGCAAGTTTAGCAATACAAACGAACAGGCCTACTGAGTTCATTGGCAGAAACAGAAGAGAAGACAGAAGTAATGTTGTGTTAGTGTTTTTATTTTCATGATCTATAAAATTATAAAATAATTATTAATGAAATGGGTTTTCTCTGAAGTGAAGTGAATATGGCATTGGTGGCTTACGATTACGATAGCAATAGTGATAACGACGAAGACACTCCAACAATTAACCAAGTCGTAGAGCCTGAAAAGCAAGTGTCTTCTGAAATTATTGAAAACAAAATCACTCCAGCTCTATCAGATATTGAGAGCACAAAGGATCTTGGCGACATAGTAACTACAAATAAAACTACTTTATTCTCGAATTTACCAGAATCAAGAGCATGTCCCAAGGATACTCTCAAAGAAGATAAGATTGAAGACTTCATTCCAAGAGTAGACCAGGTCATCAAGGAAAAACAAAAAGTCAAGATAACCATACCTTCCCTATCTCAATTTGCAGATGATGAAAATGATGAACCAGATCAAAAAAAGAAGAAATATTCATCTTCAGTAGGAAGTGGTCTCATTTCACTATTGCCTCCAGTTAAAGGTAGCATTATCTCAACAAAAAGCTTTGTACCTAAAGTTATTGCTGATAGAAACAAGAGTGTAAAACACAATGCCAATTCAAATCTAGTACCAAATGCACTTAGAAAAAAGGCTGAAGCTAAAAAAGCAATGCTGCTACTCAAAATGCAAGAGCAAAAAGGAAAAATTGCCCTTAGTGATAATGAAAGTGATGATGATATTGATATGCCAGAGACATTTGATGATGAAATGTGGGAGAAAGTTTGTGGTAACCCTAAACCCAAAAAGGTCATTGAAGAGCCACAATTACATCCACAGCAAGAAATAATTGACCTTGCTCCAGAACCTGAGAAGCCCTATGATGGCTTGGACAATAAAGCATTCAAAGAACTAGTTGGTAAAACAAAACGTCCAATTGGCAATATCAAATTGATAGACATTAATGAAGAAGAAATAATGCCAGACAAGGATCTGTGGTTGACTAAATCACTCACAGACCCAGAAATGGCACCAAAACCTCAATCTGATGATTCTGTAGATCCTACAAGAAGGAGGAAACACCATATCACCTATTTGGCCCAACAAGCTAAGGCAAATGAGCAAGAACTGCAAAATGCTTGGGCTGCTAGTAAAAACAATAGGACAGCTTCAAGGGCTAAATATGGATTCTGAAATAATAAAATTAATGAATACATATTTATTCATTTCACACATACATGGTTTTATTTTTAAATAGAATGTAATTGAGTATCTTATATTTGTATAAATAATATTAATTATTTTCGGAAATTAATTTTATTTTCCTATTTCAAATGACTGAACTGGATATACTTGACTGGGCCTCAGTTAGTATCTAATGAAGGAGATCTACATCATCTGTCCTATATAATCAGTTCTTTTGAATTTCTTCTTCAAGCTGGGCCATTGTACCAAAAAGTTATCAGCCAAATATAACAAAATTTTACCAGATAAAGAAAGAGTTTTTGTTCTACAGAAACTCTCAATGAAAACAATTTTTGTCTCACAAATGAACAAAGTTTTCAACAGGAAGCCTAGTCCACAGATTGGTATGCAAGTACCAGGACCATTGCACAAAATCAGTTCAGGTCTGATTTTCAAAACTACTGGAACACTGTAAAATATAGAGAACAGGGTGGTGAATATTGAAGTGAAATATGATTGATGTACAACTCTACTTCTGGGTATTTTGTAAACAAAGTAATCAGTTTTTTGCCCATTTGATTTGCTCTCTTCCAAATCTTCAACTTTAGCTAAACTTGTTGTATCACTGCTGGCAATAATATAATATCTTGGTGAATATTTTTTGAAGTCCAGTGGTTTCATCAATGAGATTATTTCTGTGGTGTGTCCACCGGAACCTACACAGATGACTGTTTTGCATGGTTTCTTTCTCTTGAGGGCAAATTTGCTGTGTCCTGTTGTTATTTTGTGAACCAAGAATAATACCCGACTGAGAAATACAACAATCACTAGAATGCATAGTTCTATTTTCAGCTGAGCTGTAATGAGAAAAAAATTGTCATTGAACTCAAGTGTCCTAAAGTATGTACCTTCCATTTTCCATTACTATCTTATGTTCTCAGAGAACTCATGAAGAAGAAGTCGTTTTCTCTTTGGAACTTTTGGACGAAATTGCTTGGTGCTTGGTTAGAATGGTATTCTTCTCCATTTTTAGTGTCAACGTAAATTTTTCATCTCTTCTTTTTTTTACGTCGAACCCTAAAACAAGGACAGATTACAATTTTCCAGGAATCTTTGACAAAAGGTAATATTAGCGAAGAGACGGTCTTCACTGGTAATATGAGGTAGGAAAATATATCTTCTGCATGAAAAGAGAAAGTGCATTCATTTTGGCCAGATAGCCCAGGTAGCTAAGGCCATCCAAATCGAAAGGAAGAAGAAACGAACCTTCTTCCTGATAGCCCAGATAGCTAAGGCCATACAAATCGAAAGGAAGAAGAAAGTATATTTTCGAAAATTACTTGTGAAAAAAATTGAACCTTAGTCCCCACCGAGGAAGTCAGATAGTTTCAAAGATTCGCTGGTCTAGCTCTAGACACAGTCTCTAAAGTTCAGTTCATGAGAAATGATAATATACTAATGAGCTGGACCATGGACGTATAAGGCTAGATGCTTGTCAATTTTAGTTTTCCCCATAGAATTTCTTAATGAAAGTAGTACAAACAAACAACAGTATAATTTATTATAACCATTTTTAGTTTCAGTTCTTTTTTGATGAATTTTCACCACGTCGTCTTTTGTTGAGTGGATTTCTGGGATCATAAATTTCAAACCAATCATCATCTTTGGTGTTGGCATCTTTTGCCAAAACTAGATTGTCTTCAAAGTGGAGTTGATGAGACAGCCATGATTCTGCACTATCTACATTATCTCCATCTACTTGTTCTTCAGGGGAATCCTCTTTATCTTTTGCAGAGTGTAGTTTTTCTTTGAATTTTTTGAGAAGGTCCAAAGTGAAGGACTCTCTACCAGATCCTTTTTTAGGTAGAGATTCTTTTTTTATTTTATACTGATCAAATTCCTCTTCATAAGCTTTGAGAATGCCACTTTTCTCTTGCTCCTCTTTTTCTTCCTCCTCTTTAATCTGATTTTTCTTCAGCTTATTTTGATGATAATCCTTTTTGACACTTTTTATTTCTTTTTTGATTTCATCTATTTTCTTTTGCCTTTCTAGATCCCTTTCCTTATGCAAGTAATCTTCATAGTCCACTTCATCATCAGAATCTTTCTTAGTGTCAGGAACCACAGGTTTTTGGTTTTTAGACTTGGGATGATTAGTTTTTAGTTTTTTTCTAATATTTTCTAACTGTTCCTCTGGATCAACTTCATCTTCTTTAGATTCATTAACATCAGTTACTGATGAACTCAACTTGGGATCATTCAACATATCATGGCTTGATTTTCCACCTCTGCTAACAAATTTTTTGTTTTCTCTAGTAGATTCTTCTTCATCTTCCTCAGCTTCTTCACCAAATGAAAGTAGTTTGAAATTTTTCACACCAACACTTTTGTCTTTCTTTTTCTTCTCTTTGACTTCAGCAGTTACTTTGGTTCTTGGTGATATGTCTGGAAAAGGATTATTCAGCACTTCTGTTCTGATTATCTTATGTGGGAACTCTGGTCTTTCATCCTCAACCAATCCATCTTCCAATTTGAGCATATTGAAAATTGTTTCCCCAGCCACTTTACCAAAGAGGGTATGTTTGTTCTGCAATTCAGGAGTGGAGCCCAAGGTGAAGAAAAACTGGGAGCTATTATCATCTTTCCCTGCATTTGCCATAGCCACAAGCCCCCTCCTGGCAAATCGAAGTCTTTGATGAAATTCATCTTTGAAGGGTTCACCATATATCGACTCACCCCCGGTACCATCACCGTTAGGGTCTCCGCCCTGCACAATGAACCCTTTAACAACCCTGTGAAAAATTGTGTCATTGTAGTAGCCTTCCAAGCATAGTTGGATAAAGTTTCTGCATGCTTTTGGGGTTTCTTTCGCCCAGAGTTCGATATCGATGTCTCCAACTGTAGTCACCAACAACACTTTCCCAAGAGTTGGGGGTTCCAAAATGTAAATATTACTCATCTTTATTTACAAAAAGCAGAATAAAAACCTAACCTGAAAAAGGGGAAAATATATCTTGCTTCTTTTTTTCGTATTTATCAGTGATCTTAACCACTCGATCTCACTGCTACTACAATGTTAGTGGAACTAAGCAAGGGAGGGACCAAGCTAGAATAAGAAGAAGATTGTTGTGCTACTGTAGTGTAATGCAAGCGCAATCACTCAAATCACAGAGTAGATGGCCTCTGTAGGATAGTCCTGAAATCCTGGAGAGGCCAACCAATCCTACGAAAAAAAAGAAGACGAATATTCGGATCATGGGATCTTCCATAACCTCACTTTGTGCAGATTGTTTTTGGTCTTGGTCCTTACAATGCCACCCAACAAACCCAAATTATACACATCTACAGGAAAACCTACTGTTCGGCCGATTGAACATATTTCACCGGATTCTGAACAGGCCCAAAAATTCGAATTGGAACTATGTTGGTGTATTCAACAACTTCAATTGGCTCTGAATTCTGGAAAGCTCAACAACAAACAAAGTATTTAATTTCTGTGGGGCATTGAGAGATCTAGTGTTGAAATGTGAATAATTTTCAGGTCAAGATCACACAAAATCATTGAATACATTGATGAGTAACAACGCTCCCATGGTGAAGAAGAGGCAGATCATGAGATCTTCCTTTGGAGACTACAGAATGAAGATGGCTGATGAAGAAAAAAATGTTTCCAAAAGTAGTAGCTCATAACATAACAGTGATTGACAAAACAATCATCATATTTTTATTTCTAGATGCCCATCTTATCAAAATGAAACCCTCAGCTGCACCCAGTGAAAAATCAGTATTTGTAAAGAGAAGAACATTTTCTTCAACATTGAATAACTTCAAGTTCAACTTCAAAACACCTGAAGGATGTTATTCAGATAGTAAACAGGATAAAGTTACAGTATCTAATGAATTAGGACATGCTAAAAATAAAGAGTGTAATTTGGCATTTTCTGATAATAGTTTTAGGTTCAATTTTGATAGCAGCAGTTCATAGTACATAAAAGAAACTATTTATTTACATTGGGGAAAATATTTGATACTCAGAATAAACAACAGAATTTCACTTAGGTTTAGGTATAGTTATTTCACCTAACCTACCTACTATCATTTGTTATTGATTTCATCATTCCTGATGAATCTTTCATAGTCCAATAAATAAAGGGAAAAAGTTAACATTAATTACACGGTTGGAAGTAGCTTTCCACACAGTTTGACTGGAAAACGCGTACAATGACGGAGAAAATGGCCCCAAAAGACCAGAAAAATAGGTTTTCAGCCAATATCTCCTAAAATATGGCAGTTAGAGATTTTCGGTTCAGATAAAAATTGAAGTTCAGTTAATTTTCTACAAAAATGGTCCTCATCATTTTTCTCGAAAATTTGCCCGGTTTTGAGAAAAACGGCACGAAGCGCACCTCGAAGAATGAGCTTCTGTTGTATGCCGGAGAGCACAGTCCATGTATTTACACATCGGCGGGGGGACAAATTATTCAATAACTTTGTTAAACATGCATATTTTCTCATGATTCAAAGTTCATGTGAAAGAGGAATTCTGCTGCTATCATACCCTGTGAATTGAGTCACGCTTGACTCTTTTGGCCATATCAGAACATGGGTCAAACTTTCTGCTCCCGGTTAATTTTGACCTCGCCAGGAATTTGTTCTTACTTTTTTTTGTATTGCACTAATTCACTCAAAATTCTCTTGATTATGGGTCCTCATAAGGTCCTTTGTCATCCCTGAAATTTGTATACCCTAATTTTTTTTTAATTTTCATTTAATCTTTGTTTATTGAATCCCAATTTTTTGCTGTTTTTGGAGCGCGGGGAAATTTTGTGAACAACCATCAATTACAAATTAATACATGATCCGATTGGTTTCTATAATACATCATTTGAGAGCTAAGAAGGTCTACTTTTCGATTGTGCAATTACTTTTTTAGACGAAGTCGGCCATTTTCCAATAAAATTAGAAAAAGCGGGGTCAAGAAAAAAACGCACTTTTTTTTTCCGTGCTTTTTATAACATTTTAACACCTTAACTAGTGTAACGGGGGAATTCCCACCTTTCCATCGATGTATATAAGTCATACCTTTGATATCCCGGGAAAAAACCAGTACATCTAAATATACTGGCTATAATTTATTACTTTCGTTCCTCCGTCGTTCGCCGCGTGTGTGCTCTACGTGGCGCTCGGGTCGTCTGCTACAAACCATGCGGCCACGCAGGGTATGATAGCAGCAGAATTCCTCTTTCACATGAACTTTGAATCATGAGAAAATATGCATTTTTAACAAAGTTATTGAATAATTTGTCCCCCCGCCGATGTGTAAATACATGGATTGTGCTCTCCGGCATACAACACAGAAGCTCAGTATTCGAGGTGCGCTTCGTGCCGTTTTTCTCGAAACCGGGCAAATTTTTGAGAAAAATGATAGAGACTATTTTTGTAGAAAATTAACTGAACTTCAATTTTTATCTGAATCGAAAATCTCTAACTGCCATATTTTAGGAGATATTGGCTGAAAACCTATTTTTCTGGTCTTTTGGGCCATTTTCTCCGCCATCACACGCGTTATCCAGTCAAACTTTGTCTCATGTTTAATGAGTTACCAAAAGCTACTTCCAACCGCAAGATGAAAATAGTGTGTAATTAACGTTAACTTTGCCTTTTTTTCCTCCTTCATTTATTGGACTATCAACTGAAAGACATATCAAGCAGGATTTCAATATGTGAATTTTGAAAATATTAATTACCCTTCAGAGGCAAAATATTTGATTATTATTGTCATGATATAAATAACATGAATTGATAATTAAATACAAAATGTGTTTTGTGTTGTTAGTAAAATATATTAAGATATATAAAAAATTACTTATTATTTGATATGAATTGAATTTTTCTGCTTAACCTATTTGTTATGTAAGCAGGATAATATAAATTCAGCACCATTTTAGCCTCTCTAATCATATGTTCAACATTTTGTAGAAATGCCCTGAAAAAAATTGGGGAACATTAATATTAATCCTTGTCAGAAACAAAGATTTTATCTTACTTCAAATTGGTACAATTTTTAGGGTTCCCATTCTGAAGGCAATGAAGAATTGCTAAAGCTGCCTCATACAGCTTAGTACCAATGCCTCTTGAGTTCCGCCCCCTCCTTGCTTTCTCATTTTCAAGCCATAAATGAAAATATTTGAACATATTTTCAGCGTCACCTTCAATTAAATAAACATTGTTAATAAAATGCCAGGCTACAGCTTCTCACAAGTAAATTCAAGAGGAAACAAGGAAATGAATACATCATTATATTTTATTGACTAAACTATCATCATAGGTGTCAGAGGAAAAATAATACTTGTAGTTCCCTGATGAATATTACATGTGGTGTACCACAAGGGTCAGTTTTGGGGCCGATTTCATTTTTTATTTACATTGACTCAATATCTACTCTAAAATTGAAAGGAAAACTAAAATTATTTGCAGAAGATACAACAATAATCTATATTTTAAAAGATTTTAACGATATCAATGATGATATTAAAAATGATTTGAAATAAATATCATCTTGGCTAACGACCAATAAGTTGACTCTTAATTATAATGAATGCGCATACATCTCAAGAAGAACAATGGACATATTAGGACACATAGAAGAAGCAGAAAAATCTAAAATCAATTTATAGAATTATAAATATTTTACCAAAATAATTTACTTACTATATATCAATATTAATTGCCCTTTGTACTCTATTAGTGCAATAAAGATAATTTATTATAATTATTGTTAATAGGTACAAATTTCATATAATTAGAAAAATTTTAATATACCTGATTCCACATAATAACTGTACAATCTATAATAAACTTCTTCAAAGTCTTTGTGATGCTTGTAGAGAATTTTTTCTCTTATCATCAAACTTTTCACCAACAGTTCCAGTATATTTACATCATCATCTGAAACAAAAAATAAGAATGAAGACCATGGAAATCAAACAATTGTCAAACTGTACTTACTTTCCAGATATTTTTGAGCTTCATCATTAATCTTTCTAAAGGGTTTCAGTGAATATTTTTCTCCACAATTCACACAGAAACTTAGAGAATTACTAGACATTTCTGGCACCAATCCTTTGCATTTTGGACAAAGATAACTATCCAACATTTCCTAAAAATTAATTATTTCTCATTCATATAGAAGGTCAATGGGCAAGTACATTGAGTTTTCTTCAATTTTTATTCAGGATCTTCATCAATCAGAAAGATAAGAAAAATAAATGCAGACAGTAGATGAGTTACCTTTTTTTTTTCTAGAACCATTGGATTTGTTTTTTAATTCATATCGGGTCAAAATGGGGGAGTTTCTACTGGTGGCGTTTTTTATAACCCATGGTAGGGTACACATTCATTCAATTTCAAAGATTATAAAAATAAATTTCGAAAAAATCAGCATTCTTACAGAGATTACTCTTCGACTACCTTGACAGTTACTAAATTAATTTTTGAATCAAATCTGATGGAAAACATACCACTTCCTTTGCTGGATTGTTGCATATTACACATTTACACTCGAAATGATAAAGACTTCTACAAGCTATCTGTCGCTGTTCCCTGTTCATTCCGCGATAATCAATACCATAGCAGTTGAATATCTCTTCATTTTCTGATACATCTTCCAGAGCTTTAATTACTATCGTATCACAGATGAAACTGAAAAATAAATTACTCGTTTGATACCACAAAATTTCTTGAAAATTCAAATAAATTATCTTGTATTATTTGAAATTTGAAAATAAACATTGGCATGAATTCCTAGGGGAGCTGATTTGATCAAGTGTAAATTAAAAAATTGCAGAAAAAATCATAAACTTTGGAAAGATGTGCCTACCCAAATAATTTTTGGGATTGATATTGATTTTTTCAATTGATTATCTATACTAATATTATAAATAGGAAAGATTTGATTGTTTGTTTGTATTGAATAGGCTCCGAAATTACTGGATCGATTTGGCTGAAAATTGGTGGGGAGGTAACTTAGAACCAGTAAAAGGTTATAGGATACTTTTTATCCTGGTACCATTAGTAAATTCAAGATGGCGAATCTAATATATCGGACGAGTTTTGTAATTATGGTCCGATTCTATTCAAAATTGGTATCTGAGGGTTTTCGGGGTCGAAGATTATGATTATTTCGTCATAATTTGGAAATTCAAGATGGCGGAACCAATATGGCGGACGAGTTTTGTAATTATAATCCGATTCTTCTGAAAATTGGTACCTAAGGATTTTCGCGAGGGGTAAATCTCCAGGAAAAATGTGTACACCAGACTTCCAAAGACTTTCAATGACTTCCAAAGACTCTCAAAGACTTCCAAAGACTCCAAAAGACTTTTAAAGACTTCCAAAGACATTCAAAGGCATCCAAAGACTTCCAAAGACATCCAAAGACTTTCAAAGACATCCAAAGACTTCCAAGGAATTCCAAAGACTTCCAACGGAGTGTACACCAGACTTCCAAGGAGATTTACCCCTCGGATTTTCGTGATCGGGGATTATGATTTCTTTCAAAATTAAGAAATTCAAGATGGCAGATCCAAAATGGCGGATTTTGTAATTAGGATCCGATTTTATTCAAATTTGGTATCTGGTGGTTCTCGGGGTCGGAGATTATGATTCTTTCGTCAAAATTAGGGAATTCAAGATGGCGGACCCAATATGGCGGACGAGTATTGTGATTATGATCCGACTCTCTTCAAAATTGTTATCTGGGTGTTTTCGGGGTCGGAGATTATGATTCTTTTGTCAAAATTTGGAAAGGGCGGGATTTGGAAATTCAAGACGGTGGAACCAATATACCGGACGAGTTTTGTAATTATATACCGATTCTATTCAAAATTTGTAAGTGGGCGTTTTCAGGATCAAAAATTATGATTTCTTCGTCAAAATTAGGGAATTCAAGATGGTAGATCCAGTATTGCGGAAGAGTTTTGTAATTATTATGTTCCGATTCTATTCAAAATTTTCATCTGGGGTTTTAGGAGTCGGATATTATGATTCTTTTGTCAAAATTGGGAAATTCAAGTGAACTAAAAAGAAGTTGAAATAAATGGTAGTTTGAAAAACTAAAGAAACACGCTTTTATAGATAGCGAAACTAAAATGAAGTAGAAAATGAAATAATAATAGTGTCTTGATGAATATTGAACTGAAAAAATATATTATAGAAATAATGTATACAGGGTGATCCACGGTGGATGGCCTATTAGAAGTATCTGGAGAACGAAAAGACAGAACATTCTGAAAATTGGGATGCCTTGATAATTGAATATTCTCTATCCGTCTAAAATATTTTCATCGATACAGTGTTGCCACTGGAACACCCTGTATTTAATAGCATTTTCAGATTCTCCCTGAAGAGTTGATTTCATTAATGTACCACACTTGGGGTCTAGCAGGAATGATTACAGAGATAAAGGGATGTTCAAAATCGAGATTTTTCAATTTTATGATGTTTTTGTGTCGAAACTATTCATTATCGATCAAAACGGCTTACATGTCCCTATCTCAACTTTCGATTTACTATCTACTGGAATTGGAATTTAATTGGAAAAAATACAGGGTGCTTCAAGATTCAGAATTCTGATCACCCTGTATCTGTTCCAATTATATGTCAGTAGATAGTGAATCGAAAGTTAAGATAGGGACATGTGAGCCATTTTGATCGATAATGAATAGTTCCGACACAAAAAACTCCTAAAATTGAAAAATCTCGATTTTGAACACCCTATATCTCTGTAATCATTCATGCTAGGCCCCAAGTGTGATACATTGATGAAATCAACCTTTCAGGAAGAATCTAAAAATGCAATAAAATACAGGGTGCTCTATTTGAAATAACGAAGTTGCTAGTTGTTTCTGATAGAAGTGGCAACACTGTATCGATGAAAATATTTTAGACGGATAGAGAATGTTCAATCATCAAAGCATCCCAATTTTCAGAATGTTCTGTCTTTTCGTTCTCCAGATACTTCTTATAGGCATAGATCTAAATATACACATCCACCGTGGATAATGGGGAAGACCACTGAGGAAAGAAATCCGTGCAAACCTCTTTCAATCGACGAATCATGATTTACGTTTGATGTACAATCAATATTATGAGTTAAAGTTGAAGGGAATCGAATCTATATCGTTTTGAAATCAGCATATTTCATTCGATATTTCAAACAGCCAAATATGATGGTGGAGTCGTGACGTATTAGTCCCGAACTGTAGCTATCCCTCTCTGATACCTCGTCATTCTGCAGTGTTGCAGTGTGATTGGTCAGTTCAAGGGCAATAGGCGTGTTGGAACTAAGACGTCGCATCAGTCACACCAATGAATTGACAAAAATTCAAATTGCACAGGAATTGTGTGTTTTGAAATGAAAATATTCTAATTTGTTTTTTTCATGGTCTTAGCATGAATGAAAAAATTCAAAACTAATTCACTTGTAGTTTTTCAGTATAGAGTTCGCGATAATGTCGTTTTAAAAAATCAGTGGTCTCCCCCATCTGCGAGGTCTGCTAGTAGTAGATGAATTGATGGACAAATAAACTTACAAATTAGTAACATTTGGTCGACAAGAATGATTCATAATGCTAACTGACGGAAACATTCCGCAAGCGATTGTGATGAGGATATCAGGAAACAGCAGATCTGTGGAAGAATAGGTCCAGTGTTCTATAATACTAGAGTTGCAGGTCAACTGTGCAATGTGTTTTGTGATTAGGCCTCCTATGTACTTGACCAGAGTACTGAGATCGTTTTTTGGACAGTTTTTTTGTTGCAAAAACCAAGCGAAAAAATCCGTGTATTTCTTTAAATATGTCACTACTATGGCGGACATCTGAAAATAATCATAATCATTATTCCTGATAGTAGAAATGTTTTTTTGCATACAGAGTGTTCAAGATTATAATTGAGAAAATTCAGAAGGTTATAAAACTCCTATAGGTTCTTTTGTAATATGAAAAAGTTTCTTTTGGCGTTACTAGAATCACTGTAATTATTCTAGTGGCGCCCGAGACGATAACCTAATTGATATTTATGGTAAAAATCATTGTGCTTGGTTGCTTTTTTCTAACTTTCCTAATTTTATTTGATTCAACAATAGAAGAAACAACTTTCTTTTTCCATGTGGTTTTTCCTAGCTTGCTTAGTTTTCAAGAAAAATATGAAAACCTGATTTGAATTCAAGTTATACTGTAGGTTCATTCTAGAAATCCATTGGGATCCCTGATAGCCATGATATGAGTACAAATTGGAGATTTTGAGAATTTATCAGTCGCCGACAACACTGAATTTTGGCATTATCGAAGCTATTACAACACCCTGTATCTCGAAAACTGAGCTCCTAATTTGCTTAGTTTTCGAGATACAGGGTATCAATATTTCCATGGAAAATCTTTTTTCTATTTATTTCTCAATTGTGTTTCCATCAATTTCAATAAAACGTTGTGGTTTTGTTAAATAATATTTCCAGTGGCGTCACAGTGGGTGAATTTATCGATATTTATGGTGAATGTCATTGTACACCACTAGTTTTTCTGAGTTTCATATTTTTATTAGATTGAACTATTGAAACAACAACTTTTTTATCCTCTGTGTGATTTTTCTATCTAGCTTAGTCTTTGAGGAAACAACAAAAATTCGATTTGACTCCAAATTTTAACGTAGGTGTTTTCAAGACTTCCATTGAGATAACTCAATGACCCCAATTAGAATAATTTTGAAATTTTGGGGCTTTCTCAGTCTCCATCCATACTGAATTTCGGCACCATGCAAGCTTATACAGGGGGGTTATAAATAAAAACAATTAATACTTCCAACTTCAACATCCTGTATCTCAAAAACGGAACAAGTTAGGACTCATGTGTATATGAAATTAATTTGCTAGAATGACAGAAAACACCCCTTGAATTTTTTCGGTATTATTTAGATATACCCTCTATAAAGAAAGACCTTTATAATTTCTGTGAGTACCTACTATTGCATATCGAATTCTCCCGATTGAAATTTGAAACACCCTGTATATATAACAATCCGAATATATCTCTTATTTATACTTTTTTAAATTTGAAGATAATGAACGAACCAGAATATATGGAGCGGCATTTTTGCTTTTATAAATGTTGGAAACCAAACGATTGAAATACGTGTAGTTGTCATTCTTGTCTCCAAAGTGTTTCAAATCCTCATGGTAATCGCCTTTTATCGTGCGAAAACCGGACTTCACCCCCTTCAGTACTGCCTTGAAAGCAGGAAATGCTATTCCAAGGTCATACCAGATATTAGCCTGCATACCCTCGCATTCCCATTTATGGCATTCGGTCCACGATGTGATTCTGCATTTGTCATTGCAGTATACGCAAAGGGTACACCTTTCACATCTGAAAGGAGGATAGAAACTGCTAATGGTCAGTGCCCAGGAAATCAATTGATAATTAGTGACATTATTGAAAATATAAAATGATTCTTTGAGTTCATTTTGTATTTCATTCAGTGTTTGAAGTTGTTGGTACCTATAAGCATTGACTTTTCAAGCACCTTCCACGAAAATCACGAAAATGCTAAATGAATGATATTCACTTTCAAGGTCGGATATCCAAAGGAAAAGTGACTTAGGTAAAAATAAAGGTGAAAAACTATCATAATTGATTTTTTTGAGTATACAGGGTGAGTCATAACTATTGGGACATAGGCTAAGGGCGGATTGTTTGGACCAAAATATGTCGATTGAACCAAACATGCCTTGATAAAATATTGCTGTGAAAAAAGATACAGGGCGTTAAAGTTGATTTTTTTTTATATTTTTTGTCGGTTTTTTGCTAATAATTTCACTGTATATGAAATATATTTGAAAAAGTTTTGTGATTTGGTTGCTTTCTACCTAGATATTGGAGATATTACAATTTATACCTTCTGGATGCATCCCGCATGGAATGATTGTGAAGAGGCATTTCAATCGGAAAAATTTTGACTATAAACTCGCACCAAAATTCATTCTCTGACAAGAAATGCCATCACCAGCAACATTATCTGACAGTTCAAAGCACACTCTTCATGAATGAAATAATATTTGTAATTAACTTCTGAGACTCTGAAGTGTTCAATAGCGTTTTTCTCGAAAACGGATGAAAATATCGTGTTCAAACTAGAGTACCAATATAACGTAGAAATGTTGTTTAGGTCATATTTTTCAATCAAAATTACTAAAAAGTTTCGTCAAAAAAAGTCACCAGGCGATTTTATCATCAGGAATCATTCACGTGGCACCCCCTGTATCAAAATGTAGAATAGTACATAAAATAATATTCCCTGTATGAAATTGTGCCTCTGAGCCAATTTTGATTACAATTGATGAATATACAGTGATATTATAGGCAAAAAACGAAAATACAAAGTCAACTTCAACGCCCTATATCTTTTTCCACAGCAATATTCTATACCAAATAGAAATTGCTCATGGTCAGTGCCCAGGAAATCAATTAATCTTTAGTGACATTATAGATAATATAGGGTGATCCTTTGAGTTTATTTTGTATTTCATTCAGTGTTTGAAGTTGTTGGTACAGGGTGATTCACCATAAATGTCCCCCCCTCTAGCTCACTCATTTTCGAACCGATTTGAAAATTTGAAAAATAATCTGAAATGATTTTGCAGAATTTTTTTCCCGTTGCATCAGAAAATACAGGGTGCTCGGAACAAACGATCTACAGAGTTCTACTTGCATCACACTTGGGGTCTAGCGGGAATGATTACAGAGATATAGGGTGTTCAAAATCGGGATTTTTCAACTTTAGGATTTTTTTGTGTCGAAACTATTCATCATTGGTCAAAACGGCTTTAATGTCCCTATCTCAACTCTTGATTTACTATCTACTGACATTTGATTGGAACAAGATTCAGAATTCTGATCATCCTGTACCTGTTCCATTTATTAAATGTCAGTTGATAGTAAATCCAGAGTTGAGATACGGACATGAAAGCCATTTTGACCAATAATGTATAGTTTCGTCACAGAAAAGTACAAAAGTTGAAAAATCTCGATTTTGAGCACCCTATATCTCTGTAATCATTCTTGCTAGACCCCAAGTGTGATGCATTGATGAAATCAGCTCATAAAGGGGAATGCGAAAATGCAATGAAATACAGGGTGTCCCATAAGAAAAAGTATAACTTTGATACGCCACGCATTTCTGAGTCACCTTGTATAAAGCGAAATAATTTGGAAATGTGCTGCTCATGATCCTAGATCATCTTTGAATTTTTTGTTCATCTATCTCAAACAGTAAAGCCGTTATCTCACTTTGCCACACTAATGACTCACCCTATATATTAGCATTGACTTTTCAAGCACCTTCCACGAAAATCACGAAAATGCCCAAAACTCTGAATGAAATTCACTTTCAAGGTCGCATGTATCCAGAGGAAAAGTGACTTAGGTAAAAATAAAGCAATGCAGTGTTGACGCTTCTACCAAAAAGTAGCAACAACTTTGTTATTTCAAATAGAATACCCTGTATTTCATTGCATTTTTAGATCCTCCATGAACAGCCGATTTCATCGATACATCAAACTTGGGGTCTATCGGAAATGATTACAGAGATATAGGGTGTTCAAAATCGAGATTTTGTCCATATCTCAACTTTTGCTTTACTATTTACTGATATTTATTCGGAACAGATACAGGGTGATCAGAATTCTGAATCTTGAACCATCCCGTATCTGTTCCGATTAAATATCAGTAAATAGTGAATCAAAAGTTGAGATAGGGACATTTGAGTCGTTTTGACCGATAATGAATAGTTTTGACAAAAAAAAATACTAAAGTTGAAAAATCTCGTTTTTGAACACCCTATATCTCTGTAATCATTTTCGCTAGACCCCAAGTGTGATGCATCGATAAAATCAGCTCTTCAGGCTGAATCTAAAAATAGGATAAAATACAGGGTGTTCCATTTGAAATAATAATGCTGCTACACTTTCTAGTAGAAGCGGCAACACTGCATTGCCGAAAATATTTGTAATGAAGAGAGAGTATTCTGAAATATAAGCTTGTACATTTTCATGGATTTCTCCCAACTGATTCTCAATTTAAAGAGCTTGTCCTGACATACCCTGTATAAATGGCTTAGTAAACAGATACCAACATTTCCAAAGAGAGAAATGAAAACTACTGCAGCATATTGATCATATACTACTATACTAGCACTACCTAATAGGTATCCATCACTTCAATATTTTGAAGTTCTGAGAACTTTCCAATATGGAAGATTGATTCCTTCAATACTACTTAGAAAAAAAATTATCCTGTTTCAGTTACTTACGGAATACTACTGATGATATCCTTCAAACAGTTGTAACATTTGAATGAATAAAATTCCTTGTTTTCCTTAAATACAGGTGCAAAAATGAATGCTTTCTCTATGAAGAGTACATCTCCCTTTTTTATATCTTTCTTAGCTAGGACATGTCTGCCCTTGATTTTATCAAAGCTAGAAAAATTGCAGGTTTTTAAATAAACTTGTAATGATAAGTACAACTATTGGTACTCACCTCATTTTTATCTTTGAAGAGGCATAAGCAAAATCACTGTTTTCCCCCTCATCAAATTCTGGAAGATCATTTGAACTATCCCTATATAATTCAACAGTTTTACATTCAATTTTGGCTTTCTTAATTTGATTTAACTTCTCTACATGTTTTTCTAAAATCACAACCCATACAATTGCACTACCCTATAGGTACTGAACTTCATCAAAACACATACCTCTATCATCTACCAAGGTTACTGAAAGAAACCTGTGCATTTCAGAAAGACATTTGTCAAAACTTTCCTTTTGGCCTGTTTCAAAGAAGCAATCAGCTTTCCTGAAGAATATTTTGGGTTTCAGATCCTCAGGGTAGTCTGTATTGAAACACAAATCTATATCTTTCAGACAGTTCTGTAAAATTATAGGATGAAACTGAAGGTATGTAACTCATCTGAGAATTGGATTCTTAGGAGTCAGAAAATCATCTAGCAAATATTATGTGTTAAATACAAATACTCACCTCATATTCTTTCATCTCAAAAGAAACTGCTGATCTGTTTGCTAGAGCAAGCCCATATTCTCTACTTCTAGGTGTGGCACAACACAGACTCTTTGTGTAAAACTCCAAGCTTTTGAGTAAATCTTTCCTGGCATAACACTTATTGCCTTCTTTTCTATAAAATATTGATAATCTGTCATCTTTCTTCATTTTGTTCTTGAATTGGCTCTCTAACCAAGAGTCCACTGGAGATCTATAAATAAATGTGTAAGTATTTGTATAAAATTCATAATAGAAAAAGTTGAAGCTGCTTACAGGTCCAAACTATAAAATTTTGAGAATACTTCGAATATATTTCCATCGAGTTTCGTGAATTTTTCGGTATAATATGCTAATAAACAATCCATGTCTTGCTGGTTTTACCTGTAAAAGTATAAATAATATCAAACATTATGGGAGCTGGCTACAAATAGGTTAAGCAAACAATGCAATATCTAGTGATTCAAGCCAATTCTATAAAATATTAATGGAATACTTACTGTTATAGTCTTAAATAAATAATGAAATTCATAAAAAGTCCATTAGAAACAAATCAAAATTTGATAAAAATTTAGAAACTAGGTTAGATTAGATATTGACTAATTTGACAGCTGCTTGTCCTTGAATTTGTGTGATTGATCTACTGTCTGAATATGGTGTGGTTTGAACTACTAGCAGCAGAAAATCTTGACAAAATGTATTTTTCTTTCGCCATTACGAATCCGCCTATATCACGAAGGGTAAGTAGTTTTAGGACCTTGTCTATTAGAACATTTTAACAAGACATTTTTTTATTTCTTGGATTCTTTGAATTTACCAACTGAAGCTCCTGAAACGTAGGCAAGCAAAACAGCACAGGACAGGACCGTACTCAGAAGAAATACCTACCTTTATTCTGAGATCCCTATCTTGATGCTATTGAGGAGTATTTATGGCGGTCAACTCTATCCAACTCATTTATTTCTGGCTGATGATAGTATAATTCTATAATTTTCATTTTCAAAAACTCCACAAAACCAGATAGGAATTTACAGTTTGTGGTTCCTAATTAATACTTTATGCCTCAAAGTTTTACTGAGAGGAACATGAATGATTATGAATATTCGAACCAGATATGCGATATAATCTTTGTTTTTATATACAGGGAGAGCCAAGAAAATACGGAATTCCACTTTTCTAAATGTTCAGGCAGGTGATATTTTTTTTGTCTTACCACTTATTATATGTTATTGGCATTATATTAGACAAACGTTGAATAATACGAGATTACAGAGTGGCCTCAGGCATACGTCCGTCCTTTAGGTACCTAGGTAAGGTCCTAGAAGGGTCCCTATATCAAAGAATTATTATTCTTGAAATATCGCTACTATGTATAGTAGGTATTATACTATACATTTTAACATCTCTCTCTGATGCACCAACGGTCAATGAATATAGGAATAGCTCACATCAATATACCTACAAAACTTTCAAAAATGGTTTTAATAGGCCACAAAACAAACCGATTTAAAACTATAAGAACAAAAAAAACAAACACTTATATACCTACGAGACTTCCAAAAATGATTTCAATAGGCCACAAAACAAACCCATTTAAAACTATAAAAACAAATAACACAAACACGAAAATATTGTAACCGTATAAAAAAAATGTCCTTAAACTCTATTCACTTTCTTCTTGGTTCTCTTTTCCTTTTTTTCTGCAGGAGTACATTTTTGGAACAAATGATGGACTTCCTTCAGTAGATGATCATATGAAACGATTCTATGGAATGGTAGATAAAATAAGAGATCCCTTTTCACCTTCACCACCTCATTGACAAATATTTTTATAATTTCACTAGAAAAAATAACAATTTTTGACATCAGGAACAGAATATATTGCGAAGAAATATCGGACTGAATTTTTTGCACCATGACAATTTAATGGGGTCCTATTCGGAAAACAATTGTTTTAAACCAGTGGCGGCTCGTGATTTTCATGACAGAGGAGGCTGAATGATATGAAATTTATTGTGAAAACAACTCTCTACGACTCACCCAAATCAATAGCTTTAAAGACATTCTGTTTACCAGTTAACCTGAACTTAATACTTGAAGAGATGTGTTCCTGTGATTTGCAGTGTCAATCCGCGAGGCAGACTTTTCAAATCATTATATCCTAATCGCCCCCAACATGATGACTTATCGGTTGAAAATAATACGCAGTACCAACAAAATAGCTTATTCCTTACCTCAGACCCCGTCAACCAGATATATTTTTTATAATTATCAGAATTGAACGAACGATTTTGTTTTTTACCTGTTACAATCAGATTTTTTTAATTCCGGTGTCGGACGTTTATTTTTCACAATCAATTTATCTTCATAAGACAAAGCACTGAATGGGTTCACCAAAAAGTATCCCACTAAATCGCAATCGTTTAAAAGACTCATTTTTCAGAAATTTATAGAGCCCCTAACCATTAACCTAACATAAACAATGCACTCGCGCTGGATTGTCCGAAATTGGCGACACGACAAACACGTGCTATTCGGTTCGGGCGTATTCGGGCATTTGCATTGCGCGCGTGGGTTGCGCTTTGTGAAATGCCTAAACACAGGAAATAAAATCAAAATCCATGTATTTTGGTGTCCTTTTGATGAGAAAGTATAGATAATATCAGTTTAAGAAGAATCTCTGAGGAGTCTCAGCCTCCGTTGCCTCCTCTGAGGAGCCGCCACTGTTTTAAACATTCTCAAACATCCACACCTGGGATTTAAATTTGAAATCAACCCCTCTGATTACACATTTATTTCCTAACAGAGAAAATATTGTTTAATTCCATGAATTTTGTTTGTCTTTTTTGAAGGAACATTGTCCAAATTATACAAGGTGTTTGATTCCCCGGCGTATATCTGGAAGGAGGTGGAAGGTAATGTGAATTTGAACATATTTAACAATATACAGGGTGGTCCGTTTTTTGATACGGGAAATTTAACAGCGTATAGTACTCGTTGAAATAATAAATAAACTTTCTATGAACATATACTTTTAAACGCTTCGTTTTCGAGATATAGGGTGTTCAAGTCCATAAGATTTTATGTGAAAAGTCGTTATTGTTGTCAACTTTATTCAAGATTAATTCCGAAAAAGACACTCTCTTCTCAGGATCTTCAGGTTGTAAATGTTGTACCGGCATCAAATGAAAAGGCTTCCTGTGATCTAAATGTCGGAACTATTACTTTTATATATGCGTGCAATAGTATAAACTGATAACTAGTATTAAACGAAAAAAGAGAACCAAAATTACTAAAAGCATGACATGATATGAGCATATTTGATGTTCCAAATTTCATAAATGAGGCTAGAAAAACAAAGGAGGAAAGGGGGGTATACCATATGAGTGAGTGTCACCCGGTATACGTCGGTGAACCAAACACTCTGTATATGTAGGTACCTGAAGATATACAGTGCCATATCACAAAGCGAATTTCTATTTCTGAATCTACTTTTGATAACTCAGTAACTAATGCGCGAAAATGATATCAAATTTATATCAATTCAGCACCTGTTGATATTAATTCTGTTTTTTTGGCCGGCACGACACTAATTTAGTTATCAAAAACATTAGATAAACCAATAAGAAAATGACATAAAGTGCATTAAATTAAGATATGCAAATGAAAGCATTTATATAGAAGCACCGACTGTATAATTCCTCATTGGAAATCATCCACAGCCTTGAAAATGCATTTCTTGTTACTACCCATCATTACCATGTATTTTTTGTGGACAGTTGATGGGCTGAAAATCACTTGGAATGATTCTATCGATCAAGATTTCGAATACAAAGTTTCTCATGGAAAAACAACTGAAATGGTGGAGATGTGTATGCCAAATAGACAATTCATATATCCAGGTAAGGATACAATTTCAAATTGACTGTCACTCTTTTGAATGATACCCCAAACTATGTAAAATCTTTATATTTTAAGGTACCAAATGGTGTGGTCAGGGTAACATTGCAGATGATTATGATGACTTAGGAGTGTACAGAGACACTGACAAGTGCTGTAGGGCTCATGATAAGTGCCCTGATACGATAGAAGCCTATCAGACTGAACATAATCTCACCAACCCTGCATTCTATACAAGGTACCTCTACTTAGACGCCCATTCAATATCTCTATATTTATTTGAGTCGGTCCAAACTTATTCCTTCCTAATAACGAGTTTCACCATTTTTCAACAAGATCGCCAAACAATTTACGGCCTAATAGGATCAAATCTACCAGAACTCAAAGCTCGAAGGACCATGCGCCTGAATCGAATTAACCATGCAGTCACTGTAAGACCGGCCAGATCGTCTCGACATCGGCAGAGAATGATAGATGGGGCAAAAGCTACCGATTGTGCCGATTGCTCTCAGTGCTTGTACGGTTTTTGATCCAAAGAAGTGTATGAAAGTAGCTGCAAAATTGGAGTTTTGGCGGATATATCTATTGTATGATCCGTAAAATAGGTTGATTGATTGATTGATTAATAGCAGAATGATCAGTCAGGGTTCGAAGCCCAAAACACTGCAGCCTTTAGGCCTATTGTATTCCTGATCATGCTGTTGACTTAGGTGAACAGGTTCGCTACCTTGATGAGGTTTAGCAGCCTCTTCACCAAATCATTCTTTGAAAATGTCTCTTGAGAGTTTACTGCTCCCAGAAGGTTGTATCTCCAACGCGCTAGTGCGTCGCACTCCAATATTACATGGGTGGCAGTTTCCTCCTCCTCATTGCATAGTCTGCATATGGGTTCGTCTGTATAGATGCCCATTTGATGCATATGTTTCCTCAAGGGGCAGTGACCGGTTATTAGTCCCGTCACTTGTTTGATCTGACTTCTGTTTAGGCTCAGAATGTCGTTAGTCACTGTTTTGGACAGTGTTCCAACCATCAGTTTACTGTGTCTTTGTCCTGGGACATTGTTCCAGTATGCCTGATGTCTTTCTTGCATCCACCTTGTCAGCCAGCCGCGTATTGAGGTTTTGGGGATACTGAACACAGGTTCCGGTCCCATAAACAACGTCGCAGACCCTTGCCTGGCAAGAGCGTCAGCTGCTTCATTGCCTTCAATCCCCTTATGCCCTGGCATCCATTGAAGAGTTACCTTGTTGTGGCTAGCCAGGGTTAGCAGGCTTTGAAGGCAATCCAGCAAGCAAGCATATGAGGATTTGTTTACCTCTGTATTCTCTTACAATATTCTCTCTCAGGCATGCCTCAATTCAATAGCATGCACCTCTGCCTGGAATACTGAAGCATACCTCCCCAAGGAAGTAAAATAGGTACTACGATAACATTTGTATAGGTCTCCTCTTTTGAGATGTTATGGATCAGAACTTTGGTTTCCATTTTTCTATTTCCTCACATGCAAAGGGCATCAAAATATCTTCCTTAAATTCAGATGAATCAATGTTTTCTTGTGTTGAAATTCGTTTGTACTATAGACACAGTACATGAATATATGTATTTAACTAGACGGCTGCTGAAGGAAGACATACTGAATGTGGCGATTCAGTGCGCGTCCTTAACCAGCAAAACTGTTAATCCTTATAATAATTAACCTACCAACTGCATTAAAAAAATTATGATAGCATGAAATCGTTCAGAAAGAAGTTGTTCGATTTTAGTCTGAATAACGACCTGATATGGCAATGTGTGTTGTAATAGGGATGCGTTTTATGTGTATCATTTTTTATATTTATTAGGGTAATTATTCAATTACTCATCAAGTCAATGGATTACTGTTAGAAACAGTATGTTACTCATCAATGGAATATTGGATCCTGTACAGGGTGGGCCAAGTTTGACAATTTTAAAGGTAAAGTCTTATTCTCGAGTTAGATATAAGCATTCTTGAACAGTTGCTACAAATATTTTTTGTGGCAAAAGTTGTCTGTTCTCATGAAAATACCTGCAAAGCATTGAGTGTGTGACAAAAATTGTTCCCGAGACATTGAAATCGGCCTTCTTATATATCTAGTTCAAAAATATAACTTGTTCTGCTTAGAGGAAAAATTCTATTTTGAAACTATATATGTAGAGTGACTTATTTCTCTGCCTGAGGACCAATTTTCATGACGAAGGCAATGCTTTTTGGAAATGTTTTCAAGAAAACGAAGGATTTTTGCAAAAAAAAAGACTTTTAGCCACTTTTCAAAAAAAACACATTTTCTAAAAACTCCTTGTAATTATAATGAAACGAAGATAGATGATACGCGATTTTCACCATTGAGTTTGTCATTGATCCTCAGGCACCGATATCAATTTTTTTCTATCCAGTACGAGTAAAAGACGTTCCATTTAAAAATGTCATCACCCATCACCCTGTACAAGCTCTTTTCTTGTGGATAAGATTATGTGAATTAAAAAAAAATAATAGTAAGACACTATTTGGTAGTAGTGTTCTAGTGCCAAACATGATAAAATGAAGCTGATAAGTACAGTTTTTTAAAATCTGAAGCTACTCAAGTTTTTATATTTTAGACTAAGCTGTGAATGTGACATGGAATTTTATCGCTGTTTGAAATCAGTGAACGATTTCTCATCCAATCAAATGGGTACGATTTATTTTGTTGCTCTTGGAACCCAATGTTTCAAAGAAGATTATCCTGTTACCGGTTGTACTGAGTATACCTATTTTCCGTAAGTAACTGGAGCAAGAAAAAATCGAGCTTAATAAAAAGGTATACTTTTAGGTTCAGAAAATGCCTCCAATATACGTTTGATGAGACACAAGAAAAACATTATCAATGGTTCGACTTGCCCAATTATTGAAATAGTTTAATAAACATACTTACTATTCCTCAGGGGTGACTCTTTTTATTTGCTTGAACTTCTTCATTTCCACAAAAGAAAACATGAACTTTACTTTGGATAGTAGTAAGGGAATGTATAGCCTTGGAACACAATTTTCTATTATGTTGGCCAATAAGAGTCCATACTTGAGAACCTCCAATGGTTTTTCTGAAAAACGTATCAAATCAAATAAATCTAGCATGTCAAAATTTAAAAAAGACGCTTACCTCCCCATACATTATGCTTGTCATACAAAAGTTTGTAAACGTCCAACATTTGTAAAGATTTATAAGGAAATATGTTGCTATAACATTCTGCTAGCCTAGTGAGATGATCTATTGAATAGGTCACATCATCTGAAACAATTCATCAGGTTATTGCCATCAAAATTTGATACTCTTGAAAACGTACAAAGACTTCGACAGACGGTAGCAGTTTTCAGGTGTTTCAAGATTATGTCCATGGAATAATGTTCATCACAGTCTAAACAATGTGCAGTAATTTTTCCTTGATCATCTTCAATTTTTCGGGCATTTCCTCCGAAGCACAATAAACACTTGTAAGGTGCATTATTCTAATAAAAAAAGTACTCAGGTAAAATTAATTATACAGGGTGTTTCAAAAAAACCTGACCCCCTTACCAGGGTAGGTAGAACACTGCAAAATAAGTTGGCTTGACTCAGTAAAAAAATTTCGTAACGGCATCCGTTACCAAGATACAATATAAGGTGTTGAAAAAATGATTTTTTACACATTTTTCAAGATTATGTCGAAACTACTGGCAACATTGTAGTGAAATTTTGTATGGATGTTTCTTGGAATCTGAAACATCGCATGAATTTGTTTTTATATCTGACTCTCATAGAGGGCGCTAGTTACACGACGGTTCGTACCGAGTAGTTTAAAAAATAACTTTTTTGAAGTTATATTTTTCAATCCAAATATGATATGAACTTGAACATCATTCAATTTTACACAAAAAAGGTATTTCTGGTGGAACTCGATACTATGTTCCGTTTTCGGAATGTTTTGGTATTCAGGCATAACTTCCAATTGTAAACAACTTTTCTCAATAACATTTTGCTGAATTTTCTGAAACAAGGGTACTTTACTCTTGAGCAATTTTTATATTTTTTGACCTACCCTGTATGCTGTGTGACTTGCAACCATTTTAAGTGCACCTAAACTAGTTACCGAACATGCACCAACAGTCGGCACTATCTGTATTTTGGTTGTGCAATTCATTAAAAAGATTCCCATATGTTGCACACTTAAATGACCACACTGTATATGTAACATATATCATTTCGACGAAATTTGCAGTTGGCTCTTGGACTATATAGGGATTTGTAATTTGGCATGGTAGGTCTTCCACGTCTTCCAAAAATTTTTATGATGGTTATTTTTCCCGTTCTTCCCCTGTATTTATCTTCTATTGTCAAAATTTTGTCATTAAGGTCAATAGATTAGAAGTCATAGTCATAGGTGGAAGACAAAGTGCTGCTTTTTTTCTCAATCAACTCCCCAGACATAAAATTAGCACTTTCACTGACTGAGAGATAAAAAAAATTCTAGGTAGTGAACCCTAACTGCGCTATTTTACTCTGAATTAATTTTTTTTATCGATTTATCTATAATCTATACTGTCCCAATTCAATGGTAACCATTCTCGCATTTTGGAGTAGAAAGAATGTAAATTATTATTGTATACACATTATTTATACAGTGCTTCCCAGAATACAATTTAAATAGTGTTCATTTTAGTGTTTTAAAAAAACGCTGGAAACCGTCAATTTTTATTTTTTGATGCAGGTTTTTTGGTGGTATATTGATGTATACAGGGTAGTCCAAAAAGAAGCTACAACATTCAACTTCATTTCTTCAAATGAAAACATTCATTTTGTATTAAATCTTTGAATATTGCATGGAATTCTAGGTATGTTTCATGTACATGTACATGTACTGTTCTAATCTGAACAGCTATCTAAGAAAATACGATTTAAACATATCAATAAGTATAAATACCTGTGCAGTGAAAATAACTGAACAAACTAAGTCAAATTAAACATTACATTCTGGGAAGCACTGTAATGATATAAAATTCGGTTTCCCTATATTTCCTTACCAACTTCCTCTCATATTCACAAAATGAACAGTAGCAGGTAAATAGAAGAATTTCTTGTGTTATTAAATGTCGTTCAGCCACAGTCAACAATGCATTCACTTCAGCATAACAAACTGTGATTTCTTCACCACGTTCAATAGTTTTCAGACTTTTTACCAATAGATAATTAGAGCAAACACTGAAAATAAAAGGGCTGGATCAAAACTGCTCAGCACAAATTAAAGTCAATTTCTTTGTGAAAATTTAGAATGTATGTAACTGCCAAAATTGATTGTCCTATATCCTTTCTCATTGTCTTAGTAACAGGTGAAACAATATAACAGTGAATATGATAGTTATTTTGAAAATTATTTTTCACTTCCTGATTAGTAGAAGATTATCTATTTTAGTGTTGAAAGCTTACACAATTACAGTTTGGAGATCAAGCATCATGGTCATTACACAAATTAAGGTCAATTTCTTTGTGAAAATTTGGAATGTAGTAAACTGCCAAAATTGATTGTCCTATATCCTTTCTCATTGTCTTAGTAGCACAATCTGTTAGCACTGTAGCAGGTGATGTTGAATTCAGAAATGGATATTGCAAACAGGTGAAACAATATAACAGTGAAAATGATAAAATTATTTTGAAAATTATTTTTCACTTCCTGATTAGTAAAAGATTATCTATTTTATTGTTGAAAACTTACACAATAACACAGTTTGGAGAACAAGCATGGTTAATGCAAGCTATAGTAGGGCATATAGCCTTTCCTGTTCCACTAACTACATCCAGACCCCAACTTTTTGCAAAGTTTGGATACTTTATTATAACATTATTCATTTGAGCATGGCAAAAATGTTTCACCATCAGTCCACCAATATATAAATGTATTTTGTCCATGTCACTTTTAGATTGGAATTGATCAAAAAAAGTTGTCTTCAGAATTAAATACAACAAATTTCTTGTTGCACCCTAGAACATTCAAATTAAAAAGAAGTCATTGATTATGAATATGCTCACATATAATATTTTGTTGATTTGGGCTGAAGACAATTGATTGAAATTTGTCTCAAGGGAATAAATGAATGGGTAATTATTCTCTGGGTTCCCATATTTCATTTCATCTTTAATATCAGTCACAAAGTGTTTGCTTGCACCATACAACATCAATCTGAATGCCATATAGCTGTAGTCTGTATCTTCCATTGACCAGAAATGTCTCTGAAGCCCATAACATTCATATCTATGATAGTTTTTGTAAGCCATACTGAGGCATGTTCTTGAACAGAATATACAAACATTACAGCCCCTACATCTGAAGCAAAAGAAAGCTAGAAAAGAGATGACTTGATGCAAGAATCAAGTAGGTATTACGTATAAAAAAGTTTGCAAGTTATTCCACAGTTATGGCATCTATAGAGAGATGAATCCTTATCTCCCACACATGTACATAGTGGCCTAACTTGTAGTACTGTTGGGCATTCATTTATAATAACTGTATCCCTTGGAATCTCTTCTTTAGCAATGAAATGTTTTCCTCTCTCAATAGAATTTCTGCAGCAAACATTGTCAATTAGAGATTATGTCAAATAGTTTTCAAAGAAAACTTACTCTAGCCCCAAGAGATTGGAACAATAAAGGATATCCTTGCTCTGTTTTTTGAGAGGAATAGGTTCAAAATATGAGTTAAGTTCTTCATTGGGGATTTCATTATTCATTACATCTTTGAACAGTTCACAATAATCATTCATCACCTCAATATCTCTGAGTATTTTGTTGATACATCCATTTTTGCTTGAAACAAATAATAAAATAATATTATTCCTAGTTAATAGTAAATCTTCAAATATTTCAAGGTGGATTAATATAGGACCTACATAACTATATATTCATACCTTATAGCATTGTAGTATTTGGCAAAGGCATCATATTCATTCAAGTAAGTTTCTTTGAAATAGTACTTTCCTTGAAAATTTATATTATCTCCAGCTAAAAAACGTACCCAATAATGTTGAGAAATAAAAATGGACAAGATCTAAACTCACCCTTAGTTAGGGGCATGTTTTCAAAACAAAATGAAAAGAGGATCACAAAGTTGGTAACTAGTTCGACCTGAATTTCATGAACATGAATAACGAAAAATCGAATAAACTAATATAGTCAAAACACCCAGTAAATAAAAATAATAAAAATATGAACGAAATAAACACTAATCACTGGAACTGACATTACTCATCCTTACAATAATTATACAACCCACACATCTCATTTCGAAGGAAAGTTATGAACTACTCGAAACTGTGTCGAAGTGAGTAGTTCAAATGTCGTATTTTGGTATTTTTCATTTAAAACCAGAAGAAGAACGGTTTGACATTTGACAACAATTTACTCCTTGAATTTGACAGTGACACTGACACATCAGCAGTTTTTATTTATATTAATTATTTGTTTTTGTTGTGATGACAAAAATACAAGAACTATAATTTGATGATAGATTATATTGTATAAAAGCAGCTGACTATTTAAAGATGTCTCGCCACAGGGACATCAGAAATATGGATTATCTGGATGGTAATACTCTTCATGTTTGATTGGATATTCATCTTTTGAATTTGTGATCTTCCAGACTATGATGGATATGATGATGTATATGGACATTCTGTTGAGGACGATTATTACATTTCCCCCAGTAACAGACAATTCATCTATAATCGTGAACACTCCACAAGAAGTTCTGAAGGTGATATCAAAGAAGAAGATGAATCAGAGGCACAATTAACTGATTTGGAAAAAACTAAAGTGGAATCTTGCATAGATCAAATCAAAGAAACTCTAGGTTCTATTAGTATCAGTAGAAATGATCTGATAAACATGATAATGAAGGAGTCCTTCAATGTAGAAAAGATAATAAATACAATCTTGGAAACACCAAGAGTCCAGCCAGAACCAGTTAAAGAAAAAGGTGATTTTCAGTTTGTTTTATTCTAGCCACATCTACACATTAGTGAATTGAACATTCTGGAAAAATTATATCTTCACCTATTTCACCAAGATACTCATTGTTTGCCATGTGTGAAGCAGAATTATTTCACAGGACTACAATATTTGATGACTCATTGGCATGAAACAAAACTTTCAAATTAGTGCACAGTAGGGCTCATTAATGAGTGTACTGGATATTAATTAACACATCTAACTGTATTTTTTTTTTCTTTTTCATGTCTCTGCTTCATTTGGCAACTTATGTAAGGTAAGATGATATCAAACAACAAAAACAGTTCATTATACCAAATTTGAATAGTTCTAATGTTACAAAGAATAGCAATAATGTGAAGAATTTCATTATACCCAATATTTTTGGTAAAACATCCACTTCTATGGACAGAATCAGTATTGATAAACCAACATTTTTTGTTCCAAAACTGAATTCAACCAACTGTGGGAAATCAAATTTTGTAATTCCTAAATTGGACTTTTCTGATAAACCTAACATTAGAAAGCCTGGTTTGAAACATGATCAAGATACTATTAAAAACAAATCAGAGAATACTACTCTCTCTCAGCTAGTTGACAACCATTTAAAAAATAGTTCCCTCCAATCTCAACTTGATATTCTAAGTAGCAATGTGAAAAAGTTACAAGTAACTAGTTTGACTGATTATAGCCCTTTTCCATCTGAACAGCTTCAAATACATAGTACTCAGAGTCAGTCTCAGATTTCTGTGAATAGGGAGAACAAATTCCAAATTGACCTATCATCAGCACTGAAAAACACTGATAGTGTGCAGAATATTAATAAAAATGTTCATCATCCTGATGAAAGTTTTGAAATACCATTCATTGATGGTGACAAAAATGATTTGTCCAAACATATAGATGGACATCATTCTTCTGGTGATTTTGAGACAACTTTTGATATCAGCAGTATCATAAAGTTGAGTTTAACTAAGGAAAAGAAGAGATCAACATTTGGGAATGCTATATGTAGAAAATATAAGAAAAATATCATCAGGCAATGGAAACATAACCTAGATAGTTTTGATCTGAAGAAAAAACCTTTTGACTTTGGTACTAAATCTCCTGATGATATTGTACATAGTCATCTAAATTGGTAGCCAAATTGCAAAATGATACAAAATGAGATGGTCTTCACAAAGAGTAGTAGATAATACTGTACATTTCAATATTGATACAGCAGTATTTTTAAATAATTGAGAGAAGCTTATTTTGTATCATTTTCTCCAAAATAGTTTGTATTTTAAATTTAAATGTTAGTCATAGTGAATGATCGTACCAATATTTTAATTATACTCATTTAATTAGAGTAATATCTTTTTATATTTTCCAAGTCTGAAAAGCTTAGGCAAATAAATACATTATAAATTTAATTTCCTAAGTAAACATACAATCAACAACAGCACAGTCTGAGCTACCTACCATAAAAGTGGTGTCAACACCTAAAACTGCAACAAATGTGACAAAAGGCTTTGACTTGCCTCAAAAAGAGGCCAGGCCCCCTGTTTTGACCCCAAGGTCACAGTCGCCATCTTCAGACAGAGAGACCCCTACAAACTTACCAAATGTTGATGCATCAGAGGATCTCAAAACTCCCAAAATTAGGGAGAACAAGTTGGATGTTCAACAGGTTTATCAAAAGGAACGTGGGGATGGTAAAGAACATTTGTACATGGTTGTCATTGGACACGTGGACGCCGGTAAAAGTACACTGATGGGACGCCTCTTGTGTGATTTAGGACAAGTAAGTTTGAAATTAATGCAGTATCATTAACAGGGATGGTGAATTTTCGGTAATGAAAGAAATTTTGACAACACCTCATGCCTGAATAAAATTATGTAAATTACATACAAAATTGACTGTATAATACCCGATGCACTTCATTTAGATTCTGATGGAAAATATGTATCTTTCAAAATGACACCTCAACGCCATCTTGTAAGACTTTCTCAAATGAAATGGGGTTGAAAATTTTGACATATTGCAAATTGAGTTCAAATATCGCATTGACCTACCCTGAAGTTGGGGTTCGGTGAAACCAGAAGTGATGGAAGGGTAATGTCACTCAAATACCTTTCAATTTCATATTTTTTTTTTTAGAATTTTTCGTTCGATTTTAAGGTGCTAAAATCAACAATAATGCTAAAACTGACGTCACGATTTCGCAAGTATGGACAGACCATAGCAGGGTTGCCATATGTTAAAATAAGTTTGGAACTTCAGAAATATTAGTTATTCATTAATTCATAAATTCTCAATTTTGATTGTTATATTCCTGATTAAACATAAAAAATCAATTGTCTCAAGATATTCCCTTTTCTGTTGTTGCTTATTGCTTTTCATTTGTGTTAATAATGATATTATATCAATCTACACTAGAGGAAATTTGGGGGTAAACGTGACAACACGGCGCACGAATCGTGGGTGGTGCCTTGTCAGTTCTTAGCATTCAGCACATGGTTGCCAAGTCTTCAACATCAACACGATATTCGGAGCTAAAGATATACAGGGTTGGGCAAAATTATGGAACCAGGGGAATATCTCGGTAACCGTCTGATACATTTCTTTGAATATATGTACAGGGTGGTCTCAAAACGTGGTGGATTTGAAAATGATATCGTCAATGTTGCCACTTTACCAGTTTTTCCAGAATTATTATCAACTTCCTTATTTTAAATCATTTCATCGATTCATCATACTTAGGGTCTAGCAAGAATTTTTACTGAGATATAGGGCGTTCAAAATCGAAATTTTTCAACTTTAGGATTTTTTTGTGTCGAAACTATTCATTATTGGTCAAAACGGCTCAAATGTCTCTATCTCAACTTTTGATTTACTACCTACTGGTATTTAATGGGAACAAATACAGGGTGATCAGATTTCTGAATCTTGAACCACCCTGTATTTGTTTCAATTAATCATATTAGAAACCACGATCAGATTTCTGAATCTTGAACCACCCTATATTTGTTTCAATTAAATGTCAGTAGATAGTTAATCAAAAGTTGACGCAGCATGTGAGCCGTTTCGACCAATAATGAATAGTTTCGCCACAGAAAAATCCTAAAGTTGAAAAATCTCGATTTTGAACAGCCTATATCTCAGTAATCATTCCTGCTAGACCCCAAGTGTGATCTATCGATGAAATCAGCTTTTCAGAAAGAATCTGAAAATTCGATAAAATACAGGGTGTTCTATTTGAAATAAGGAAGTTGATAATAATTCCGGAAAAACTGGAAAAGTGGCAACATTGACGATATCATTTTCAAATCCACCACGTCTTGAAATCACCCTGTACATATATTCAAAGAAATGTATCAACCGGTTACCGAGATATTCACTTGGTTCCATACTTTTGCCCAACCCTGTATTTGGACATGCTGGTTGCACGAAAAAGTCAAGAATGAACCATAGTATCATGGCTTCCTCATATTCTGTTTCAACTCGTGTTTTATTCAACGACAGAACTCTAATCTTTTTGATAAATTGATTATAATTAGTGACTTGACAACCTTGCTTCATGAGGTGAAATGGAAGATTATCTAACCAATAACGAAACAGCATGAAAACTGACGTCAGCATTTAGTCGACGTATCACCAAATGGCAGCCATGACGGTACGTTTGAAATGAGCTCTGAAATTCAGTAATTTTGACCAACTCATAATTTACATAAAAAAAAACGGGATAAGCGTTGCCAAAATTGATTTAGGTCCTTAACGACACAGCGGAGTAATTTAATGCCAATAATTCATACACTCGCCCATTCTTGAATCCATCTGCAAAGTTTAAATTTCATACATTCAGAACTCTGGAAATTATGGCTTGTCTATTGAATACGTTGACACCCGGTATGTATATTGTATAATGACACAATATAATCTTGTAATTCTCCAACCCTGTCAATGGAAATGAACAAAGGGCATTTCACATAAATGCAACTTTTTGAAAAATTTATCTTTTTTTTATTATTGACCATCGGAAAGTTTCCTTTTCATAAAATAAGTTCGGAACTCCTCAGTTTAATGTCCACGCTGTACAGAATAGCGATCGCTAAACTCGTTTTTATTTTCAAAATAAGGCAATTTCCGATTTTCGGAGCGACAAACTGTGACGTATGTACCGGGTGTCGCATTTTTTATGGAAGCACCCCCGTATCTCACGTAATTATTGATGTAGGGTTCTGAAATTTGCCGGAGGAAGAGAAAGTCCAAAGATAAAGTCAATTACGTGCTTCATATTTCATTTTTCCGAACTGAAAATTTTCCAGGAAAAATTTGAATAGTTAGTAAATTGGGCGTCCTGATTCCAAATCTGAAGTGATTTTCGACCTATTTTGACTCCTAATATCATTTTCCGGAAATTGGGGTAGTTTCATGGCTGTTGGCGAGCAGTGTATATTACTGAAGATGACCCCACTTGGTCATAGAGTGCATTTTTGGTATATCTCTCGCTTCAGCAAATTTCAGGATCCTTACCCAATGGTTACGTAAGATACAGGGGTGGTTCCATTAGAAGTGGGTCACACTGTATAAACTTTATTTCCTAAAATATAACAAGGAATCACCTTGATTTTTTTTATGTATTTTAGATATACACTGCAGAATTAGACCGTTTTTTCAACTTGCAGGTGAACCAGAGAATAATGCACAAATATGAACAAGAAAGCAGAAAATTGGGGAAACAAAGCTTCATGTATGCTTGGGTGTTGGATGAGACTGGAGAGGAACGTAATAGGGGAATAACAATGGATGTAGGCCGATTCCAATTTGAGACAGATACAAAAATTGTAAGAAAATATGTGTGATGATATACTTTCACTGTCAGATAATTTTTCATATCATGAATACCTTTTTGGTGTAAAATTGAATAATGTTCAAGTTCACATGACATTTGGACTACAAAATCTTAGTGAGGAAACGCGTCATTCTGTAATAGATATCTGGCTCTGACCATATCATTATGGAATTACGAGTTAACCCATATGATACATAATAATATATTCAAATTCCGCTATTGGTGGTTGATGGATTCTCGACTCTCAATATACCGGGTGACCAGTTATATTCTGACCCATTTCAAATGCTCATATCTCTGAAACCATTCAAGTTATCGCTGTGCGGTTTGGACTAGTCTATTTTGATGTTTTTCGAGTTTTTTTTGACGTGTTCATCTTCTCACTTGAACTTCCGGTTCTACCGGAAACAAACAAGCAATAATACAGGTATAGGGCAACTTTTTCGTTTCATCGAATCACCCTGTATATTTTTGCACATTCAGAAAGAACTGGTCTTTTCTTTATCTAACAATGTATTACAAGTTATGTTCTCCTAGAAAACTATTAGAGTTATAACTGTTTGAAACAACTACTGCTTGTGGAATAGTTTAATGAGATTATGCAATGTTATCAAAGTTGCCCTATACCTGAATAATGGCTTGTTTGTTTCCGGTACAACCGGGAGTTCAGGTGAGAAGGTGAACCAGTCAAAAAACTTGAAGAATATCAAAATAGAGAAGTCCAAACCGCACAACGATAATTTGAATAGTTTCGGAGATATGAGCAGTTGGAATGGGTCAGAATATAACTGGTCACCCGGTACCTATTGTATAGGTGCGTCATATTAAGCACTGCTTTATTAATCAGGACATCTATTTTTCAATCATTTTGCATCGATAAAAACTATCGGATTATAGATTTTTTTATTAATATGAAAGTGAAATGTTCACGCCCGATCAACAAATTAGCTCGCGGGCGCTAAAGTTCCACTTTACGCCCGGTTTTGCGGTCTTTAAAGAGCTAACTTTTTCATTTATGTTTCCCGTATAGTGACAGCACCACTGTCCGAATCAAGGTAACCTCGTAAAATTTCATTGTTTATTGAATAGTCAATGAAATAGCAAGTATCGGAACAGGATTCGCTACTGTTCAGATTCAAAACATGATTTGACTTACCATCTGGAATTTTCTTCGAAGGAATGCAGTTCTCACCAGTGTGACCCATGTGATTCCAACGATTGCACTTTAAGCGAGGCTGCAAACAGTTAGCTGCTACGTGGCTTCGTTGATTACAATTGAACGATTGTTTGAAGCTTCAAACCTGTCCTTCCCTTGCAGTGAACTTCTCGAATTCAAATGGGTTTTGTTTACCCGTCGTTCGTCCTTTTGGATCGGCTTGTCTGTTACTGACGAATCACTTTGTATTGCAGATAGACATTTTTCGTACAGAATTTCTGGTGATTCGTAACGACCAGCTGTTGCACCGTTTTGCAAAGCTTTGTCGACCAAACCATCAATAATACAAGACACAGCATGTTTTCCAGATATTTGACATGTTCTTGGCAATTCCATATTCTCAAAATAGTATGTAGTCATCGTTTCTTTTGGCAACTTTACCCTATTTAGCATTTTCCAGTGAACAGTAGCATAATCTACATGATCTGGGAAAGATTTCTTCAACAGCGACTTCCATTCCGTCCAAGTGAGGTTGTAATTAGATAAACTATGGTACCAGCTCTTAGCCATACCAGACAATCTTGATTGCATGTGGTGAATGGTAGCAGCATCGTCCTAATCGTTAATATTTTTCAACTGCTCTTTCTTTTCCATCATTTTGATATCCGTTAGGTTAGGATGATCTGAAAAAGAAAATTCTGGTATACAGTCGCTGTGTATAGTGAAACGAGTCGTATCTTTACTAGGTTGTTTGCGGTTTTCGGCATTTGAAAAACCTTCTATCAAGCGTTTTAAACGTTTAATTCTCTTACGTGCATCAATGAGGGAGAGTTCAGAATGAGGTTGAGGCGAAAACGATGATCTAGGAAATGCTAAGGGCTATTGTGGATGTAATAGTGAACGAGAGGCAAAACTCCTACCTCTTCAATTTGAACATGAGGATCGTTCCCTAACCTGTTCACAATTTTGATGTCTATACTCCTCTCTCTCTCTGCCCTGTTCCTGATCTGACTCCTCAGATTCACTCTCGAAGTCAACAGGTGACCTCGACCTTAGTCTGGAATGTTTGGAACTACGAATAAGCTTATCCATTCTTCCAAAACTAAAAGTATGAATCCACTTGTGTCACTGTTCACCTCACTACTACGAAGAAAAAACACTTCAAGGACACGTAGAACACGCCGCACACCCGAACTGTGAAAGGTTCACTCAATGAAAATGTCTTTAGATCCAAAATCACTAGGTATATTTCCCAACGGCAAAAATACAATACAAGTGACCGTATCAAACGACTCTCTTAGACTAACTGACTAACATATCATCACTCTACTACTCATCTTCCGTTTACGTAAGTGGATGAATCAGGCCTATGTGCCAAATATACGAAGTACAGGGCGATTCCATTCCATTTTCGTTCTCACATATTATGAAAATTGAAATCCAGATGCGCACTTGGGGAAAAATTCATGTTTTATTGTTATGTGAAAAAAGTTCACTTTGTGATCACTTTTCTCGAAAAATTTCAGATTCAGAAAGATCAGACAAAACTCAATGAGTACTAATCTTCAATTTGCACGGCACACTTTGACCGGTTCAATAAAAAAATATGAAATAAAATCGTTCCAATAAATTTTCTTTCTTTCACAATATGATGTGAAATAAATTGAAAGTTAACATTTTTTTTAATAGAAAGCTTTTATTTAAACGCTCTAAAAAGAATAAAATAAAATGTATAACCTCATTATACACAATTTATATGATCATAAAAGCTAGTCGCGATGATCAACATTTAATTAAATTGAAATTTCAAAAATTCAAACAGATTTTACGAAATTAAATCAGTACTAGTTCATTCATACAAGTAAATCGTGCGACAAGCTTTTATGATCATATGAATTGTGTATAATGATAGTTAAAATTATAGAGGAACATTTTATTTTATTGTTTTTAGAGCTTTTAAATAAAAGCTTCTTATTGAAAAAATGTTTTACTTTTCATTTATCTTTTTAGTTTTTAGTTATCGCTGTCTAGGTTTCTCAGTTTGTTCATTCATTCAACGCATCATTGTTGCAAGGTCGTTTGCCGGTTAATTTCGAACAGTCCAGCTCTTCAATTAAGAGACCGTCTAATGATTGTACACATTATTTTCCCAGTTGCTCTCAACGAGCCCTTAAAGTGATTTAAAAATAACTATTCCGTCATCTTGGATAGTCCGCCATATTGGATTTTGAATGACGTCACATTATATTTAGAGTTACTCTCAATAAGCCCTTTCATATGATACCCATATTGTAGAAGTGCACTAAAAATAACTATTCCGCCATCTTGGATGGTCCGCCATATTGGATTTAGAATAACTTCACACACCTTATCGTGCATTGTCATCCAAACTAAACGTGAATACGAAATTTCAGCTCAATTGGTTGAAGATATCTACTTCAAAATTAAGTTCAAAGATTCTGCCCGAACTAACATACATACAGAGTGGGCCTTTGAAAACGAAACAGAGGCTCTGTAGGTCGCCAAAACCGGATTATGAAAAGAATCTGAAACACGTCAACTACGTTTTCGAGGGGGGCATCGTCCTACAATATTTTCAGCCCTGCGGCGTTGCCGCTGCTAACGAAAATAAGCAACAACTTTGTTATTCCAAATGGAACACCTTGTGTTTCATTGCATTTTTAGATTCTCCCCGAAGAGCTGATTTCATCAATGCATCACACTTGGGGTCTAGCTGTAATGGTTTCAGGGATATAAAATGTTCAAAATCGAGATTTTTCAACTTTGACATTTTTTTGTGTCGAAACTATTCATTATTGGTCGAAACGGCTCTCATGTCCCTATCTCAACTTGTGATTTACTATCTACTGACATTTAACTGGAACAGATACAGGGTGATCAGAATTCTGAATCTTGAACCACCCTGTATTTGTTTCAAATAAATGTCAGTAGATAGTAAATCACAAGTTGAGATCGGAACATGGGAGCCGTTTTGACCAATAATGAATAGTTTCGACACAAAAAAATGTTAAAGTTGAAAAATCTCGATTTTGAACACTTTATATCCCTGAAACCATTACAGCTAGACCCTAAGTGTGATGCATTGATGAAATCAGCTCTTCGGGGAGAATCTAAAAATGCAATAAAATACAAGGTGTTCCATTTGAAATAACAAAGTTGTTGCTTCTTTTCTTTAGAAGCGGCAACGCCGCAGGGCTGAAAATATTTTAGAAAGATGTCCCCCTCGAAAATGTAGTTGACCTGTTTCAGTTTTTTTTTGATAATCCGGTTTTGGCGACCTACAGAGCCTCTGTTTCGTTTTCAAAGGCCCACTCTGTATATACATCCATACATTACAAGTTGAATAAAAGCTTTTGATAAAAATACAAACTAACCAAACATTTGTATTTGGGAACGGCAAAATATGTGCTGCTTGAAGTGCAAAAATGTCTCCATATCTGGGCCTGCGTGCATAAATAAAATGGACGAATGAAAACAGTTCGATTTCCAAAACAGGTGACGATCCTGGACGCTCCCGGCCACAAGGACTTCATACCGAACATGATCTCTGGGGCGGGACAGGCGGATGTGGCGCTGCTGGTGGTGGACGCTACCAGAGGCGAATTCGAGACCGGTTTCGATGCGGGGGGCCAGACCAGGGAGCACGGGCTGCTGGTGCGCTCGCTGGGAGTCTCCCAGGTGGCCGTGGCTGTCAACAAGCTTGACACGGTGGCGTGGTCGCAAGAAAGGTGGTTACACTGTCTTTTTGTTGTTGTGTTTTTGTACCCCTTGGAAAAGAAGTTGGTGCGCCTGTGTGTGTCAAATTTGATATCTTATTCCCAAATTTATTTCACTTTCCATCAACAACCTTAATTGTTTTACACAGGGCGCCCTGTGGAGACAGCACTGTTTCTATAGTTGAAAAGAAATATTATTAATTGTTTTTTATGTAAATAAATTGTTATCTAGAGGAGTGGTGTAATTCTTATTCCTATCCAGATAATCGTTATAAATGGCGCAGTCGGTAGGAATAAGAATTACACCACTTCTCCAGATAACACTTCATTAACATAAAAAACAATTAATAATATTTCTTTTTTCAACTATGGAAACAGTGCTGTCTACAGGGCGATTGAATTTAAGTAATAATATTCATGCAACATTCGAATATATTCTGCATTACCGATCTCTACCCTTCTCAACAAAAAGTAGTTGTCGCTGACAGATACAGTCACATACTGAATAGAATTTCTGGCTTCATTTCTCTCAGAAGGATGGTTCATCTTGTTAGTGTAAATAACCACTGCTACTATCTAGACAGGTATATGTCGTATGGTATATTGCTCGCCTGAAAACGCTTCAGCTCAATCCACATGAACCTCCAAACTGTTATTTATGATATTGAGTCATGTCTCTTGGTGTTCAGAAACATAAGTAAGAGTGAGTAAGATATATGACAGGTCCTAACTGCGCATGATTTATGTTCTCCACTTCGATCTCGTGAGTGGCATAGCTTCTTTCTTATGACATTAGCGGTCTAGATAGTAGCTACTGTTGTAGCCAACCTCACGAAAGATATGTTCAATTTGATGAAATAAATGAAAGGTTTCAGCGTTAACTAAATCATCAACCTGATTTTCAATGGAAGAAGTTCATGGTTACTCAAAGTGGAGTGGTGTAGTTCATAGATAAAAAAACCCAAAGTCATCACAATTTTTTTATTACATGTTTTGAGCTTCTATAAGCCCATCATCAGCCGATAATTAGTTCAAAGTTCTAGAAAAAAACCGGTATTGAATGAGGATATTGATGCGATGATTGCTTACTTACATGGAAGTGAAAAAAGTTGAAATTCAAATAGAGTGGACAATAACAGAGCAAACAAAAGAAAATGCTCCATGATCTGGAAAACAAATAGTAAAGGAATTTGTAAAGGAAGTTCAGAATAGGAAAAACTCACTGTATATGTAAAATAAAGGGCCCACGTGTCCTTAAATCACCGAAAAGTGGCAATTACCCAAGAAATTTTATGGTCTCTGACCATAACATTTTATTGATTGTCGATCTCTGATTTTCTGATAGGTTCAACGAGATCGTCGCGAAATTGAAAGCTTTCCTCAAGCAGGTCGGGTTCAAGGACACCGATGTGACGTTCGTACCTTGCAGCGGGTTGACGGGACAAAACTTGGTCAGCAAACCGACTGAGACAGAGCTGATCAGTTGGTACGACGGTTCCTGTCTATTGGATGTGATAGGTAACGAACAAAGAACTAGATTTCATAACTGATAGATATAGGATGAATAGAGTTGTTCCAATTGTTAGCAACAACGAGTAGGTGTCACAGCTGTTTCGGCCCACCAGGCCTCATCAGCCGCTCTCGGTCTGTTGACAATGGGGACTAGATCATCATGTATTATCAGGCAACGAACAATATTTCCATATCATTATTAAATGATTGGCAAATTTGAATGATCTTAAAAGAACTGTTTCTATTTTCAGATAAATTCCGATCTCCAGAGAGACCTGTCAATAAGCCTTTCAGATTATCTATCGATGATATATTCAAGGTACAGTATCATTTTGCCCAATTTAATTTTCTATAAAAGTGATTGACCGTATTTCCTCGGAATATGTTAAACGCGTTGTGCTACTTATTGGCAGCAATTACTGTCAAACTATCTCCAAAAATTAACTTTTCAACAGCTTTTGATTTGATAAAAATACAATAATTTAAACAGTGGTGCTGATTTTGTTCATATTTGCTATTTGACAACTTTGTGGCTAACTTCACAATACATGTCGAACCATTGAAAATATGCTCCCAAGAAGTTGCGAAAGTTGATGCAAATGATACATATCGATACGGAACAAGAGCCCCTTTTTTCTATAAAAAGGTGTGGATTTTCATAATCCGAGATTAAATTGTCGAAAAATATGCACATAAAAAAGTTTGAGCAGTATTTTTAGTGTAGTCCCTTTATTATGCACCCCTGAATTAAATTTTGGAATATTTTTATTTTCACTGCATTGGGCATGGAAAGTTAGATTCTTGTACCGAATATCATATATTTGCTCATGTTCATTGAAACTTTCCTTCACATTTTTGGTGGTAGAAGCCGCTGGTGAAGTTTGGCAGCGAGCTAATTTCGTGACACCCTGTATATCCCGTTGAATTCCGATTTCAGGGTACCGGCACGGCCTTCTGCGTATCAGGCAGAATCGAAACCGGCTGCCTGACCGTCGGCGACAAGATCCTCGTGTGCCCCAATCGAGAATCGGCCATTGTCAAGTCGCTGGCTATCGACGAGGCGCCGCAGGCGGTCGTCTTCGCCGGCGACCAGGCCACAGCCACCTTGTCCGGCATCGAAATGCAGAACGTCTCTGTGGGGAACGTGCTTTGCGATCCGACGAGTCCTGTACAAGTGGCCTCTCAGTTTCAAGCGAGGATCGTGGTGTTCAACGTGACAGTTCCTATTACGAAAGGTAGGTTATTTTACACGTTTTGTTTGTAATTGGAGCAAAAGAATGTGCAAAATGTTCCTTGATCCTAGCACTGTTGGTTCTCCTGGTTTGTCCTACATAAGTTTCGCTGCTATCATGACAACTTAACTGTTGATCAATAATTGAACCACAGCATTCGATATTTTCGCGAGAATTCCACATATTCGGATGCGGTTTTCTTCATTTTGAAGATAAATCCATTGGATATAATAATATGACTATTAGACCGTTGTCTTCGCCGGCGACCAGGCCACAGCCACCTTGTCCGGCATCGAGATGCAGAACGTCTCTGTGGGGAACGTGCTTTGCGATCCGACGAGTCCTGTACAAGTGGCCTCTCAGTTTCAAGCGAGGATCGTGGTGTTCAACGTGATGGTCCCTATTACGAAAGGTAGGTTATTGGACTGTTTGACACGTTTTGTTTGTAATTGGAGCAAAAGAATGTGCAAAATGTTCCATGACCTAGCTATGCTGGTTCTCCTGGTTTGTCCTACATATGTTTTGCTGCTTTCATGATAACTTAACTGTTGATCGATAAATGAACCAAAACATTCGATATTTTCGCGAAGATAACACATATTCGGATGCGGATTTCTTCATTTTGAAGATGAATCCGTTGGTTATAATAATATGATTAGACTGTCTTCGCCGACGACCAGGCCACGGCCACCCTGTCAGGCATCGAGATGCAGAACATCTCCGTGGGGAACGTGCTTTGATATCCGACGAGTCCTGTACAAGTGGCCTGTCAGTTTCAAGCGAGGATCGTGGTGTTCAATGTGACAGTTCCTATTACGAAAGGTAGGTTATTTGACACGTTTTGTTTGTAATTGGAGCAAAAGAATGTGCAAAATGTTCCTTGATCCTAGCTCTGTTGGTTCTCCTGGTTTGTCCTACATAAGTTTCGCTGCTATCATGACAACTTAACTGTTGATCAATAATTGAACCACAGCATTCGATATTTTCGCGAGAATTCCACATATTCGGATGCGGTTTTCTTCATTTTAAAGATAAATCCATTGGATACAATAATATGACTATTAGACTGTTGTCTTCGCCGGCGACCAGGCCACAGCCACCTTGTCCGGCATCGAAATGCAGAACGTCTCTGTGGGGAACGTGCTTTGCGATCCGACGAGTCCTGTACAAGTGGCCTCTCAGTTTCAAGCGAGGATTGTGGTGTTCAACGTGACAGTTCCTATTACGAAAGGTAGGTTATTTGACACGTTTTGTTTGTAATTGGAGCAAAAGAATGTGCAAAATGTTCCTTGATCCTAGCACTGTTGGTTCTCCTGGTTTGTCCTACATAAGTTTTGCTGCTATCATGACAACTTAACTGTTTATCAATAATTGAACCATAGCATTCGATATTTTCGCGAGAATTCCACATATTCGGATGCGGTATTCTTCATTTTAAAGATAAATCCATTGGATATAATAATATGACTATTAGACCGTTGTCTTCGCCGGCGACCAGGCCACAGCCACCTTGTCCGGCATCGAGATGCAGAACGTCTCAGTGGGGAACGTGCTTTGCGATCCGACGAGTCCTGTACAAGTGGCCTGTCAGTTTCAAGCGAGGATCGTGGTGTTCAACGTGACAGTCCCTATTACGAAAGGTAGGTTATTGGACTATTTGACACGTTTTGTTTATAACTGGAGCAAAAGAATGCTCAAAATGTTCCCTGATCCTAGCTCTGTTGGTTCTCCTGGTTTGTCCTACATATGTTTTGCTGCTATCATGATAACTTAACTGTTGATCAATAATTGAACCACAACATTCGATATTTTCGCGGAAATTCCAAATATTCATTTTGAAGATAAATCCATCGGATATAATAATATGACTATTAGACCGTTGTCTTCGCCGGCGACCAGGCCACAGCCACCTTGTCCGGCATCGAGATGCAGAACGTCTCAGTGGGGAACGTGCTTTGCGATCCGACGAGTCCTGTACAAGTGGCCTCGTCAGTTTCAAGCGAGGATTGTGGTGTTCAACGTGACGGTCCCTATTACGAAAGGTAGGTTATTGGACTATTTGACACGTTTTGTTTGTGATTGGAGCAAAAGAATGTGCAAAATGTTCCTTGATCCTAGCTATGTTGGTTCTCCTGGTTTGTCCTACATATGTTTTGCTGCTTTCATGATAACTGTTGATCGATAAATGAACCACAACATTCGATATTTTCGCGAAAATAACACATATTCGGATGCGGTTTTCTTCATTTTGAAGATGAATCCGTTGGTTATAATAATATGATTAGACTGTCTTCGCCGACGACCAGGCCACGGCCACCCTGTCAGGCATCGAGATGCAGAACGTCTCAGTGGGGAACGTGCTTTGCGATCCGACGTGTCCTGTCCAAGTGGCCTCTCAGTTTCGAGCGAGGATTGTGGTGTTCAACGTGATGGTTCCTATTATGAAATGTAGGTTATTTGACACGTTTTGTTTATAATTGGAGCAAAAGAATGTGCAAAATGTTCCTTAATCCTAGCACTGTTGGTTCTCCTGGTTTGTCCTACATTTGTTTTGCTGCTATCATGACAACTTAACTGTTGATCGATAATTGAATCCCAACATTCGATATTTTCGCGAAAATTCCACATATTCGAATACGGCTTTCTTCATTTTGAAGATAAATCCATTGGATATAATAGTATGAGTATTAGACCGTTGTCTTCGCCGGCGACCAGGCCACCTTGTCCGTCATCGAAATGCAGAACGTTTCCGTGGGGAACGTGCTTTGCGATCCGACGAGTCCTGTACAAGTGGCCTGTCAGTTTCAAGCGAGAATTGTGGTGTTCAACGTGACGGTTCCTATTACGAGAGGTAGGTTATTTGATACGTTTTGTTCATAATTAGGGCAAATAATGTGCAAAATGTTCCTTGATCCTGGCTCTGTTGGTTCTCCTGGTTTGTCCTACATATGTTTTGCTGCTACAACTCAACTGTCGATCAATAATTGAACCACAGCATTCGATATTTTCGCGAGAATTCCACATATTCGGATGCGGTATTCTTCATTTAAAAGATAAATCCATTGTATATAATAATATGACTATTAGACCGTTGTCTTCGCCGGCGACCAGGCCACGGCCACCTTGTCAGGCATCGAAATGCAGAACGTCTCCGTGGGGAACGTGCTTTGCGATCCGACGAATCCTGTACAAGTGGCCTGTCAGTTTCAAGCGAGGATCGTGGTGTTCAACGTGACGGTTCCTATTACGAGAGGTAGGTTATTTGACACGTTTTGTTCATAATTGGAGCAAAAGAATGTGCAAAATGTTCCTTGGTCCTAGCACTGTTGGTTTTCCTGGTTTGTCCTACATATGTTTCGCTGCTATCATGACAACTCAACTGTTAATCAATAATTGAACCACAACATTCCATATTTTGGCGAAAATTACACATAATCGGATGTGGTTTTCTTCATTTTGGAGATAAATCCATTGGATATAATAATATGACTATTAGACTGTTGTCTTCGCCGGCGACCAGGCCACGGCCACCTTGTCCGGCATCGAGATGCAGAACGTTTTCGTGGAGAACGTGCTTTGCGATCCAACGAGTCCTGTAATTGGAGCAAAAAAAATGTGTCAAATGTTCCTTGATTCTAGCTCTGTTGGTTCTTTAGGTTAGTCTTACATATGTTTTGCTGCTACCATGACAACTAATATTTACGAAATTCGATATATAAATTTCACGTGTGAATAAGACCGTGTTGTGAATATAAGTGTTCGAGGTCGACAAAAAAATGTAATATGCACATTGGCGAAAACCTGTCCATTGTCTCGCCTGATTGGTAGCCTCGGCTAGACCTCGGCGATCAATTTGCAGGCTCCACTTTAATATAGTTTTTCGTCCTTGGTACATACGTAATTATTTGAACCAATATAAAAGAAAATTTCGTGTATTCGATAAACATATATGTTCTGCTAAACTTTCCTAGTAAGTTCAATTTCGTTGCTGAACAAAACGAAAATTTCGAGTTTTCAGCGATCAAAAATGGCAAATTTGAAATTTCTGCTTCTCTTCAAATATGCTAGATGTTCCTTGAATCTGTTATGAATAAATCTCTCAGTTTGTCCTGCATATGTTTGCATAATATGTTCCAGTTTCGATCCCTAATCGAATGATAAATATTCGAACTGCCATGTGGAATTGCGTGAACAAAAATTTCGAATTTTCATCAGCAAAACAGTGTAATATATTTCAATTTCAGGTTTCCCGGTAGTTTTACATCACCAGTCTCTAGTCGAGCCTGTCGTGGTCAGCAAGCTGATTTCGCAGTTGAACAAGAGCACCGGGGAAGTCCTGAAGAAGCATCCGCGGTTTCTGGGAAACAACACCAGCGCCATCGTGGAAATCAAAGTGTCCAGACCCATTGCTTTGGAGTTGTACAGCGAGTGCAAAGAGCTCGGGAGGGTTATGCTCAGGGTGGGGGGAGTGACTATCGCGGCTGGACTCATTACTAAAATCATCTTGTGAGATATTAATTAGTTGTGAATAAAGTGGTTAGTTCATTCCTGTTTTTTTTTTTTTTCGCCTGAAGCAATATATTATAAGGTGACTAGCGAGATAATACCGCACAATTTACTGTTGCGTTCTAATTAACAGTGCTGCTGCTAATTTGACGTATGGAGTCAGTAATAAATCCTACACAGAACTGAGCTCGATGGCCAGACAACACACCAACAAACTACAAATCAAATGAATTGATACGAAACCTTGTTGAAAAAAATCTAAAATGAAATTGAAAAAATACATACCAACATTCGTAAAATCTGAAAAAAAACATTCCAGTTATTCGGACCAAATTTTTTTCATCTCAGGAACTATTAAAACTGATGAAAATTCGAGTTGATCGACGTATTCTGCAGACGGATTAAGTTGGAATGTGTGGAGTTTTCAGCGATTTTGGATGTTTCGGATTTTTCTTTCAAATGCCAATATCTCTAAATTTATCAGACATACAGAGAAACCGACTTCATATTCTGGTTCTGCAGGCCGAGAACATCCTGTATACGAATTTTCAGCTCATTCTGAACCCTTAAATATATCGAAAAATGTTCAAAGGGGTTAACCTTGTTTCATTTTCAGACCCAAAAATCAACTTTGTTCTAGAACCTTCAAATTTGGTATTTAGTGCCCTTTAGGCATCCTCTAGTGCGGACTAGAAGCACAGCTCTCTAGTCCTAAAATTAAAAAAATGTCAATTTTTGACCCCACTTTGGACGAAATTTTTTCCCCTAACAAATTATATAGACAGACGAATTGGGATGTGTGGAGAAGTTTTCAACGATTTTGGATATGTTTCGGATTTTTCTTTCAAATGCCAATATCTCAAAATTTATCAGACATACAGAGAAACCGACTTCATATTCTGGTTCTGCAGACCGAGAACAACCTGTATACGAATTTTCAGCTCATTCTGAGCCCTTGAATATATCGAAAAATGTTCAAAGGGGTTAACCTTGTTTTATTTTCAGACCCAAAAATCAACTTTGTTCTAGAGCCTTCAAATTCGGTATTTAGTGCCCTTCAGGCATCCTCTAGTGCGGACTAGAAGCACAGCTTTCTAATCATAAAATTAAAAAAATGGCAATTTTTGACCCCACATTGGACCAAAATGTTTCCTCTAAGAAACTGTAGAAACTGATGAAAATTTGTGTTGATCGACGTGTTCTGCAGACAAATTGGAACGTGTGGAGAAGTTTTCAGCGATTTTGGAAGTTTCTGATTTTCCTTTAAAATGCTGATATCTCTATATTTATGAGACATACAGAAAAACCGACTTTATATTCTGGTTCTGCAGACCGAGAACATCCTGTATAGAAATTTTCAGCTCATTCTGAGCCCTTGAATATATCGAAAAATGTTCAAAGGGGTTAACCTTGTTTCTTTTTCAAACCCAAAAATCAACTTTGTTCTAGAGCTTTCAAATTCGGTATTTAGGGCCCTTTAGGCATCCTCTAGTGCGGACTAGAAGCACAGCTTCCTAATCCTAAAATTAAAAAAATGGCAATTTTTGACCCCACTTTGGACCAAAATGTTTCCTCTAAGAAACTGTAGAAACTGATAAAAATTTGTGTTGATCGACGTGTTCTGCAGACCAATTGGGATGTGTGAAGAAGTTTTCAGCGATTTTGGATGTTTCGGATTTTTCTTTAAAATGCTAATATCTCAAAATTTATCAGACATACAGAGAAACCGACTTTATATTCTGGTTCTGCAGACCGAGAACATCCTGTATACGAATTTTCAGCTCATTCTGAGCCCTTAAATATATCGAAAAAAGTTCAAAGGGGTTAACCTTCTTTCTTTTTCAGACCCAAAAATCAACTCTGTTCTAGAGCCTTCAAATTCGATATTTAGGGCCCTTTAGGCATCCTCTAGTGCGGACTAGAAGCACAGCTTTCTAATCCTAAAATTTTAAAAATGGCAATTTCTGACCCCACACATTGGACCAAAATGTTTCCTCTAAGAAACTGTAGAAACTGATGAAAATTCGAGTTGATCGATGTGTTCTGCAGACAAATTGGAACGTGTGGAGAAGTTTTCAACGATTTTGGATGCTTCGGATCTTTCTTTAAAATGGAAATATCTCTAAATTCATCAGACACACAGAGAAACCGCAGTCAAAAGCAGCAGCCGCAGCCATCCAACTTTTTCGATACTGTTAAAAAGCACTCGTATCTTTTCAATAAATAATACCGGCAACAGTGCATAGCGAGTATGATTTGACATTTGTCTGTGTTCTATGGTTCTATGTCATCATTCTCATGATGAGTGACAGAATACAGATGATTCTTTTATCTGAGGTTAAAGGATAATTTTTGTTATTTATTTCTTGTTTCTTATCAGTTCGAAATGTTTTATTACAGTTCACATTTATAGAAGTGATAAGTGCTGGATCACAAAATGTTCGGAATTTTTTCTTCTATCAACCAAATTCTTCGACTGGGCCCCAGAGAATATGTTCGCATAAAATACAAGCTTCCATTGGTGAAGTTCATACATGATACTGTGAATTTATACAAATCAAGGACTAAATCCGGGGTCAATAGTATCAGAGAGATATTATTTAGGGGCACGATCATTGCCTTATTAACAGCATTGATGGTATGGCTCTCTATATTCATGTATATTGCCTTTTACCAAGTGTATGTACCTGCCATATCACATGAAAGACCAGTTTTCTTAAAATTCAAGTAAGCAATTCAGTAATTCAACTTTGACAACGTGTATTAGATGCATTTTTCAGGCCTTGTGGAGCTACAGATAATTGTTTAGCTGATAAGGGAATATGCAGTTTTCCCTCAGCTCATGTTCAACTCACCAAGAAACAGCAACTACTAATGTCAGGGCAACCTTACAAAGTACACCTAGACCTAGACATGCCAGAATCCCCTGTGAATAGAGAACTGGGAATGTTCATGGTTTGTGTGGAATTTATGGGAAGTGAAGGGCATCTATTAGCAACTTCTTGTAGATCCACTATGCTACATTATAGAGGCCCTTTTCTAGACACCCTGTACAAGCTGGTGTTCAGTCCTTTTTTTGTGCTTGGATCTGCTGAGGAGAAACAACAAGTTCGCATTGAACTTTTCTCTAATTATGAAGAAAATCAGGTGAGATCTATGTCTTCATGAAATCTTGGCTCTCAATATATATTTTTTTTAGCTTGGACAGGTTACTGATATACACATAGAAATCCAGACCAGGTATATTGAGATATATTCAGCTAGGTTTACAGTGAATGCTCAGTTTTCTGGCCTTAGATATGTAATGTTTCACTGGCCAGTGTTATCAGCTGCTCTGGGTATGTTTAGAATTTTGTATGCTCTCATAAATAAAATGTATGGTGCCACTTTGAGAGAATATAGAGAATGAGAAGTTGTTTTTTTCTTTTCTTAATACAACTTCATTTAAAATACATACTTTCTCAAACTTAGTGGCACCACATTTATATCATAATATATGATATAATTTTTTGTCCAGTACTGCCCTAATTGAAAACTAAAATCAGAAATTTTTATTAGTAACACTTCACACCTGGGTTTTGAGTACCTTAGTAGTATGAATTGATTCTTTCAAATATCTGAAAATTTAATATGTACCTACACTGAAAACAATACAATTTATGCAGGTGAAATGATAGTTTTCTGTAAGGACAAAGAAATTCAATTACTTTTTAATTTTTAGTGCACACACATTTCTCACAATAGTTGTTGACACTGTATATAAATAGTACTGAATGGAAAGTGATTAGAAACCAATCAAAGACAATTTTTGAAATGTTAGCTCTAGGAAGGGCAAAGTTTATCTCTGAATTAGAATATTTATAGACATTTTTCATGTTTATAATAGTGGGACAAGAGATATATTGTTGGAGATTATATGCCTTTCAAACATCTAATTTATGATAATTCAAACCAGTAAGCTGTTATCTGAATTTGACTATACAATTTTTTTTACTAACAAGATAATTTTCACAACCATTCAACCAATTTCATGTTTACATAATATCTTTATATTTTGTCATGTATATGGGTGACACAGATTCATGGTATACCCCCCTTTTCTCCTTTGGTTTTCTAGCTATATTTCTGTAATTTGGAACATCAAATATGCTCACTAGAGGGCACTTTCTCACATCTTAAGAAATTTTTTTCATCTTCCAGTTTTCCTGGAAATTCCACAACTTTCGATTTTCAAATGGAACACCCTGTATTTTATTCCATAATCGGTTGGAGATTATTATAAAGAATTCAACAATACCAGGTTTGATTGGGTAATTTTGAAGATGAGATAAGATATGTACATTCCATGAGCTCAATGAGTGTGACGGCACAATATATTGAAACTTTTTTCTCTGTCACACTCATTGAGCTTATGGAAACTTCAAATGTGAATATCTTCCTAATTCTATGAAATAACCCAATCAAAAAAGTTGATGTCATTTCCAGGAAAACCGGAAGTTGAAACAAATGAGTCAGTGTCACCTGGTATACAGGGTTTATTGGGAAACTTGGAAAAAACTTTCCATGCTAGAGTATGAGTGGTTTTTTTGTGGTATAAAAAAAAATATGAGCATTGGAAAGTTGATAAAAAGTACACGTTTTTAATATTTGAGATGGGACTCCTTTTTCTTTGAGATTTTCTTGACTGAGAAGAGTTCACTAAATGGGAGCTATAAATCTGTGACAACAATGTCTACTCAAAATGGTAGTTTGACTTTTGCTGATGAAGGAAATTTTCTTAGATCAGCCAAAGCAAAATTGAAACATTTCCAAGGTTTAATATGTGAACAATTATGGCAGCTATACATTATCAACACCTATTATATTTGAATTAAGAAATAAAGATCTCAGAGAAAATGAGAATATACCCTGGTGATATTTTTTTTTTGCTCAAAAATCCAATTGTTTTATTTTATTTTTTCAGGTATCACAGCAAACTTGTTCTTCATTGCAATAGTATGCCTGATAAGTTGGTATCAAATTTTACACTCAGAAGAATATCTTGAGTTTTTGGAAACAAATAAAAAGAAACTCATAGAAAATGGTAGGTCTATGGCTTTGCCTATGTTATTTATTATTTCCGGAAAATCAAAATTCACTTTTTTACACCATAATAGAAATTACAAGTTTATTTTTCCATTTTGACAATATTACTTTCACAAGTATTGCAATAAAATCTAGTGTAAAAGAGTGAATTGACCTTTTCATAATTGTTAACAAAATGTGGTTTATGGTAAAGAATATTTGTTGGGCATCATATTATTTTCAAGAATGTGTCCCTGAGATTGGTATTGGCATTTTTTGTTTCTAACTTTCAAGTGTCTTGCCTAGAAGCTAGTGCATGATAGTGCATGAGCCATATTGGCTTGTGAATAACATGTTTTTAGTGGATAACATCTGGAATGAAAATATAGTAAGTTGTTATGGGGTCTTATTAAATATTAGCAAACATAAAATTATCATTATTTTTTCTACATAGATAAATTCTGGACCTATTTGGAGGAAACCATTCCACTACTCAACGTCGGCACATTACTTTTGATGCCGGTTTTCATCGGATATGACGTTTTTTCATATTTCAAGACCAAAATAGTGAATTTTGTGTGGACACCGCCCAAAGTTTTAATAAATCTTTTTAAATCAGGTTATGATGAGTATGTTGAGACATTAGAAAGTGTGAACATGATGGAAACAAGTGAAAAATCCTTTGTAAATGATATTGAAGGTGATTGCAAGAATGTAAAGTGTGGTAGATGTAAAAAAATCGTTTGTGCTAAGCACAACAAAAGCGGGTGCGGAGAATGTTTGGCGAACAGCGAGTTGGTGTTTCTAACTTAGTTGGTTTTTTCTGCCAATTTTTCCAGATTTTCCGAATCTATATGTACAGTGCCTTCATTTCATTGCTCCCCAAGATTCAGTAAACACAAATACTTAGGTATTATGTTACTAGCTTCAGAATATCAGAATCTGTCAAATGTATTAACAAGTGTCTTATAGAGTATTACTAGAATCAAAGTATCCCATTTGTAAATAGTATCAATATTTTTAGTGTGAACACAAACAATAAGATTCACACAGAATGATGGAAATTCGTTGCCGTGCCAATCTGACACTGTCACTAAAATATATGAAGAAATTGAGAAAAGAAAGATATTCATTTGATAAAAGTGAAAAGAAAAGAAGTACAGTTAACATTGGTCCTTCGAGCCGGATTTGATACTTTTATGATCTGAAGAGTCTCCTTCGTATTCAGTCTGGTTGGTTTCTAGATTTCCCAACCAATTTTTCACTTTTTGAATACTATCTATTGTACCTTCTTATCCTGAGCAAAATGATTGAAAAATAGCACTTCCTGTGCCGAAATTTGAACTCGATTTCACGATTTGATAACGAGATAAGAAATAAACCATCCGAAACCAATTGAATGGAAGATCTCAAAAACCTACTTTCCGGACATACTTCCGTCTTGTGATAGTGAGTTGAAACAAAAAGCAAATGAAGGGGAAAAATGCCCCTTTTGCGAAGTTAGTGGCACGGCGTCAATATTTCCGTGAATATTTCGCCCTCGTCGAAAGATAATATCCGATGGACCAGTGTGAAACGCATGTGGTGCTCACACTACAAGTATTCTAATCTTCATGTCGAGTTTTACACTGGTCCATCGGATATTACCTTTCGTGGGGGGCGAAATAATCTCGAAACTATTGACGCTTTGCCACTAACTTAGATCAGTTTGAATCGCGGCACGTTTGGATATTCGCAAAGGCGACATTATCCCCTTTTATTTGCTTCTTGTTCCAACTCGTTATCACATGACGGACGTTTCTCTGGAATTATAGCAGCAAATAAATCGCTGTGCTGTGGATTTGGCTCAGGCTGAGATGTGGCACAGGTAAGTTTTTGAAATCTACCAATCAATTGGTATTGGATGGCATAATTCTTATCTCGTTATCAAATCGCGAAATCGAGTTCAAATTTCCGTACAGAAAAGTGCAACTTTTCAATTATTTTGCTCAGGATAAGAAGGTACAATAGATAGTATTCAAAAAGTGGAAAATTGGTTGAGAATTCCAGAAACCAACCAGACTGAATACGAAGGAGACTCTTCAGATCATAAAAGTATCAAATCCGGCTCGAAGGACCAATGTTGACTGTATTTCTTGTCTTTTCACTTATATGAAATAAATATCTATCTTTTCCTTAATGTCTTCATATATTTTAGTGACAGTGTCAGATTGGCACAGGTGCCGTTCGATGAACTGCAATGTTTTCATATGTCTTTGGGAATTATATCATTTTATCAGATAACGGTAGAAATTTGCATCCGGCTCTTGGACTATGACTTATTCAAACCTTGACAAATGACAGTATCTGAAATTTTTGAAAGGAGTGGGATCTAATAAAATATAGATTGTACGTATATTTTTTATAGAAATCCTTAGTCTGAGATTCCGACAAACAATATTTTATAGGTTGTGGAGATTACAGTGGGAAAATTTACTAGATATTTTAGGACTGGAAATTTCCAGAAGATTGATATGGTGAAAACAATATTTTAGCTGTAAGTGAATAAAACTGTGATTAATTCTGTCCATACATCAAAATTCGTCCAAACGAAAATGTCAGTACCAATCTATTTCAAAAATGATCAATTCAAAGTGAATATGAATTTTGTCGAAATTGCTTCACTGGGTTTAATGTTGTATGGCTTGAAAATAATTCAACCCCCTATAAATAACAAATTATAACAAATGTAGGATGTGAAGTGTTAAATATTTATGAATAGTTGCAGAATAGTAAAATTCTCACAATTTCATGTAATTCTTGAAAATTTTTCAGATTTGGATTCAGATTCATCATCTGTTGATTATGATGAGGTTTCTTTAGTAGAAGATAAAAGCCTCAGGCATAGACAGCCTATCAGCGTTGATGAATTCATTGATAGTTTGAAAACCTGAATGACGATGCATATAAATTAAGTACCTTCCTTTTCTTCTCTCTAACTTCAAACTCACATTTATTTACATTACAATCATTTTAATTATTTAGAGGAATGCCATTTACACTAGTCTTCTTTTGTACCAAAGACTCTTAGATGTAACCAATATTCAAATACCTACAAAAATGCTGTTGACTTGTGATATTTCAAAGGCGTGTTAATTTTCTATACCGTTGTTAGAGATTGTAAAGTGTATAAATACATAATTACAGTGTGTTTCGATTTGCTTCATATCCGCATATTTCCAGCAATTCGCATTTTTTTGTTACTCAAGGGAGTAGTAGAGCTATGAGAGTTTCGAATCACATATCCGTTGGTGACCCGGCAACTGCGCTCTGTGCTCTACGAGATACAAGATGTGAAGCGATGTAGCCTCCCATACACTCAAACAAAGTCATTACCTGTATGAAAGAAATATTACCCAGTTGAAAATAAAGCAACTAGGAATTTTTCCGCATATTAGAAAAGCAATGAATCATGATTCATTGATGTTCATAGCCAGAAAACTTCTGTTATTTACAGATGTACATTGACATCTGACAACTATGTGTTTGATTCTTCGAGTGGTGACGTCAATAGTTATCGAATGGCAAATTTGTTCCGTTTGATGAGGCTGTTACACTTGATGAATTGAATCGGATTTTACTTGATGAAAATCCGTTATAACAATGAGAAAAAACTCACCTCAGTAATAATTTTCACAAATCCACTTTTGCACACAATTGTTTCGCTAACCATTTGCTTCTTCACGGTGTATATCACATAATAGTGTACGAAACAATTGTCGTGTGTTAATCATTAAGAGAACGTATTTGCCAATTTCAGCAAAAATTTCAAGGAAAAAATAAGCCACTTACTCAAAACATGGGAATTCAGCGGTTGATGAGCTGGAGCGAATTGAATCACGCTGTATATTAAGTCCTATTTTAAATCTTGATCATCACTTTGGGGGAAATTATTTCAATAAAACACAAAACAAACAATAAAATATTATTCATAAAGTAAGGCCCAGAAGTTTCATTTGCCTCAACAAGTTTGTACTCTCACAAACACTGCAACTTTGCCGTGCGAGTGTGTGCATGACAAAAATTCAGAAAAACTTCGAAATCCGATATTCGAAAATAGAAGAGAGATAAATGGAGACCTTAACCTCCGCCTCCGCCCAATTCGTCTTCGTACTGCTTGCGGAAGCAGTCCCCGACGGGAAAGAAGTCCCAGCAACGCTGTTGGTACATGTTCCACACGTAAGTTTCCTGACCGGTGTATTCTGTGTCGGGCTTGTTGATCAAGTGCATGAGGAAGAACCTGAGAGGAATTTCGATAGTGATATACAGTGTGTCCCACTTACCATGCTCACCATGGGTATCTTTTTAACGGTGAGAGATACGAGGTCGGTTGAATGACACCAAATGTGGAGTTTGTCAAGGCCAACTATAATGTGAAAAAATATTTTGATAAAATCTATTCGTTTTAATTTTATTCGCAAAAAACAGATTTTGATCATTTTCATGTCTCCTCCGTAACATCTTTATTTATGAAAATATTCAAATAGGAATTTCACATTCTTATGGCAGTTTTTCAAAGTGATTTCGAAAAAAATATGAAATTCAAACCAACTCTTCTAAAATTTGAGATATCAGCACCAACCTTTGTTTTTCAAATGTAGGTCATAGCTCACTATGACTTAGTTACAAATAACTTCTTTTTCTCTTACAGATGATATGTCGCAGTAATAGTTTTGTGTTGATAACAACGGAGTTATCGTCATTTATACAAAAACAAAAAATTATCTGGAAACCGCCATCTTGAATTTATAAATTTCAACAAAAAAATCATGATCTCCGACCTCAAAACTCCCACTTACCAATTTTGAATGGAATCGGACCAAATCTTGTCCGCCATCTTGGAGCAGCCATTTTTTTTAAATTTCGACAAAAATTCCATAATGTATTGTCACCAAAATTATGAACACCTGCCAAATTTCAAGTTGATCGGAGTTATGGAATTTTTGTTGAAATTAAAAAAAATGGCTGCTCCAAGATGGCGGACAAGATTTGGTCCGATTCCATTCAAAAATGGTAAGTGGGGGTTTTTGAGGTCGGAGATCATGATTTTTTTGTTAAAATTCATAAATTCAAGATGGCGGCTTCCAAATAATTTTTTGTTTTTGTATAAATGACGATAACTCCGTTGTTATCAACACAAAACTATTACTGCGACATATCATCTGTGAGAGAAAAAAAAGTTATTTGTAACCAAGTTATAGTGAGCTATGACCTACATTTGAAAAACTAAAGTTGGTGCTGATATCTCAAATTCTAGTAGAGTTGGTATGAATTTCATATTTTTTTCGAAATCACTTTGAAAAACTGCCATGAGAATGTGAAATTCCTATTTGAATATTTTCATAAATAAAGAAGTTTCGGAGGAGACATGAAAATGATCAAAATCTGTTTTTGCGTATAAAATAAAAACGAATAGATTTTATCAAAATATTTTTTCACATTATAGTTGGCCTTGACTAACTCCACATTTGGTGTCATTTAACCGACCTCGTATCTCTCACCGTTAAAAAGATACCCATGGTGAGCATGGTAAGTGGGACACACTGTATGTTTCCGTTCTGAACTAACTGAAATATTTCACTAGAACTGAACTGAATCAGTTAACATGCATTCTATCCGAGCATCAGTTCTAGTGAAATATTTCAGTTAGTGACTAGGAAGAGATTATCAGACATAGCTCTCACGAAGAGATAACCATATACACGTGTTTGGGGCTTTCGACCTTCATCAGTACGGTGAAAGGAAGTGCAAAGGATAGGCAGCACTTGGTAGAGAACGAAACAACAAATAAACTGAGTCAACAAACAGAAGCCAGCCGCACATTTATGATTTCGTTAACTACTGTTTCTCTGAGACCCCAGGGTCTGCTGACCGAGGGCCAATAATCTCTTCCTAGTCACTTTACAGTTCCTTCGATAATATTTGCATCTTATTTCAGTTAGTACAGAACGAAATATTATAATAACAAGGGGGTAGGTGGATGCACATATTAGCTAATACGGCGGTAACCCTGAATTTATTAGCTAGGCTACGCAGATGTGCTCCGAAATAACGCTTCGCATACTATCAATGCTGTAATAAAAAGCATCATTGAAATAGCGGATCACTATCGGCCTCGGCCTCAAAGAAACAAGTAGAAAAGAGAGATTTTGCTATTTCGTCTGTGGGAAATACATAGCACCTCTAGATACATTTTATTCAACACGGCATAAATAGCTTTAGACAAAAAATAGACTGAGGTTTATAACATGATAATATACCCATAACAACATCATCGTCAGAAACTCACAACTAATATTAATTATAAACTTTAGTTATGGAGTTATTGTGAGGTACTGGTACATAACAAAATGAGGAATAGGAAATGATTCAAGATGAACATGGCAAATTTCTTGTTACTATTGGTTTTCCAGCTTTTGTGTGATTAGTTCTCGATGTTTCAGTATCTTATTGGAGATAAATCTAGAGCAGACTATCTTGTGAATAAATATATATGGTTCAGCAATGTCAACGGTGAGGCACTCCTTTGAGAGGATGTATAATTCATTGTAATGTACAGATCCACTAGATATCGCCTCTCTTTGTTCGGTGGTTACTTGACTGATCATCCCCTGCCCCCCTACTACCGTGAATTGTCGATCAATGTAATACATTTACGAAAACAACTAATTTACATGCGTTTAATTGATTGTGGGTGTCGCCAGAGTGCATCAGCAGGATTTAGTATGTAAACGAAAAGATTTCCGTTATAAGAAATCATCGAAAACTGCGAATGTTAGTTAAATTGTTGCAAAAATGTTTGGGACAGAGAAGAGGACATAGGAGGCCACCTGAACTGGTAAATATCCCAGGACCGTAATAGGACAATTTTTATCGGTGAATTTTGAACTTCGCTATGTAGCAACTTTTATGAGCAATTTTTTGGTGATGCCTCATCACAACACCTTGTGTTTCAATTATCTGGCAATGATTCCGTAGAGGTATCCTGCCATTTGCCATTTCATTCATTTATCAGGTAAAAAACGATGATCTAGTCTTCAGAAGTAGATTGTTTAGACATTCATACCTTGCAAATAAGTCGAACGCGAATCACAATATTCAAGAAATGATTTAATTCACTCTATTTGAAGCGATATTCACAGATATTACTTACAGGTAGTTCGCTAAATTGTGCTCTTGCTGCACATGCGTATCAAAACCGTGGGGCACCTTATCAAAGTAGTCCTTTCCTATACCGCAAATGAAACAGTTGGATTCCATGTCTTCTTTGACGCTTTCAAGTTGATCACGCAACTCACCAAAGGCGTCGATGATCAAACCTAAAACACGAAATATCCTATAATTTCAGAAAGAAAATTTCAGACATTATTGGAATGAATAGTAACATGCAATATATTGGGCAAACACGGCGAAACATAGGTACACGATTTGAAGATCATATTACTCACTTCAGAATTCAGATATAAGCAATCGCTCACCTTGAATGATAGCCAATAAGATGACGATAATGAAGAAGAAGAAGGTGATGTCGAACATGATTCGGTAAACTTCGTATTCGTCACCGTCTGGCGGTTCGATTTCGTCTCCGATACCACCGCCTGCTCTGACCCCTTTGTACAAATGGAAAACGAAGCACTGGAACAAAAAAAATACATGGGTGTATTTAGTAAAACGAGAATTGAGAAATTATTGTCATTTGATACAAAGTATCGGTATTACTTGATACTTTTCCCAAAAATTTTCATCTTTCAAACTCAGAAGAAATAATAGTTACATATTAAGTGACAAAAAAAAGTTGACAATCGCTGTCATTAGAGTTAAAATTGGAAAAAGAAACTGTTAGTGCCACCTTGTAGTAACTGATGAATCATTTCATTTGCTTTTTTGTTTATCAAAATCGGATAGTTAATAACGGCGATATGGCTATTTGCGTTTTTTGTCAATCAGACGGTATTTTTATTTTTTCTAAAATCTCTCGGAAGCTCATGGTTTCGATTTATGGTACGTGAGTGTCGCCAAAGTGCAGCAGCAGCATCATTCCGTCTGTACACGGGGAGATTGGCGTTAAACAATCATCAAACACAGCGAATATCTGTTAATATGGTGGGGAGGTGTCCTGACACAGGGTGTTTGAAGAAACAAAGGTATTTCACTTGAAGAAGCTACAGTTTTTACCGATTATCAATACACATATACCAACCAATCAAAAACGTCCTGAATCTTGAAAATTCATTGAACTCACCGTCAACATATCGTGGCACTTTCTGTCAACTTCCTCGTCCTCTTCTTGCACGTAAAACTTCCTGAAGAAGTTGAACGCTATCACCGTATAAATATAAACTATGATGATCAACAGCATGACCGTGAGCACCAATTGTTTGCCGTTATGCGTCACCGATTGCAAAATCGTGCGCAGAGTTTTGAAGCCGACCGCGACGTCCAACAGGTGGGCGGCGAAGAAGAAGTTGTTGAAGTTGCCCAAGATGGAGAACGTGAAGTACCAGAGGGAGTAGAGGAAGGAGTTGTCGGTGATGGTGACGCCGGACTTCCAGATTTGGTAGCGCCAGTCGATGTTGATGATCCTGACAGGAGGAAAGAGAGTTTCAAAATTGAATGAAACCATCCAAAAACGATTGTTCAAAGAATCTCTCCACTAGTTTTGGGCAAAAACATGTTTTTTTCATTTTTTTTTCGAATGTGAACTACCTCTCAATACTGCAAACCACTTTTGTGGCAACACTGCTACATAAATTGCAAAGTACTGACCAGTAAACTATATACTATGGAAAGGATTCCCTCAGAGCAATAAAAAATACGGATATCTGAATACTACAGTCGACAACCATATCTATGACATATGTTTCACAAATATTTAGAGGAATGAATAAGTTTCGTCCTTCTTGAGAATGAAGTTTATATGGACTCACATTGAGATGATGTTCTTTTTCTCTTCAGATTCTTGCTGCTGTTGGAAGGAAGTCTTTTCCATTCCTAGAAGGTTGCTGATAGACTCGAAATCATAAGTCTCGCTGTACTTCTGTCTCACCTTCTTCTTCACGAATTTATCCCAGTAATTTACGGGAAACGATCTAAAAACGATAAAACGGCATACAATTTCCTGCGATGTTCGCATTGACCATTAAACGGTAGTAAACGGTTTCACAAGCTTGTGCAGATTAAGATACTGACTTTCAGTGAGGAAGGTAATTGATTCAAGATAAATTTTCCTTCCTCAAACCAATGTCGTTCTATATGAAAAACTAGTCTGTTACCTCTATTCTGGACTAAATTATTATTTGTTATTCTAACCATAGAAAATTTTCCAATTCCTGTCAAGTTCCAATTTTCTGTCAAGTTTCTGAACATTTTCTCATGTTTGAACATTTCAAGTACTTACACAAATAATGAAAGGTGGATTGCATAAAGAAGAAACTATTGTGTATGCAATGATAAAATTCTCGATTTATTGATGTTATTTGAATTTGAGTAGGAACTGGAAACTCATCACTGCTGTGATATAACATTCCTGTTTGCACTTTATCGGAATGATAAAAGATATTGAAGAGAAAATTAAGGAATCTGCTTGCATTCTTCTGAACGGAGACAATAGCATTGCTTCCTGTTCAGTTTAAATAGATAGAACATGGTATTCACTTCTGAAATTTGAAAATGAAAATGGTAAATTCAAGATTAATTAATGAAAACATCCTGTAACTAATTTGATTGCCAACGTCACCAATTGTCACTGAGAACTTTTTTGCTCTCTGATAGGAAAATTCTTCAAACCCAGTGACATTTTGGGGCAAATAATCTGATATATTGAAATGATATATTTTATAGAAACGAGGAGAGGAAATCCCAAAAAATCTGGAATAATAAACCAATAACTAACTTGAAATTAGACAATCAAATGCATTGTAATTTGTCTGACGTGACGTTTTGAAAACTCCAACCTGAAATTGCCGATTATGACAGATAATATTCTATTGAAACAAATGAGCTCTCGATTTTTTTCAATAATTTAGCGTCATAGACAGGCAGACAAATTTTCACATTATTGCCACAATTTTGTACATTATTATTACTATTATTATTATAGTTAGATATGCGATTAACGTTATCGTTCTATGATTCATATATTTTTTGGTAGATGATTAAAGTTAAGGTGATATAATAAGATAGAATTCTTTTAGTCAGTCTACGTCTAGCCTCGATAGAAATAAAGTGATTGTTCTCGCTGTTGATTGTAGAAGTGCGGTTTTTTCATTAACGTATTCCTAGCCCAGTTTTTCACATATACTTTTTTTTCTTCTTCCGGCTGTCGTTGAGTACCAGTTAACACTAAGGAATAAAATGAAAAAAAGTTCCGTGACGATAAAAAAGAGTTAGTAATGTAAAGTTCTAAGGTTGGTAATTAAGTTTTAAGTATCTTACTTAGCCGATATCACCATCTTGTCCCAATGACTCTTCAAATCATCATCCTCCGGCTGCTCCGCAATGTACAACCCCTCAAACTCCAACCTCCTCGCTATCTCCTTCTCCCTCTTGAAGATCGCCAGCGGCACCTTACCAATAACATTTATTTCTATAGACTTTACAGTATTTTATAATGTGGGGCATAATGTCAAAATAAGAGTACTCTCTAATTGGAAAAGCTGATATACAAAGAATATCAGTATAACCCATGGACCAAGATTATTCTAAAACTGTTCAATCGGTTATTCGGTTGCCCCCTTACGAGCAACTCTCAGAAGTCTTCGAGAGGCTTGTGCGAGCAAGGAATGACGGGGGCCTTACCTTTTAACGTGTGATCCCAAACACTTTCTTGTGCCATCAGAATGATATCTATTGAACACACACGTTCAAACTGAGAAAGAATTGATATTTTCATCACATAGAGAATGCGAATACTCAATGGTTTTCTTTATGTATATGTCGGCGTCAAACAGTGAAATCCGTCATTCTCTGGAATGCCTAGTCATTTCACGTATTGCCGGCAAACAGTGTAACTCTAAATTGCGTACACCGTTTGTCTAATAGTTTCAGCCATTCCCTGTGATGTCAGAAGGTTGTTTAGAAGCAGTAGTCTCTTCTGTTCTCTAACTTTCTGAAAAATATACTTTCTACGAAGAAAAATAGTCTCCCTTCTTATGCATATGCAGAAAGGATATTTTCCTTCTCCAACCCTCTGGAGCCACACTCTTCAAAGGGCATAACATGAGATGTTCGAGGCACTCTAGTAAAATAGTAAAATGGAGGTATGGATCATTTTGTTAGTGCTAGGAAAAATTTGAACACACCAACCTTGAGGTGATAGTAGGCGATGAGCATCGCCAGCGAGACGATCGAATGCAGGGCGGCGGCCAATCGCATCACGTGCGCCATGTAGTAGAAGTCCTCGTCGACGTGCACCAGCTCGGGACCGGAGTCGTCCGGGTCGTCAGACTCGCCGGAGCCCGAGCCGGACACGCCGGAGCCCTCGAGGATGTCGGGGATGGGTTTGGAGCCGCTGCCCGAGTCTTCGTTCAGGCTGGACACCTGCGGACGGGCGATCGTGAATGGAAGATTCATTTGACACTCCAACAAATCAACTTTATTCATTGACTGATAGACGTTTTCTTTGGAGGAACATCATGAAATTGACACTCTCTATATTCCGAATTCAACTGGTCAGTACTGTCAGTAAATCCACTGACTGTGCTGAAAATCTGTGTTCCGAAATATAAAATAAAAAATGCAGTGCTGTAAATCGGAACACGTTTCCATTCTTTTCATCAGTAGTCAGCAGCAGTTGATCAGCTGGTGAAATTTATCAGTCTGAGTTTCTTGTTTAGCTGAACAAGATAATTTAGCCTCTTGCTTGACACACATTTTGGAAATTTAATATTTAACATGGAAGAACAATCGGTTCTTGTAGCCTTCATAGTTTCTTCGATTGTTGACGATGACGATTCAAGCTCGAGTGATGAAGAATACTTGGACATTTATGTAATATGGCATTAATAATGATTCATTCAGGAGACATTTCAGGTTTATTCAGATATTTATTCACCCAATGCTGTTTCTTCTTTCGTTACCTCTTCTACTTCATACTCCATATTATCTCAGCGTTTATTATGTCAATAAGGGGTATTTTCTGATATTGAAAATAATATAATTAACAACGGAAATAAATGTTACATTCCTTCCCCCCTTTAAAATAATGACAGTTTACTGAAGCCACACTACCTTTAGATACTCAGCAATTTCAGCAGAATGTTGAGTGGAAATATTTGGAATGGATAGTATATCTGCTCACAAGCATCTGTCACATTCAGTGATTTTTTTGATTTCGGAATGAAAAATCAGTAGATTCAGTACTGTCAGTTGAATTCGGAATATAGCCTTTGTTGCAGCTGTCCCTGACACACTCTGTGCTATTCGAGAAATCGGTAGTCTCCCTTCCAGTTGTTTATATCGAGTTCAGTGACTTTACCTTGTAGAAGAGTAGCATGAAGTTGATACAGAAGGCCAGCACCAGCGCCACATACTTCAAATTGTAAAAGTTCCTGGCGAGAAAAGAGACGGCCCTCTTACCGTACGCAGCGAAATTGATTTGAGACATGGCAGAGGGCTCTGTGGTGTGTACTTGCTTGCTCTCCGTCTCGATGGCTTGCATGGCGGCCTGCTGAGCCGCCTGAGCTTCGACCTTCTCCTGCTGAGCTCTTTTGGCCTGTTCGCCGCTGAAAAATAACGCCTATCACATTGGTCTGTCGATTGAAGTGGGTCTCGAAATGAACCCATAGAAAAAATGTTCATCACTAGCCTCTGATCCTAATAGAGAAGATTCCTATATCGAGATTTTTATTTCTCCGTGAAGTTTATTTTCTCAATACTCTGAGAATTCACTGCAGGAAAAAAAAATGCAAAGAAATTTCGGCTTCTTCACCATTCTTCTGACGTCATTGGTGAACTGCCATTTATATGTTTGGGTATTGATGTCCTGATTAGACGAAAAGTATAAACCAAATTATTAATGGATGAAATGACTAATCAAGATAAAACAGATATACAGGGTGAGTCAATAGTGTGTTGTCTTTCGATATTAGCCAAACCGTCAGGTATATAAAAAATATTCGAATACAACAGTTATAGGATTTTATGAGAGCTATCACCTAAAATTATTTTCATATCTATAGGATGTTCGAATTCCAAGATATCGGCTGATGATAGGTGTTTTTAAATGGGACACCCTGTATATTATTGCATTTCAACATTTTTCCTGAAGAGCTGATTTCAGCAATGCATCACACTTGGGGTCTAGCGAAAATGATTACAGAGATATAGGGTGTTCAGAATCGAAAATTTTCAAACTATTCATTATTGGTCGAAACGGCTTTCATGTTCCTATCTCAACGTTTGATTTACTATCTACTGAAATTTAACTGGAATAGATACAGGGTGATCAGAAATCTTGAATTTTGAACCAACCTGTATTTGTTCCATTTAAGTGTCAGTAGCAGTGAATCAAAAGTTAAGATAGGGACATGTAAGCCTTTTCGACCAATAATGAATAGTTTTAACACCAAAAAATCACAAAGTTGAAAAATATAGATTTTGTAACACCCTATATCTCTATAAACATTTCAGCTAGTCCCCAAGTGCGATACATTGATGAGATCGGCTCTTGAGGGAGAATTTAAAAATGTAATAATATACAGGGTTTCTCATCTGCAAACACCCATCATCAACCGATATCTTGGAATTCGAACACCCTATAGATATGAAAATAATTTTAGTTGATAGTTCCCGAGAAACCCTATAACTGTTGTATTCAAATTTTTTTTATATATCTGACGGTTTGGCTAATATAGAAGGATAACACACTATTGACTTATCCTGTATATTTCAATAATATCTAGAATATATCCATTACTCAGAGTTGAATCTTGAAATGAATAGATTCAAAATAAAATTCTAACTTGAAGGGATCCTGAGTGGATTTTCATTGTTTCCAATGAATTAGTAAACTACACCTAGCAGCCGCGCCCAAAATCAGTTTTACACCAAATTATGCTGATAGCTGCGAGTTTATCGAGGTTATGTTTTCATTATTCATTGTTGCTTTCGGTTTGTGAAGTACTTTCTTCTCAATTCATGGCCTAATATTATGCAATGCACTGTTTTTTCGTTGTATTCGCACTTGTTAATTGTGATGTAGTTGCTGTGATTCTAGCAATGAACTCATTTACATACAGTTCATTGGATTCTAGTTGATTTTATCTCTATAGACTAATTAGTTTGAGAATTGTTATAATTTCGGATAACACTGGTGGTAAGCAATAAGCTCTAATTTTATTTTGATTATTTTTCAGTTCGAGCTTGTTCAGAAATTTGCATCCCATAGCCAAACTTATTATACCCATGATCACACTAGATTCACCGTTTAAGTCATCGTTTTCCACCAAAATGTTTCTTAATTGAACTAATTCGAAAGTAGAAGTGATTTAGATCCTTTTGATTGTTATTATAGATTGCAAAAGCATAATCCTAATCAGTGTGGAACTAATTTGATGAAAAGAAACTTCCCCATTCCAGATCTTTTCTTGTAGAGTATGCTAGCTGATTCGCTCAAAGTACTTTCTAGAATCTTACCCGAGCAAATCGGACAAAGATAACGGCTGTTCGGGCGTTTCCGCCTCCGCATGATCTCCCCCCTCTTCGGGCGTGGTCTCGCCGTCCCCGGACGACGGTTGGCTGCCCGCAGGCGATTCGTGGGCGGCCATCTTGTACTGCCCGTTGTCCTCCTTCGTTATATCGACGCCGAACGCCTGCATCTGGGTGTTCTGCTCGTCCGTTGACGGTAGCGAGGGCAGCACCCGCATCGGCCCCACCTCAGAGTAAATAGTTGAATAGAGTATGATTTTATAATTATCATCAAACTACTACACTAGAACCATTGAGTGGGAACCAGCCCCATGTTTCTGTAAGAAAAATCCGACATGATCCGGCTCGAAGGACCATGTAAGATTCGGTAAATCAGACAGGAAAGACGGCGAGCTGCCCGCCGGCGACTCGTGAGCAGCCATTTTGTAATGTCCAATGTCTCTTTCGTTCTTTAAACTACTATTTTTTTCTATTTTTCAGTTCGGCTAACTACAAAATCGTATTTTTTAGTTTTTTCAGACCCCGAAAACCTCAAGAAATCAATTTTGAATTGAATCGGATGATAATTACAAAACTCGCCCGCCATATTGAATCCGTCTTCTTGAATTCTCCCATTTTGACGGAGGAATCATAATCTCTGACCTTAAAAATCCCCAGATACCAGTTTTTGATAGAATCGGATCATAACTAAAAAACTCGTCCGCCATTCTGTTTTTTGTCTAACCAAAATGTCATGATGCATTGTCACCAGAATTATGTAGAGCTGCCAAATTTAGAATCAATCGTTCGTTTTGAAGTAGGTCAAAATCATGTTCGAAGATTCAGGTTACAATCAAACAAACCAACAAACAAACATACATACCAAGCTAATATAAGAGCGTTGTTGAAAATATTTGATTTCGTTATCAAACTACTACACTAACTGTACCAAGTGGGAACCAGCCCCATATTTCTGTAGGCAAAATCCTACATGGTCCTTTGAGCCGGATCATGTAAGATTTCTCCTAATATTCGATTTGTTTATTTATCTAGTTTTCTTCATTATTATTATTACCTTCTCTTCCTGCACCACCTCGACTATCGGTTCTTCGATGACAGGACCTCGCATCAAGGACATCAGCACGCCCAAAACGTACTTGACCACCACGCCTACACCAAAACCGGAGTAGTAGAAGGCGTAAAAGATCAGCCGGAAGAAACCCACGAACAGCTCGCCGAACGTCATCTGCTGCATCTCCGATATCTTGTGCTTGATGTGCGACGGGCCCAAGCAGGACAGCCCGTAGTAGACGCCGTCCCGGATGGTGTGGTACATGCGCTGTATGGGGTTCTTCGCTGCCCTATCTTCGTCCTCGTCGGTCATGTAGCTGTAGCTGGTGGCTCTGGTGGGGCCTCCGCCTCCAGACTCTTCTACAGCCATTAGGCCGCTGGCATGCTGCATCTCGAAGATGGCGTCTTCGCAGAAGTTGATGAAGGCCTCGAGCTTCTCCTAATAATAAAGTCACGATATGATAGATGGTTAATCCATCCATATCGATTTATAAGGGGTAATGCTTAGCTTGATAGTTTGCGAGAGGTAATAGCGATATATATATTTTTTTATCGCTTGGGTATGTCATCTGGACCCGACGATTTGTTATTCTTTAGTTTGTTTTCTTAACAATGAAAGTAATTCATGTTATGTGGGTTTAAAAACATTGTGTAACTCTTTTCATTATCAAATACCTTATCACCGCCTTCGGTAACGATGCTGTAGAAGAATGCGCGTTTGGACTCTTTGATCTGCGGCTTCTCCCACTGTTCGATGTTCGATTCCTTGATCTCGAAGTAGACCCTTTCGATGCGTTTGCTGCCGCCCATTATCTCGATGCGCCCGAGGAAGGGCTCGAAGTAGTTCAAAACCGAGCCGGCGGTCTCCAGGAAACGGGCTAATCTCGGTTCGTTGGGCATGTGTTCGGACAGATTGGTCAAAAGGACGGCCAAGTTGAAGCCGATCTCTTTGGCCGGTTCATGGAATCTGTCGATGAAGCCGATGTAGTCGAGCTTGCCGTCGTGATTCGTTTCGCAGCAGGCCAACAGGAACTCGATTTCTTCTCTGAAAAAGAATGGAGAACGATGTTCCTATAATAATAAACCTAAATAACTTTTTAATTGCAACAGAATTTCAAGTAGGAATTGTACCAAGTGCGCTCGAAATGTTCATAGTTCACTTATTGACACGAAAAAATCGGTTTTGGAATTCAATCCGAACGTGATTTACTGTTTCCGAGGTACATTTCAAACGGTTGTCATTTTGAAACGGCATGACCGATTTGCACAAACAAAACGGAGTAGGATAGAGAATCGGAAGACCTTCAAAACAAGATACCACGTGACCCCTCTTGATATTTGAAAAAAAAAAAGTTGGTGGTGCCAACTTGACACTAGGTCACGTGACCACAACCATTTTCATGCCAAATAGTAATGAAAGAGGTACCTTTTTGCCTGAATTTCACCCGACCTCGCTAGCTTGTTCCGTTCAAAGGTAAAAGGGGGGGAAGGACTTTTTACGTCCTCACTGTATAGTTTAGGACAATTCATTGAAGACATTTTTAATTTTTTTTTTAGTGTTCCGAATTCAGCTGTCAGAACTCAATCTACTAATTATTTGTTCCGAAATCGTAAATTTTACTGAAAGTGACAGACCATTAAAAGGTAGTGTGGAGGCAGCAATCTATCAATTATGGAGTAATTATATTTTCAGGGCATATAAATGTTATACTTGACTACATTATCGTTATTAATTTATAATAATTAAAGAAAATTATTCAAATCAAGACATTTATACATTCTGTCGGTTTGAGGTTACACGCATACTGACAGATTTCTTCTTATTCTTATATTCTGGAAGGTAGGCGTGGAAGTTGATGTCAAGAAACTTATCATAGACAAATATCCTCCAACGTCACTAGATATAGGTAGAACGTCATAGTCTGCTTCATCATTCATTATTTTTTATCAATAATTTCAAATTGCTATATTTTGAAGATTAAAATAATTTGAATATTTTGAATAATTTGATTTTTTTGATTTTAGACATCAGAAACCTACTACTAGGCAGTTGAATATGAATATGATAATTCGTTCGAGGGAAACTTCCTCATTGCAGAACCTCTTTCAGAAAGTACAGGTTGTAGAAGAAGAGTCATATTCGGAATGGTAAACTAAGCATGGTGACAGCTGTAGCTGAAAAAAACCCTTGTCAAGATATGCGTAAAAAGCTTCTACTTACGGCGTGTAGCTCTTCTGTTGTTCCATCTTCTCCTTGAAGTCCTTCGGATACACCCAGCCGTCGTTGTTGAGGTCGATCTCTTGGAAGGACGAAGTCGAAGTCAGCTCTTTGAGCTTCAAGAACATATCGAAGTATTTCAAGATGAGCTCGACGTTGCCAGCGCTCTCGACCAAGGTGTCGACCATCTGTTTACCGATGGTACCATTCACGACGTTACCTGAAGGTGAATCACGTCTTAATTTTTTTCGGAAGTGATTTCACCCAGAATGCCTTTTGGAGGGTATCATTATGTATACATTTTGATGTTAAAAAATAATATATGAAAGACAGAGCCGAATTTAGAGGTCTGGAGGCCCTGGGGCAACAAAAGAGTGGCTCCTAATTGTCATATAAAATTAACAAATTTCTTGGTCAATAATTTTTTGCGAAACCAACTAAATCATTTTAACATATACAGGGTGATTCTTGAGTACGTGTAAGAAATTCAGGAGCATGTTGCTGACGTTTAAATAAGAAGAGTTTGTATAAACAAATGTCCAGAAGTTATTCATTCTGAGATACAGAGTATCAAATTTTGATTGTTATTTCGGTTTTTTGTGAATGAATTCCAAAATAATTGTGATATTCGGGTGACCAAATTTCACTCTAATGTCACGTTGATTTCTGAATTTATTCACAAAAAACAGGAAACTTTGACAGTTTGTATCCCAGAAATGAATAACTTGCGGACATATGTTTATACGAACTTTTCTTCTCATGTTGTCGTCAGCAACATGCTCCTGTAAGTTTACGGGTACTTATGAAACACCCAGTAGAAATTTTGTCAAAAACAAGAATTATATGAAAGAAGGTTTTGTCCCATCGAAGTTCGAAGCCTATTTTTTATAATTTTCATTTTTGAAAATGAGCGATCTCCAGTGCAATTAGATGTTATCAAAACCTCAGTGCAATTTCAATGTTCGGGAATGTAATTCTTGAACTTTCATCTTCAAGAATGTCGAATTAAAATACCTCAGTAGATTGGTTTTTTCCATAGTCCTCTTTGATGAAAACGCGGAAATGAACACGATATTTGGGATAACACATCTTATTAATTTCGGCACGAAGAGCTTACGACAAAAAAATTATCGTCAGAAACTCGCGACTAATAAAAATTATAAGTTCATTAGTTATGGTAAGGTACAAAACTAAATGCAAAAACAGGAATTAATTCAATATAAACGTGGCAGCACCGCAAAGTTTCGTAGTAGACGAGCAATAATCGTTGTCATCGCGATGTTATTGATGAGATAATGTTGGTAACGAACAAAATTGAACAACATATTCATTAGCATTATTTTTCCAACAACTTATTTGAAGACAGCGAGACAATATTCAGCGATCATTTTCTATAAAACTACGGAGTCCAATAAGTGACAAAATGAATAATCATTACCTTCTAACATAGACAGCATCATGGTGATCATATCTTTTTGGAGGTTGAGCAATTCTTTGAGCAAATCGACTTGACTGGAGTGCTTGGATAGTTTGTCTTGCATGTGTGAGAAAAGGAAGAGAAAACCCCCGACTGCATCCCACAATCTGTCAAAAAAAGAAACTGCTTACTAGATTTTTTCTCCATATTTAGCAGACAATGGTTGAACACAGTCAAAAGTCGAACTGAGATCACAAAATATTCCAATCGAACTCTCGCTCTGGTTGACCAGATTCAGAACTTCATTATAGAACGATTCCAAATCTGTTAACTTGCAAATGTTGCTCGAAAACCATGTTGATGATCAGTAATTACGAATTTATGAATTTCTTACTCAGATATTTTTGACAAAACTGGTGATAGGGAGATTGGGCGGTAATGGGCTTATATCACAAAAAATTTTTATTTCATAATTCGATAGAACTCACCCAAACTAGCTCACTACCGCAAACCGTTTCTTGCTGTGAGCTCCCTACGTTTTATAAAAAATTATTGAAATCCCCGATTTTTCGGACCTCTGAAAACGAGGCGATGATGTGACGTCAAAACCCTAATACTGAAACAAGACTATTCCAGACAGAGATGAATGATACATGATTTCTCACAAAGCACCAAGATTGGTGAATCGGCAAGTTGATTTTTGGGACATAGATGATAAGAACAAGAAGAAGATCAATTCTAACCTATATGAAGTTTCTGCAACTTTCGAATATTAAATTGAAATATTTCGACAAAAGTATGATTGAGAAATGTTCTGTGCCAAATTGCAATTAAAAAAACATCATTTAGCTGGGAATTTTGAGAACAAATCTCGTCCCTTACTGGGTGAACACAATATTATAGTAGTAGTTTTGCTTTGCAGAAATTCATAGGGAAATTGCTTGAAGAATGAATGATCGATCTCCTAGAAGAACATTCAGGTGGAGATGCAAGCAGTATCTAGTCTTGGGAATAACATTGTTTCATACCAATTGATCATATTGTTGCATAGGTAAACATATCGATCAGTGACTGATTTAATGAGGATTCTCCCTCGGAATTGCCATATGATGGGTATTCTGATGTTAAATATCCTTTCAGGTGAACAATTTTCCAATGCAACTATAATAGGTACAAGCAATGAAAATTGAATGAATATTGTGGAACTTACCTTTCAGATTTTCTATTCCTCATTTCAGCACTGAGGAACTGTGGAGATTTTCTAGTATGTTAGACATAAAAATAATTAACCATTTCCAAATCAATTTTCGGTAGATTATCTGATGAGCCTTTTACAAATTCTGATTCAACGTTCATGTTTATATTCAATATATCAATAATATTATTTGTATTAATATGATATACAGTTAGATTTGGAGGTTAATTCCATTACGTGTCTTCTCTTCTCATTTTAGACGACATAAATAACTTCGGAATCGGAATTCGAGACTCCATGCAAATGTGAAACGGGTCAACAAAGCAATGTTGCTGCGTTCATGAAATATATTGGATTATTGTGAAATTGTCATGGTGCAAATGGTTTTGAGATTGAGACATTTCGTTATTTAGAGATTGTTTATATTCAAATGATTCAACCTACCATCGACAAGTTGAATATATTTTTCTGCAGTAGTGGTAGTTGATATCAAAAGATATTTCAATATCGATTTCGATCTCTCGGATATTTTGTTTAGATGATATGGCAACAGTGATAAGTGTCACACATGGGTCACTCTATGGGTCACGCTCATTGGTTCCAGGCGAGATGAGGTTTCTACGTCATAAAGAGGGTCCGTTTTCAGCAGGTACTATTATTTATGTCCAAAAATAAAACATTCCAGTTAATTTTTAGATGGAATTATGTCGCCAATCGTTATTTATGTATAAAAGGATCATTATAAACATGGTTTGAGTTGAAAGTTCTACTAAGGTGTACACGCCCATTCTACTCTACCTGGAGTGAGCCAGCGCTTGCTGGTTGAGCGTGCAAGGTCCTTGGATGACCTCGGTGAGCGTGTTGAAGACCTGACTGGCCACTTCGATGGCCTTGAAGAAGTTCGCCTTGCCGGCGGGATCGATCAGTTCCTTGCTGGAATAGTGCCAGTAGAAGTCCATGATGGACTCTTGGAGTCTGAGGAGGTAATCAACGGTACAGATGACGACGTTGACGGTGGTCGTGTTGCCCGCTTGGGTTCTCAAGTAGTTTTGCCACTCTGCGAACGATACGAATAGAGAAGTTCAGTTAGATTTTAGAGAGAAATGTGTCTTCTTCATCTGTCCTTGTCTTTAGAGTCACTGGATGGTAGATAGATAAGATTTCGGACACAGCTGAACTTCTGTTCTTTTTTTATTTTCTATATTACAATGATTCTTGAATGAATAAAAGAATAAGACATCTATTCTGCTCTATTCAATTTCCCTAGTAGCGCCTGATTGTCAGACGCTTTTAGATGTTAGATTTTCTGTCAAATCAATCATTGTCGTAGATGGAACATAGAAATAGGATATATGACAAAATAGACAAATATGGATAATAAAACATGAAGATTGTTTTCCTTTTTTTGCTGCATTCACTTTTTACTGATAAATTTTGAATTTGTTCGGTATTGAAAACGCCAATCAATGATATTGTATCACGTTGCAATCAACTTGAATTCGCCATTTCCTTCAGAATTGCCGCAATTCATTACAGGACATTTTCATCTATGATTTTTTCTCAATTTTTTATGAAATTATATTTCAATTCTGACGATCATAAAATTCATTGCCAAATTCAAACAATTTTGAATAAAAAGTGCGGAACGACTATGATGGTGTTATGTCACAATGCAAGGTATGCAGCTTAATAAATCTAAACATTCAAAAACACTAACAGTTGTCATTTCTGTGTCCGAACTCGTATCTTAACTAATACCATCCAGTGACTCTACAGGTCTTTAGTGTTCCTACTTGAAACCGAAACGATTGAAATTTTATGTTAGCAACACTAGGAATGAGAATAAATTGATAAGAAGAAGATCATGAAAACCTCAATATGAAAAAAGGTTGCTGAATTTCTCTATTAGTCAATCCAATGACCTGTCTAACTATGCGCAGGTTGGCACACCATAACATTATTTATGTGTGATAAATCGTTTTTCATACGCGAGTTCCTGTTGGTATTAGAAGTACAAGTCATATACCTAATCAGATAAAATCACGAACAGTAACTATTTAATTGTTCTAATTATATCATTCTATAGATTTTTCAAAAGGTGCCAGCCAGGCGCCATATTGATTCTAGTTGGATTGCCTAATTTGAAAGTGTCGATAGATGGCGGAGATTAAATAGAGTAACGACAATGGACCTTCAAATGGCTGCAGTTTCCGGAATGTCATTCTTGGTCAAATCACTGAATAGTTAAACATTTGATGCCCATCATCTGATGTTAGGTTGAGATATTTGATATATTCATTTCATCATCTAAATAATCTGAGACTCACGATTCCCAAAAGACGGATTCTAATGGCTGATTTCCAAGGTACTGTCGTATAGAGTTTCATGTCTGATTTGTGTCACAAGAGCAAAAAACAGAGACAAAGTGAAATAGAATGCGTACAACTGAATGGAGAAAACAAGACAAGTGGATGCACCTCCATATCAGAGGTTTGACCAATCAAAAAGTGAATCACCATTGTCGTCACTCTGTTTCTAAAATCACTCTACCTAAGTTGTGGCCTTCGCAAGTGAGCTGGATGAACCTGAAGAGGGCGCAAGTGAATTCGGCGTCGTGCATGTTCTTTTCTCCAGCAGCACCTGAAAGATAGATGTACAGTGTTAATTTCTGCAGAGATTATCTTGTATACAATTTCATAATGGTAAATTTTGTTCGGTAAATGACGTATTTTCGTAAATTCATTATGACACTTCTTATAGGTAAAATTGGTCATCAAGTAGTGTATATCAAATATCATTCTTCATCAATACATCCTTTGTTGAATCAACTATCTGATGAATATTTAGGGATCTTGTTCACAGACCACCCACCCTAACAGGGGGTCATAAGTATTGGGACATTGGTTAAGGGCAGATTGTTTGGAATAAAATATGGCGATAAGACCGAATATGCCTTCATGAAATATTGCTGTGAAAAAAAATACAGGGCGTTAAAGTTGAATATTTTTTTTCGATTTTTGCTAATATCAACATTATATAGAAAATCGTTAAAAGTATTGTATCGTCTCCCATTTGATACACCAACCAATCAATTGTATGAAATAACAAATACGTATTCTTTAGATGAAATATATAGAATTGAAACTCTCAAAATACCATATAATATCATAAATAAAAAATTGAAGTCGATTATTATTTAATACGGAATTCTGAAATTCATAATCATGAAACTAGACAATATAACTTGGTCCATCTTGACGCCGCTAGCTCCCTAATCGGACAAAAAAGATTCACTCATTCAGCCTTAACTGAATTCAATAAACTACCTGATAATATAAAAAATTGCAGAAATATAGGTATATTCAAAAATGAAGTAAAAAAACTGATTATTTCTGAGCGGAGTGGATAAAATTAATCATGCCCTTTTTTTTTAAATATTATTTTTTGTTTGCCAATTTACAGTTGTTGATATATTTTGAATGATGCTATATGTTTACCTATAGGTATATAATTATGTACTTCCTTATACCAGAGCCTATTCTGTCTGGAAGTTATTTGTTCAATAAATAAATAAATAAATAAATAAATAAATTCTCACTGTATAGTCATCAATTTTTATCAAAATCGGCCCACAGGTATAATTGTATACAGGAAATATTATTTCATAGATTTTTTCTACAGTTGATTACAGGGGGCGCCAAGTGAATGATTCCTTATGTATCGACTGATATTTTTTTTTGCGAAATTTCTTAGTGATTTTTATTGAAAAATATCACATGAACAATATCAAGAAATACTCTTGAAATTTTACTATGATATCATGAACAAAATGCTCAAATATGATTCATATTGATAAGGAACTTATGTACTCAACAACCATTATTTTTAATTTAATTGAAAATTTCTGAAGTGGATGTGGATCATACAAAACATCTGCAATTTCAGGTCATGTGATAGAAAAATATGGATGAAAAAAAGAGACAAATACAAAAATAGACAGAATGACTCGAATAGACAGAAGAGCTTGAACTTCATCTGTAATAATGTGGCAATGAAATATACATATTTTATCAGTCTCCGTGGACTTTTATTGGTAAACCTTGGAAAAAGAGAGGATTCATCACATGGGACATACATATAACACTACAAAGGCAAGCGAAAAAGAGACAATACAGAAAGAGAGAGAGGAAGAAAGGAAAATTGCGAAATATTTTCTCACCTTCAGACCCTACTCCCAACCCCTCGGCCTTGGTATTCCTCTCGAACGCGTCCAAGTCCAACGACCCGCAGCTGTTCATCAGCCCCGCGATACTAGTGAAGAATCCGACGTCCTTCTTCTCCTTCAGGTGGTTCAGCATGCCCATCTGGATGTCGAAGTTGCCGCCCCTCAGCACGGAGATGCCCAGCTCGAGCGTTTTCATCACCATGTCGGAGGGCACGCCCTTGCAGGCGGATATGTGGAGCAGGACCATTTCGGCAACACCGCGGTTGGCCAGACGGGCTTGGTTGAAGAGCAGTTTCTGTTTTTCCATTTCTTGTTCCTGGAGGGAAGGAGATAAGGCGATACGGTTCGGGAGTCCATCGTTGGCACCACAGTATAGGGTGTCCCAAATTCGAGAGGTATCATTGGGATCTTGGTGATTATAACAGATACAAAGTCGGTTGAATGAGGGCTGGTATTTTCACTCTCACCAGTTGGCGCTACTAAAACATGAGGTCAATGTACAAAGTCAAAAATCCCAACATTTTGACGGATAGCCCTAATAGCTATGGCCTGTTTTATCGAAAATATTCGAAAAAAAATATGTAGAATATTTGAAGAAATAGAAAACCTCAAGTTATCGAAAGAAGTGAGACGACTTACGTTTTTTTTACTCTCAATGTGGAACTTCACGACCAATTCTTACATTGACGGAGAAGAATAATATATTATAGCAAAAGGCCAAATGACAGGAAATAAAAAGTATATTCATCAGTTCTACCCACTCTGACCTCATGTTTCGTTGGCGCAGTTTGGTGACTGAAGAATCTCTCATCAATGCAAAGTTGCGCAATTTGAATCTGATCAAAATGCCGCCTCAAAAGTTTGGAAATTCCGAATACTTGCGAAGATATTTGAAAAGAACCGAATATCCGCGATTCGCGATCGCCAAGGTCATTATATGACGTTGCGGTGACATTTTTGCAGTCATTTTTCCTTGTCTACAAGATGCCATCATCAGATTTTTAATAACAAAAACATAATTTCTTTTAATTAGAAACTTCCAAAATAAATTAATCAGATTTTGATCCGACGTTTCGTTTCCTCGTAACCATCATCAAATAAAACTGAAGATTTTTTGGTCCAAAGCGTCGGTTAACTGTCAAGTGTAATATGTCATTGGATTCAGAATCGGGATAAGAATTATTCAGGGATATTTTGTTCGACTACTTGGAAAAACAAAGTCGATGATGGCTCCTCGGGGACGAAACGTCAGATCACACATCAATTAATACCATTGGAGAGAGAGCAGAAACTTGGCAAAGATAATGTAAAACTCATGTTGTCATATCACTTCAAATGAAGTTAGAAAAAAAAAACGAAATCGCGGATATTCGGTTTCTCCCAAATATATTCGGAAGTATTCGGAATTTCCAAATTTTTGAGGCGGCATTTTGATCAGCAGTACATTGCACAACTTAGCCCTGATTCAACTGACTTTGTATTTGTTATGACTACCAAGATCCCAATGATACCCCACTACAGGGTTAGTTTTATTACTGTGAACCCCCCCTTTATCTTTTTTGATTTCCTCCCGTTAATAGTTATTTAACTAACTAGTGTATTAATAACCTGACAATTTGAAAGTTGTTTTATCCATCCTTATACTTACAAAATTTCAACTTTCACAAGATAAGCTATGATATGATGATGAGCTAAGTTTATGTCTACAAGATGTTCTATTTAAAAATTAACATTTAAGATAGAGAGTAATGTCTTCAACATCATGATCAACATGACATAGCACTATTTTGCCCATTTGACCGAACTAGTAGGTTCAATAATAACTGAGATGATCACAGAAATTTTCCTTCACAGGTAAACTACCAACAACCCATTATAAATGATTTCGTAAAATTTTATAACGAAAAAAGACATACTACCTATAGAACATAAACGAATATAGTACCTGTTATAACTGAAATGAAAACAGTTAGTTAAGAAAAAATGTCTCACCATCAGCTTCCTCATCCGCTGCACCACAAAAGTTCACAATAATAATTATTAATTTACCAAGGACGAGTCTACAAATTCATAGCCAGGGCTAGCAATCAGTCGAGACAAAAGACAGTTTTTCGCCGAGGTGCATATTGAATTTTTTCGTCGACCTCAAACACTTATATCTATATCACAGTCCTATTAGCACGTGAAATCTATTGTATTTCGTGAATAAATACTCACAAATATCACAAAATACAGTTACATAGGTTTAGGTACTTATAAGATTTGAGTATATAAAAAACACAAACGAATAGTAAAAATGAACAACAAAAATACAAAATGAACGGAAAAATTGAACATGAGAAACAAACAAGTATAACAGAGGTATATAAAAAAATTGAATTTTGGTTTATACATATCATTAGTATCTATATATGTAAATTTACTTCTACCAGAGAATAACTATTTCTGTTCAGCTAAAGAATAAGATCTGAATAGTATCTAATCTACTCAACACCAGAAAAATATTTTTGCAATTTTCAACTACTGAAAATGATGAAATATTACTATGCAATCTTCTATTTTGGGTCGAATATCTCGAAAACTGTTTATTTCAGCTCAGTTGAAGATGATGCATTTTTTGAACAAAATTTAACAGTGAATTCGAGTCGAGGAATTGAACATAATTGAAATTTAATCAGTGGCGTAGAAAATATAGGAGGAACAGTTGCTACAACCCCCTGTAGGGCACCACTGGATAAAATGTCCGGAATGGCCTCCTGGTCAAAAAATGACCCATTCAAAGATGAAACCATATACCGAAGTAGAATGAATTATATTCAATTATTCTTGAGATATTGCCAAACAACTATTTTTATTGAAAAGGAATATTCTCAGATATATTATAAACATGAAAAAATTGATTCATTTGAATAAATACATTGAGAATTCGCATTCTCTATGTGATGAAATTATTAATTCTTTCTCGGTATATTCAACAGAAAACAACTACTTCCCTGGCTATATGCCACGACGAACATTGAATTATATCAATTGAACATACACGATAGGAATTTGAGAATAAAATGAATATCTTCTGAAATTGAGAATTGACATTCTCTTCCAGAATCGGATGAATAATATGATGAATATAACGATATAAAAAATATATTACTTACCAAATTGGTATGAAAATTGGAATGTATGAACGATGGAAACTTGTTATTTTTATAGACCTTCAATCGCAGATTCGTGATTGGGTTTTTTCTCAATTCAGAATTTCTTTCCACGCCCTGTATGATGAATGTCAGTTTGTCATACATCTAAAATAACTATTTTTATTTCTTAACATTAACGCCCTGTATCTCGAGAACTGAACACTTAAAGACCGTATGTTCCTATCTCAGTGATTATGAAATCACGAGGGCTATCACCTGTCAAGCGTTGTCGGTCGAATTTCGAAACACCCTGTCTATTGTCTCATTCAATCATGAAATAGTCATACGAATAAAACTCGTGATACTATTTTTTCTGGAAATATTATCACTATATGATGATTCTATTTAAGAAATATCGTATCGCAACCCCCCCCCCCCCCCGTTCTAAACTCACGTGTATCGAGGAGGTACCGTCCTCTCCTTCGCCACCACCTCCGCCGCCGCCCTCCTCCTCCTCCCCCTCGCCCTCCTCCTCCTCCTCACCGCACGACTTGGCGATGATCTCCGCGTAGCTCATGTACAGGGGGTCCTCTTGCAGAGCGCCGGAACGCTCTGTCATCGCGCCCCTGGAAGAAAAAAATGAAGAGTTCGTTTCAATAGAAAGCAATATGTAAAAACTCCACAAACGATAAGATTTCCACAAAATTCTCAATTAGACCTCAATAGTTCACCACTGTTGAATTTGTTGTCTTAGTAAGTAATAATATGTATTTGTTTTCAACTCTTTCAAGTTAATTCAGTATACCGTATTTTGATGTAGATTTTGTGCCTAATTTACAAAAATGGAGGTTTATCGTACCTGTCCACAGGTAACTAATCCTTCAGGTTGGGAAAATAGGATATATATAAAAGTCAAGCAAGCCAACGTTAGTTTAGTTCATTGTACCAGTATAATCACCTGACGAAGATACTGCGTTAGCGAAACATGTGTGTTTGAGAATTTTGTAGAAATCTTATCGTTTGTGAAGTTTCACATTTGCTATGAATTTCCATCGAGTAACGGCCAAGTCAATTAGAAAAATAGAAAGCAATATGTTGATGTGAGTGATACTTAATGAACATCTCATGCGGTGTACCGCAAGGGTCCGTCTTGGGACCAGTTTTATTTTTAATCTACATAATTTCAAAATCAAACTTGTCAGTTGCAGCTATTCTTGTTATTTGAAAATAAGTTCTTGCCTGCAAAAGGTCGTCACCAGTTGCGTGAGAGGATCCGGCTTGCCCTCCTCCTCCTCACCGTCCTTCTTCTTCAGCTCGGCGTCCTCGAAGGACTGAGTGAGGTCCTCGATCATCACCTCTTGGCCGACGTTCTCGTCTTGCAGCCAGAAGTCGCGGTACGTGCGTATGAAGATGTTGATGGCGCGATGTCTGCGGCCGAAAGTAGGGTTATGTTAGGTAAGGAATCGCCGTTGTGGTTGGCAGAGTCGAAGAAACACTAAAAAGTCGCGTAAACATTTGACAGATGGCCAACCACTTGATTGAAATAGTTTTTCACAATTTATTTGGCATACGAATCGTGTTATTGGACTATTCATTAATGGGGAAATTTCCTTCAGATAAAGTTTCATAAAATAAGTTCGGTACTCCTCAGTTTCATGTTCACGTTGTACAGAATCGCGATCGATAGAATCCAAATCGTACTTATTTTCAAAATAGAGCAATTTCTGATTTTTGGGGCGAATAACTGTGATGTACATTCTGAATATAGCTGATGAATAATAATAATAATACTCATAATAATACTTGATTTCTTTGTGACATGCAGAATTTGTCAAAGACGATTACTAAAGCTAAAACTAACTAACTAAAATAGAATTAAAACTAAGACTTCAAAATTCATCTAAGGGGTAAAATCCACCCATTATTAGGTATTTCCTAAGACATTGCTTGAATGCCTTCAATGTAACACATGATTTAATGTCGGCCGGAAGTTTATTGAACAGCCTTTGCCCAGTTACAGTAGGTGATCTATATAAAAGATTAGTTCTTGAAAATGGCACACGTAGATCATTTTGCTGTCTAGTGTTGATAGAATGAATTTGTTTGTTAGTTCAAAAAGAGGTTATGTTAGAAAATATAAAAACACATACTTCAAAGATATACAAACACGGTAAAGTTAAAATTTCATAAGATTTAAAAAAAATTCGACAACTAGCTAACGAATGAAAAACGAATAAAACACAAATAAAAAATAGACAACTTGGCGTCGTTATTGAATATATCATGAAAAATAACGAGCTAACAAAACAACTATAAAATGTAGACCCAAGTGAAACTGTTAAACAAAAACATACATAACCACACAATCAGATCAGCTCTTGCGATGTGCCTGTCAGTATTTTGTGTGGTGTGGATGGGCTCAAAGAATTATGCGCTGTTGCAACAAATAATCTGCTACTTTCCTAGAAATTAGGTCCGTTTTATAAAGAAACGAATTCATTTGCAAAAAGTTACTGAGAATTCATGATTATCATTTTATAACATGGCGAAAGTGAAAAATTATGGATACTATTGCAAACTATCATAATTTATCTTTATTAGCAATCAACTTCATCTAGCAAATGAGAGATTTATAAAAATTCATCATAATCGACAAAGTAGGATTAAAAAACCTATTATGTCCCATTTCTGTTATAATATAGTTATTATAATGTACTCAAAGAACAATTTCCGGCAATCTAGACATATTGATGTTATCGGCATCGTCTTTTACTGTCACTGGCAATCGTATTTCAACTCTATGTGAATGTGGCTTTTCATAGAAATGGTGAAGGAGCCAATTTCCCCTTTCATTTATCATATCATATAAAAACGAATACGTTAGATATCATAGTCTCACAAACATTTGGTTGACCAATGGACGAAAAATGCAGCAAGATACGAAGGAATATGATTTTTTAGGTAAATTGTCTCTTTAGAATTCCTTCTGCCACTTCTGCAATAGAAGCTATAGAGTGAAAATGTCTACAATTTACAGGACCACATTTCGTCAGCATGTCAGACCAGTCCTCCCGTTTGATTGCACGAATCCAAGCTTCTTGCTTTCTTTTAGAAACTTCACATGTATTTCTATCAGCTCCTATTGTAGAACAAATTTCAAATAAAAATGACAAAATTTCAAAATGAAAACTATGTGAGTGACTACAGTACTTTCAGGTCACAATTTACCTAACTGAAAAATCTTAATCCTTCGTCTCTCGCTGCATTTTTTGTGCATTGTACATCAGCACAATGTGATGGCATGCTTGAATAAATGAATTCCTCAAAAAAGACGATTAGTATGCCAAAATAATTGTGAAAAACTATCTCGATCCTTTGTAAACAAATAAGAAAAGTGAGGTTGTTTCACCTCCAGGGTCGGCCATCTGTTGAATGTGCAAGCGACCTATTGGTGAATTTCAGAATCATCAAGTGACGCATCAATAATAATTTCAGGCACATATTCAGCGTTAGGCATGCCATCTGATGACTTTGAAATCCGCCATTATTGCTAATTTCACCAATATGGTGGTGCATCTCCACCATAGTGACATCATATGTTGATGAATTGATGGTGAATCGATTTTTGACTGAACTAGCAACAGGAAAGGCAAACATGAGTTTGGCATTTATTCTCATGGCTACTTTAGAATGTTCATTTACATGATGAGGATGTGAAATCTCTCCTCCTCTGTGCTCTAGGAGTTTAATATTATTAGATAATTGTCTACCCTATGAAATTGACAGTCCTTAGGTGTTTATAAGGTGACACATCAGAGGGGTTAATGATAAGTCGAAATCAAGATACACACACCTGCTCAGTTTGTATAAAGGAGTCATCCTGAGACAAGCCAGCGCTGCTCTCTTTCTAGCAGCCCCTAAAATTCTCTTCCAACCGTCCCGGTTATTTCTCGGTTTAGAAGCCTGTCAGCATGTAACACACCATCAACCAAAACTTGTTAAGAAAATTATCGACCGTACGTTGTTGTCGATGGGTATGGGAACAGCGAAAACAACAAAAAATCAAGCTACTCAAGGCGCCATGCAAATCTGGTGTAAACGCTTCAGCCATAGATTATAAACCCCGTAGTATGACTCAGAAATAAGTGAAACCCTTAATTATTTTTACTAACAAGATGATCCACCTCCAAGTAATAAATTGAAGCCTGCTCGAGTCCATCTATTCTATCTGCTAGATATAATTTCTGGTTTCATTGCTCCGAAAAGAATGGTTCATCTTGTATGTGTAAATTAGGGTCACTTGATGCAAACTGACGTATTTGTCATCCAACAGGGTATGGACAAATCATAGCTCCTTCCTCTTTCAATCATCTAGTGACTGGTTTCGTGTATTGGCTTCCCTGACATGACATTGCTGTCAAGACAAATTCATAGGCTTTAAAAGAAATCTTACAAAATTTTGATTTCATACTTGATCACACTACATTATTCAATTCTGTTTTGGTAGGATAGTGAAATGTGCTGCTTCAGGCTATATCAATCAGTTGGATGGCAAATTTGAAAATGTCAGCTTTCCATCAAATGCAGATGAACTTAGAACATGGAAAGTGAAGTGATCAAATGGGAAAATTGGTGAATACATCAGCCAAATATTCGAGGTAAAACTAATACGAAATCACATATTATACTTTCTCATCGTGCCTATAATTATCCACTCCACAAGTTTTTGAATACTTTTTAGTAAAGACAGTATTGATTAAAACGGATGAATAAAAGAAGAGGCATATGCCCTACCATTTAAAAAATTATACAAACATTCAGGAAATATTAAGTGTTCGTGAAAAATTGCAAAAATGATTCCCAACATGAATATATACAGCACACATGACATATGAGCACATTAGTTTGAATACCTATATACATACAATTTTTCACCATTTCCCAACCATAAGGCTTAGTCTGAAATCAAAATTCATTTATTGATAGGTGCTGCCTAAGAACAGTCCCATTTGATAAAACGTATTAAACTTTCAAAAAATTTTCTCACTGCCTCACCGAGATTATGCTGGAGTTGAAAAATCAAGAACTCGAAAATTATCATCATCATTTGGATATAATATGTAGAGTTCAATGAGAAATTACATTTGGAAATTACGCATGATACGCCAATGTCCTCAATATAACCTAAAAAACAACAAATGTGAGAAATCGAGTGTTTATCCCAAGAAATGAATAAAGATGGAACTGAATAACTTTTTCACAGACACTGTAGAGTGAGAAGAGACGAGGATCTGTTCGTACCCTGTTAAGATGACAACCACGTCAATTCACATCAAGAGACCCTAGTGTAAATAATCGAGGGTACGTATAACCACTTGTTGATTCACCTCAGATCTGTTCATCTACGATGTTTATACTCTTTGCTTTCGCTAATCATCGAGTGTTAGACTATGCTACCTCAAAGCAAATCCTTGAGAAACACTGATAACACGTCAAACTCTCATCAAATCATCTAGTTATTGTGATTTCACTATCTTGTCAACGTCTCAGAGACATACAACGAACCTGGGCAAACTGTGCAAAGAAGCTTGCCGGAAGCAAGACAGTACGGCTCGCTTCCTTTGGGTGGATACGACGCTTCTGTAAACGCCTTTCTGCTGCTGTTGAGGGTGATCGATCTAGCAACGCAACGCAAAAGGAAGTAATTGAATTTAAACGCCAACATAAAGTACAAAAATAAAAGAACGCGAAACTTATGGCATGGACAGTTTGTTCTCTCAAGTAATTTTACATTCAAACGATCATAAATATTAAAATAGACTGACAAAGAAAAGATCCAGTCGAATGTGATGAGTAATGAGTTATGATAGCAAATTGACTTACCATGTGAAGACCGTACAACACTTTGCTCATAGCGACTATCCTATCGACTGTTTCCTCTAGTTGATTTTTACCATTATTATCGATCGAAGATATCGTCACGCTCTTTTTGCTACCCAGCTGACTGTATAGGTAGTGCTGCCAAGACATCTCATCAGCAGGATCGATTTTATCTGGTAATGTTAGTTGGATTTTGGCAAAGTCGATGATGTCGTACTCTGGCATTTTCTGGAACAACATACTCGATAAGTCAATGTGGACGATATTTACCATCGATATTACCTTGAGGAATCGATCTTTGCAATGTTGAACCAGTTCCTGTTCACGTCCAGCGAAAAGATTGAGACCGACTGGTAATAGACGTTTTAGGCAGGCTACCATAAGTGAAGCCTGAATTTCTTTGTCTTTGTCCCTCTTCTTGTCACGGTGCTTCTTCTTTTTCTGTAGTATAACATCGATCAGAACATTCAGTACAACAAAAACTGACAGGAAGCAAATGACTTAGTTGAGTACGTGAATTTTTGAACAAGCCTTTACGTGAAAGACACCTATCAAAGATGGCATCACTCACTCAAACGTTGTTAAATTCTTTGATTTCAGGTGTGGGACAAATCCCATTATCATTCAAGAATTGATAAATTGAGGAATTAGTGAGATATCTCGATGTACTTAGCTCATTTTCGTATCTCCTCATTGCTATCTAACTTATCTATCTTGAACAATTGACCAGTTGGTCCTTCAGCCTCACATTTCCAGCGTTTCACATTTTGGTGGCAGGTGTGGGATAATCTTGCCACGATAACTCGAGATATTGTGAACTGTTCTTGGCATCTTTAAAATATTCTTCGAGAAATTACCATTAATTGATCGTCAATCTTGGATGTTACGAGTGTCTATTCATTAGAAATTTTTAGAAAAACCAGCCGAAGATTGCCTTTTCCGAACGTTGTTTCCCATTTTGGTTTCGGGAGTGGTACAAATTGAATTATCATGTTTTTTTTTTTTTTTTTATCGCTTGGAGCGCACGAAAGGGAATCCCTATAATGTTCAAAGAACATCATGCGTTCCTAGGGAGGATAGGGACAAGAGGTAGGTATTGGAATTTTTTTTGAACTTTTGAAGATTATATGTTGTTGGGAATACTTCCACAGGCAATGAATTCCACAGCCTAGCCGTTCTATGGATGAAGGAGTCTTGATAAAGTGCTGTTCGACATCTTTCGAGGTTGACAACGAAAGGATGTGCTGACTGGGCTTGTCTTGTTCGTCTGATTGGTATTGCTAGTGGAGGGATGATAGCAGAGATTTCCGAAGAACATTTCCCGTGGAAGTATCGATAGAAAAGTGAAAGGTCGCCGACCTTTCTACGGTGTTCCAATGATGTCAAAGAGTGAGTGAGTGTGGCGTCACCCACCAGGCGAATGGCTCTTCTCTGGATGGAATCTAAGAGCATCAGCGTATGTTTTGGTGCTGAACCCCATATGTGGGAACAGTATTCTAGAACAGGCCGTATCTGCGCTTTGTAGATCATGAGAAGCTGTTGAGGTGTGAAGTAGCTTTTTGCACGGAACAAGAATCCAAGTTTTTGTGAAGCAGCTTTTGCGATGGATCTGACATGATTATCCCATGAAAGAGTGTTGCTGATGGAAATACCGAGCATAGATATGGTGGGCTTGGTGGGGATGGTGGAGCCAGACATTACAATATCGGGCATACTGAGTTCCGCCTTTCTAGAGAAAATGCAGGCTTGAGTTTTGGTGGCGTTGAATTCAACTAGGTTGTTTGTTCCCCAGGCTGTGATTTCAGCAAGATCTTCATTGACAGCATTGACCTGCCTGCGCCGTGAGTTCTTAGTTTCCTGGGAAGAAATGGGAATTCTGGAAGAGAACGCAGTATGGAGAGTACTATCATCTGCAAAGCTGTGGATGGGGCAAGTTGTTACTCCCAACAGATCATTGATATGAAGCAGGAATAATGTTGGTGCCAAAATTGATCCTTGTGGAACGCCGGAATTGATGCCAATGGTATCAGACGATACACCATCCACCACCACGTGAAGCGATCTGCCTGAAAGAAAACTCGATAAGAGATGGCATAGCTGAGGTGGTAAGCCGTATGATGGTAGTTTGTGGAGGAGTCCTTCGTGCCAAACACGGTCGAATGCTTTCGATATGTCCAACGCGACAGCTAGAGATTCCCCGTGTTTTTCTATTGAAGATTGCCATAAATGGGTGACGTAGGCAAGTAGATCTCCAGTAGATCTTCGGTGGCGAAAGCCGTATTGTCTATCATTGATGATTCCTGAGCTCTCCAGATATTTGATGAGCTCAATGTTGATGGCTTTCTCCATCACTTTGGAGATTACTGATAACAGGGCAATGGGCCTGTAGTTGTTGGGCAGGTTCTTGTTTCCTTTTTTGGGGATTGGTTGGACTCTAGCTGTCTTCCAGCATGATGGAAAAATACCCGACCTGTACGAGATGGTAAACAACTTGCAGAGGATCGGTGTTAATTCTGGTGCACATTTTTTGAGGATAATGGGTGGAATTCCATCAGGACCGTTAGCCTTATTCGTTTTGAGATCAAGCAAAATTCGTCTGATGGTGCGTTGACGGAAGACGATTTCGGGCATTCGACTCTCAACGGGTGGAATGTCTGGCGGCAGTTTTCCTTGGGAATCTAAGGTAGAGTTTGCTGCGAACATCTCTGCAAAGATATTTGCTTTCTCCTGCGATGTTGTTGCTAATGTGCCGTCGGATTTGGAAAGTGGTGGAAATGAACTATTAGTGAAATTTCTTCCGACCGCTTTAGCAAGGGACCAAAACGAACGGCAGCCATTGGGGCAATCTATGAGTTTCGATCTTATCTTGGCATTGTATGTTTCTTTAGAAGCATCTATTGTTTGGCTGCAGTTATTCCTGGCATCAACGTATTCTGCTCTAGTCGCGAGGTTAGGGTTTTTGCGCCAGCGATGGTAGGCTGTTTGTTTCAAGGCAACAGTTCTAGAACAGTTTTTGTTGAACCAGGGTTTCGAAGGTGATGATCTTTTCGAAAAATGAGGTATGTATGTGTCCATTCCGAGCATGATGATCTCGGATATTTCCGCAGCACACTGTGAAGGGTCCTCAGAGTCGAAGCATACTCTATGCCAAGGAAACTCGGAAAAAAACATGCGGAGACCGTCCCAATCTCCTGAATTGTAATGCCATATAAGACGTGGGGGTGCCGGAGCAGTTGATGGAATGAAAAATGGGCAGGTTGTGGAGATGAGTGTGTGGTCAGAATTGCCAAGTGGAGCTCGTACATCTATGGTGTAGGGTGCTGAATTATTTGTGAGGAATAAGTCAAGTATGTTAGCTGAATGGTTATTGGCATCGGGAATTCGTGTGGGTTCTTTGATAAGCTGCTCTAAGCCGTGAGTGATGGCGAAAGCTTCGGCTTGTCGCCCAGCTTCATCCGTTCTGTTAGAGTGTACGAGCCAGGCAGTGTTGTGTACATTGAAATCGCCCATGATGATGATTTCTGCTGCTGGATGGTTCTGTTGAATTTGGTCAAGCTTCAAAGACAAGAATTCGAAGAGCTCTTCATAGGATGGATCATTTGGTGATAAGTAGAGACAACAAAGGTATTTGGTCTGTTTCTGGCTATCGAGTTTGAACCACATGACATCAAACTTATTTGGTTCCAAAGTTTTTTCTCGTTGACATGAGAGATTCGTTTTAGAGTAGAGGCAGAGACCTTCCTTGAATCTGAAACGTGTGTGGAGTTCGTACCCCGGACAGAGCAGATAGGTCGTATTGGTGGATGAATTGACCTGTGTCTCAGTAAGAGCCAATATGTCTGGCTTTTCAATTTGAAGGTGTCGATGGACATCGTTGATGTTCTTACTTAGACCTCGGATGTTACATAGGTCTATCTTGAGGACTTTTTCAGCCGATGGTGAACCCCCTCTAGCACCTCTCGCCCGGAAATCCGAATGGAGAGGTATTTTACTTCCGGATAATTTTACTTGAGGAGAACTCATCATCGCGTATTCTGTATGAAGAAGGGAGGTTGGCGTGGAAGGAAAAGGAAATTGGGTTGGGTTGGGTTGGCCGGAACATCAACCAGCTACTGAAACACGGGTAAGTATACCCATTTCACAGTGCCTATGGTTGATGTGGTGGTATCGCACCGGGCGATGGCGTTAACCATCTTCCACCTATTGGCGTCCTTTTAGTCGCCTTCTACGACAGGCAGGACTTACCGTGGGGTTATTCTAATCCGACCACCACACGGTGTTAATTTTTTCGTGGCAGGTGTGGAACACCTTTGCAACGATAATTCGAAACACTCTAGAGAACAGTGAACACTATAACGGTCGATTTTTAGTAACTGATAATTGATGGAAAACTACTACCTTTCCCACAGTAGGCTGACTACCATCAGGAACGACAGTCCTCCTGGTAGCAGTGGGCATGATCAACACCATGTTGTCGATCTCGTTGGCCGATATGAAATTCTGCTCTTCTCTCAGGAAGTACTGCGACTTGGACCATATGTTGAAAATCTCCGCCACATGGTTGTACAAATCTTCTGCCTCGGCCACGTTGTGTCTCAGCCAATGGTTGCGCTGCAGGTCGACGTATTTGATCAGCAACGGGTAGAAGGAATAAATGTCGCGGACCAGCAGGTGCCAGTCTTCTTGGATTTGCGTCTCGATCTGAAAAATGATGAGGGATAAGTAGAAAATCCTCACGAGCAAACTTATACAATCACTTTACCTGTGAGGTATCTTCCGTGGAACTTTTGATGAATCCTCTCAAGCTCTCTTCCTTGTGGAACATGGCCTCCGTGCGTTTCTTCACTCTCTCGGCCAACGGCAGGAAGGGATCCTTGAGCAACTCCTCGCTGCTGTTGATGATTATCTGTTGGGTGTAGGCGGCTATGCGAGTCATCCACGGCGAGTTCTCGTTGCCGATGTTCTTCTTGATCAGTTTGAGCACGTTCTTGAGCAGCTGGTTCATGTGTTCTGACGTCACCATCGACACGTGAGCTCTGAAAATGCAATAGTTCTAGTGCCTATCACTTTCCTGAGCAGAATGATAAAAAGTAGCACTTTCCTGTGCGGAAATTTGCACTCGATTTAGCGATTTGATAACCAGGTATGAATTATGTCATCCGATACCAATTTAATGGTAGATCTCGAAGCAGCATTTGTTAGATTTGACCATGGATTTGACTATTCAGTAGGTGGCGGTATCTATGAAGATGATGCGTGACCTAAGATGGTGACGAGACTGACATTAGAAGGTAGGCTGAAAAAATTCTTCTTCTTTATTGATATTTGTATGAATTCTAACATTACGATGTTGCCAGAGTCACAAAAAAGTTTGTATTTAAATAAAACCATAATCATTATAAGGAATATTAGGATATTATCCTGATACTGGGGCAAGGTACAAAGAATTCAATAAGCGATTATCAGGAATAAGGTGGTCACATTGTCTTCTGCGAATAAAAATAGTATTTTCATTGACGATATTGAATCTAATAAGGTCATTACTAGTTATAAATTTGACGTCGAAATAACTGTTTATGCTCTGTGCCGGAAGACGCGTGACGTCATCGAGCCCTGGCGTTTTGGCGAATATTGAAACAAGTACTCTCGATTTTAAATAACGGACTGATCCATATAAAATAGGTATGTGGCGTGAATATCTATGGTATGTACAACCACATTGACATTGAAGCATTACTTCATAAATACTTTGGACCCCAGAAACAATTATTGCTTTGCAATGGATTGAAAGTGTCTATGTTTGAGCTGTTAACATTTTCAGTTGACAAAACCCATCACAATCTCCACTTACCCTCCTGTGGGACTGACATTATCGGGACCCTGGGACCACCAGAACGGTAGATAAGAACACAGCATCGGCATTATGACGTCGATGACGTGCGGAGCGTCTAAATAAGTCTTGTCACTTTCGACAAATTGGTCCACTTCGGATAAGATGGTATCGAGAGTTGGCATGGCACCTTCCATTCTAGCCATCACGTCTATCGAGAAATTGAAAGTTCCAGTCAAGTAAAAATGTTTTTCATAGTTATAAGCCTTGATAATTTACACTACCAAGATCCTTATGAGATCAATGAAGCCAGCAATTTTATTCAGTAGGTGACGGTATCTATAACGGCAAGGTGAACTACTTTTTATTGACTAGCGAAGGGAAGAGATCGGTAATGCAGAATATATTCGAAGTTTATTATTCGATGTTTTTATGCAAGAAGTATCAGGGCCGGATCAGATACTGTAGAATTTGCAAAACCGCGTACCGTGCGATAATACCTAGGTAAGCAGTATCGAAAGGTAATGACCATTCCCATTGCGGAAAATTGCAAACCTATCATCGATTCCGAATATAAATAGTACCTTGTAAAGTAAGTATTGTTTTTTTTTTCAAGTGTTGTTTTGCGTTGTGTTTCATTTGGCAAGCCAATATGTTCTTTTTTCTTTGCTAACCTGCCATGTGGCAAGCATTTATCTACGATTTTATATGAAAACTGTCTTGACTGTATAGACAGCTTCGCTAACACCGCCTACTAACAAGCCAATAACTGAGGCATGTGGCTTCTTCATTTTGCAAGGAGGTGGATCATCTCATTAGTGTAAATATTCAAGATTATGAGAGATATTGCAACTAGAGGTCGAATAAATCAAGAATAAAATATGACAAATTGTTTGCCGAGGACGATCATACCTTGCGCTTCCAAAGAATGATCAGCGATTCTGTTCAAAAGCGAAAACGGATTGTGCTTGTTCAAATGGGGCTCCAAAAATGCCACAGGGAAAGTCGAACTGAAAGCACCCATACAAGAACCCAAAGTAGGTTTGTACTTTTCCATCTCGGTCTTAAGATATTTCCTGTCATGATGTAGAGTAGGATCAGTCCCAAGAGTGTAAAGCGACTGCAACGCTTTGTAAGATGCCACTTGAATCTCGTCCACTGAAAAAAAAATCATATTGTAGAAATGTGTACTAGGATATTGTCTTTCTTAATAAAAACCTAGTTTGTATGCAAGAGGCATATTGTTTGTTCATTGATGTTTAATCATGAAGAATTTTAGATTATGAACTTGACACACAAGTGGATCTTGACAGGAATTTTAAAAATGTATAGAGTTAAGATAACGAATAACTGAATTCGGAATAGGAGGCACTAGCTCTCACTGAACACAAAATATTGTAACTCTCGCCTACTAACTAGGTTTCTATCTAGAATGGCAATGAGTAGGATGAGCAGATTTCTTACATAGAAGGTCGCTGCCATATTCACAATTCGCCAAATGATCGAAAAGCGAGGTTAGAACCGGCAGAATAACAGCATTCACGTAGGACAGCGACGTAGAAGTTTTCAGATGAGTCCCTCTCAGATGACTGTACTTCCCGTCCTGCAAATTTATAATAGTGTGTCCCAAATCATCAGCGGTGTTGTTGAAAAACGTCAACATGGAAGTCCTGATGAACTCCGGACAATTCTTCACCAATGATTTGGCATCGATGCCTTTAACAAGCACTTGCAAACACCTGACGGTGATCCTGACGTCTGCGCCGAAAGCAGCGAGACGGGATCTCAACAAACTGGCCAATTTGCAGAAAAGAGCGGCCACCATTTCCTTTTCTTTCAAGCTAGCCGCCCCCACGTTGTTAGTCGCCGTGGCTATGGCTATGAAGTAGTTCCTGTGAGTGGAAAAGTACTTTTCCATCAGGGGAAGCATCACTTTCGAGAAGAACTTGATATCGCGCGAAGAAGTCTTGAACGAGCTCCTCCTGCTGAAAGTCTGAGAAGGCTTGAGCAATTTCATGTTGATAGTAGCTCGATCCAAGTACTGGATAAGCTTCTCCAATAAGCTGTAAGCAAAACGTAATTCCACCGATGGACCAGCTGTAGCTTGCTCTGTTTCGGACTGTCCCCCACGGTTAGGCCTGTGCAACTTATAACCTTGATACTGCAAGTACTTTAAGAACTCCTGCGAACGCTCTCTGTCCTTCTTCTTTTCTTTGTCGGTCAGCAAATCGTAGGGAACCAATTGGGGGTGAATCCCGCCCCCGCAAGTGTTCAACTCCTCTTTCTTCTTCCTCGCCCAGATGTCGTGAGCGTTCTCGGCTAGCCTCTCAGCCATGTTCTGCATCTCTCTGGACAAGGTCAAGTTGGTCATGTCGACAGGGTGGGGGTTGTAGTTGAAGGCGGAGCTACCCTCGCCGCCTTGTCGCATGCCCGAGTTTCTGTTGTTGGATGGCAGATCCACTTCTGTGTGCTCGACCGACCAACCTATGGCCAATAAGGCCTTGAGGGATTCTCTGACCGGTTCCTTGTACCTCTCTTTTTCCTGAAAATAAAATGCCAGATCACCCATCTCCTCGTAGTAATGATAATGATGATAATCTTAGATAACGAAACCAGTTATAACTATTGCAGCAAAACATAGGTAGGACTAGGGTCCCTTGATGCAAACTGACGTATTTGTCATCTAACAGGGTACGGTCAGATCATAGCTCCTTTCTCTTCTAATTATCTAGTGACATTGGTTTCGTGTATTGGCGTCCCTGACATGACATTGCTGTCACGTCACATCCATATCACAAAATTTCAATTTCATACTTGATCTCAATACGACATTATTCAATTCTGTTTTGGAAGGATGGTAAAATGTGCTGCGTTAGGCTGTATCAATCATTTGGATGACAAATTCGAATTTGTCCATCAAATGCAAATGAACTTAGAATACGGAAAGTGAAGTGACCGAATGGGGAAAATTGGTGAATACATCAGCGAAATATTCGAGGTAAAACCAATACGAAATCACATAGTATACTATCTCATTGTGCCTATAATTATCCACTCCACAAGTTTTTGAATACATTTCAGTAGAGACAGTATTGATTAAAACGGAGGATTAAAAGAAGAGGCATATGCCCTACCATTTAAAAAATTATATGTACCTACATTCAGGAAATATTAAGTGTTCGTGAAAAACTGCAAAAATGATTCCCAACATGAATATATACAGCACACATGACATATGAGCACATTAGTTTGAGTACCTAGATAAAATTTTTCACCATTTCTCAACCATAAGGCTTAGTCTGAAATCAAAATTCATTTATTGATCGGTACTGCCTAAGAACAGTCCCATTTGGTAAAACGTATTGAACAGAAAAATTTGCTCACTGCCGCACAAAGATTATGCTGGAGTAGAAAAATCAAAAACTCGAGAATTATTGATTGATTGTCTTTAAGATATAATATATAGAGTTGAATGAGAAATTATATGTGGAAATTACGTATGATACGCCAATGTCCTCAATATAACCTAAAAAACAACAAATATCAGAAATCTAGTGTTTGTACTCAGAAATGAATAAATATGGAACTATATAACTGTTTCACAAACAATTTAGAGTGAGAGGAGACGTGGATCAGTCCGTACCCTGTTAAGATGACAAATACAAAGGTAGGACCAGCTAGAAGTATCATCGAGATTAGGTTCAGAGAGCATATGTCACATTTAAAGAATATAGTAGGTTATAAAAAGTTTAGCGGAATACTACGTTCTACTTCAGCCAAGAATTTTGTGAACATCTTATCGTTTGTGAAGTTTTTTACATTTACTATGGATTTTCATCAAGTAACGGCCGAGTCAATAAAAAAACTAATATTTTATATCCAATTGATTATGGTTTTTATCTCGATGAAACTACTTCAATCAAAACCAAATATCAATTTCAATTTTTGAATTTGATGTGTACCGTAAGAAAGACAAATATTGCGCATGTCATTTTGTTCATGTTGCCTATAAAAATATATTTAATTTGATATCCCGAATTAGTTTCAACTTGGGCCACATTCTGCGTAAAATGGTCAACAGGAGTTTGTTATTTGCAAGAATAAAGAAAAAAGATAACCTCGAAAAGGACTTACATAATCGTTCAGCATGGTATAGGGTTTCAATCTCGGATGAGTCTTGCTACCCTCCCATCCCGAATAACTCTCCCCGTACTGCCAAGAATTCTCCAATTTCCTCGAAGCCCAAGCGTCATGGTAGTGCTCCGAGAACTGCTGAACGATATTGTTCAAATCATTGTTCAAAACCACAGAAGAAGTATTGATAGGTTGCGGATTGTATGGTCCATCAGGGCCGGTCTTCGCCGACTTGTTATGGTACCACTCGTCATCGTAGTTCTTCGACAGCGAATAGTCCGGAGGCAAGGCACACCCGATGGCCGTCAAACAGGGAAGAGCTTTCCCGAAAAGTTCCGGGTCGTAGTCCATCTTGCTCAAGGAATCGAATATGTTGGAGAACAGCATCATGGTCAGCCTTTTTTCTTCGTCACTGGACGAGCCGTAAATGCCTTGGCCAGTACAAGTACCGTAGTACTTCGCACATCTGTCGTAATGCAAAGTCAACAGGCGAAGAGCGACTGTAGTGTACTCTGACAGATTGGAAACGTCGACTGTCAACTTCCTGAGAAGTTTGAGCAGCATCGCAGGCTGCAGTTGACTGGTCAAGGCCACAAGGAAGTCAGACACTGCTTCTCTTTGACCTTTGGTGAGCATGCGATTCTTGGATAACCTGTAGACTGTGTGAAGAGTAGCGTCCAACAGTGAAGCATAGTTTTCAGCTTCACTATAGAATTTACTGTGCTGGATGAGAAGGGGTAAGATCGAGTTACCGATGTATCGGTTCATGCTCAAAGCCATGTCCGACTCACTACCATCATTCTGGAAAAAAATATATACATCAGAAAAAGCAGCCGACTCAAGGAACCAATACGTACTCTGTCTAACATTGTGGCACATCTCAAGTCAGGCAAGAAAGCTTCTTCTAGAAGCCTGAAGAATAGTTCTTGGGTTTCAATGCCATAAACCCTTTCCAGGAACAACACGACAGATTGCTTATGGCCTGGTATCAAACCCGAAGGCATATCAGATTTAGGCCTTTCTTCGCCAGCTGCTGGATTGTGCAAAGAGAACTTCAGGCTCAAAACTCCTTGTAGGTCTTCGAGTGGTACAAGAGACCTCAAGATCGCTCTGGCTCTCAGGGATTCGTTCTTGCCCTAAAAACTAATTCTTTGAGCTTTGCGAGCGACGTGACATCATTTGACTTACCAAAGCTATAACAGAAGCATCAGGAGCACATCTGCCGAGAAGGTCGACCAATGTACAATAAAAGTTCAAAATGGCGGCACCGGTATCGATATAATCCTCGTCTTCTTCGCTTTCTGGTAAAGGATGAGTGAATTGTGCACAGTTGACCACTGTACCTTCAGCTTCATCCATCATCTTTCGCCTATCAGATATCCTGTCAGACATCTTGTTAGCTTCAACAATAGCTCTCAACAGACCTTCTCCTTCGCCTCTTAGAGCTGGACCCAAACACTCTGGTCTTCTGATCAAGAGCCTGATGACCAAGTTAGCGTTTTCTTCAACGCTTTCGCCGTTAACCCAAACGCAAAACCTCAAAAAGTCTAGGTACCTTTCACCTTCCACAGGATCCCAACCAAGATCTGGGTAGCCCTTTTCCACTAGCTCCGAGTTGGATTGAAGCCCACACCTCGACAAGTAAATAGCGATTTTCTCGAGGTAATGCTCGCGCAGTGCCAGTGCTAGCTCAGTGTTTTCCATAAGCGAAGAATATGAGACGTCCAAGGGCGTCGAGCCTCTGAGACTAGGTCTCGACAGTAAGATATTGCTGTTGTCCAGCAGAAAGTCGAAATGCTCGAACATGGCCTTCTGGTTCTGTCTGCCGGTCCTGCAAAAATAGCACAAGAACCTGCAGCAAGCCACCACCATCTCGTGCGAAGTGTCTTTCTCCTTAGCAACGACTTCTCCTTCATTAGCCTGTTGTTGGGCGCTGGCATCAGACTGAGCCTGAGACCTTCTGCCCAAAGTGTTGATCATGACTGCCATCACGTTCTCATGGATACGGAGAACACGGATGAGATCAGGGTGCTGGAAAAAAGTGTGGTTGTTGACGAGCTTCCACAGTCTTTCGCGCATCAGCTCTTCCTCTTCTTGGGACATTTGGACAGGGAGCAAGGCTCTTATTTGGCTAAGGCCCACCCACATTTCGGCTACGTCGGCTTTGGTTTTGGCGTTGATGATGTAGGTTTTTTCCAGAGCTCGGATTAGTTCACCGACCGAGTCGTACTGTCTCACTAGCAAGCTGAACATTTCTTGAACTAGCTTGGACGTTTCGATTTGGGTTTCTTCGGCCCATCTCACTATAGTGCTGATCAAGACCTTGCGGAAGGTTTCCTCGGGGGTTTTCTTTTCTGGCTCGGGCTCTACTTTCGGTTCTTCTTCCAATTCTTTGACGGCGTTAATAAGATTGTACAGTTTTTTGAACGGTCCTGGTTTGACTAAGTTCTCTGGATTTTCATCCTCCTCCGGAGCTTGTAAAGCTTGCAAGGATACTAGACTCATTAGTTTGCCGTGGAAGGTGTTCATCCTTTCGCAAAGATCCTCGCCCAGAGGGCAATTTTCCTTTTCTTCTTCCTCTTGGTTTTTGAAACCTGGAATGTCGGGGAACTGTAAAGGCAGTTTTGGAAATTCTGGTACGGAAACAAGCTGCAACAAATCTCCACAATTCAAATGAAATAATATTAAGAGTTTGAATCGAATCAAAATCTACTTAGATAAGCCCAGGGGTCAACAAATCTACTGCTTAAAACATATAAAGCAGGATCAGGATAGACACAACAACTGCCAATAAAAAAATCTACCACCCACATGAATGATAATACCATCAAATTATAAACGAAAGAAGCATATTTTTTGCGTCAACTCGAACAAAAGCTTCCAAATCTACCAATGCAATCAACTTCGAAAAAAAATTACACACGTATTCATTTACTTACGAAAAACAATTATTTCAATGTTTGATACAAACTATTGTAGCATGACATGAACGGTTTATGCTTGTTTATGCAAAATGTAATGTCATAATTGTTGATAAAAAAATTCTGTGAAAGACGACTAATAATTTTGGTGATTACAGTCTCAATTATTATCTGATTGGCTAATAGGTAACCATTCCTCAAAATCATATGTATAGAAAATATCCTGGTTAACAGATGTTAATACTGGTGTTAGGTGAATAACTTTTAAAAAATTTAGTAGCAGAGTAATGCAAACTGATCAGCAATTCATTAGTATAACCATTGTTGTTCTTGATGACAACCTATTTAGTAAGCGAGAGGTGTAATATTGTCTGTTCATCGACCTAAAATTAGTATGCATGTCAATGGCGCTAGTTTTCTAAAAACATCGAGCTCGCTTGTATCCATGGAATATTTGTCAAAATGGACAATTTGAAGTTGAAGTTTTCAGAATGTCACCTCAGGCAAACACTATGGGTTGCGTGCAAGAACTGTCAGATGACCGACGCTGGAGGCAAAACATTGAAACACAATGTCACTTTTCTTATTTGTTCACAAGTGATTGAAATAGAATTACTCGTGAAATTTCTAAAATTATGCAAGAAGATTGGATTCATGCAATCAAACGGGAGGACTGGTCTGACATGCTGTCGAAATATGATCGTGTGTGTTGTAGACATTTTCAATCTATCAGCAGTATTAGCTTCTATTGCAGAAGTGGCAGAAGGAATTTCAATGAGAAATGGGAAAGTTTCATAATGAAAACTATGTGAGATTACTATTCAGCTGAAAGATCATATTCCTTCGTCTCTCGCTGCATTGTTTTGTGCATTCTACAACAGCACAATGAGAAGGCATGCTTGAATTAATGAATAGCGCAAAAAACACGATTCGTAAGACAAAATATTATAAAGAACTATTTCAATCCTTCAATTCCTCTGTAAACAAATGAAAAAAGTGAGGTTGTGTTTCAATGTTTTGCAGAAAAGTGAGGTTGTGTTTCAATATTTCACCTCCAGGGTCGGTCATAGTGCCCGCAACCTATAAATAGGTTTTTAATTAGAACAACAATGCTATAACCAACACCTTTCGTCGACTGAAATGACAGGCAATTATCATAAGAACATTCAGTCCACGTATTAGCATATTCTGTTAAAACACGGACACATACGTATGTCGAATTTTCCACGTACCTGTCAACTTCTTAAACTTACACAAAATGGCGTTCATCTGCTCGCGAGGCGGGCATCTGAACTCCTTGGTCTTCTTAGCCGCCACCGCCGACGGCAAATCAGACTGCTTGATGTCGATGTAACGTCTCAGCTGATCGGTCTGCAAGTCCCCCACGAAATCGTGGCTGAACGCTATGATACTCTCCACTCTGTGCCTCAGCTGGATGTCGCAGAGATGGTGCAAAAGGTAGCACATCTGCAACTTGGCGCCTTCGGCCATTTTCATCGACAGCAGACCCTTTCGGTGCTCGTCTTTGCCGTCTTTTTCGTACACGGCGTCCCAAGTCTCGGGGCAAATCATTATGAGAAGCTTTTCGACGTCTCGGTCTCGGAGCATGCCTACCAAGAGGAGACGGTCCACGAGTTTCAAGAGAGGTCTGGAAATTTAAAAGCGAATTGCTGGGAGCTGCAAGAAGATCGCAAATTCAATACTTACCGAAATGGTCCGTAGTCATTAGCTGTGTCATTAGTCAGGCTTTTAGACCAATCTCAACGTTGAAATATTCACGCGTGCCTGGTACGGTTACATTATTTCCATCTGTGGCTCTTGGAACTATCAACCCTCACAGCAGATGATATTTTTTATATACATTAATTTTAAAATAAGAGACTGGCACAGTGAGTTGTATTTCGGATTGCTGCTCCTGAGGACTCGGGTTCGATTTCTGCGTTGGTCATTTTTTTCTGTCAAGCAATTTTCCAGAAAATATACTTTCTAGGAAGGAGGTTTGTTGGGACCGAGTTAGGTAAGATTGTTTAGAAAAAAGTAGTCTCTTAAGCAGAAATGATATTTGCCTTCCTTATATTATCTGTCCAGGTTAAACATCATTGAATTCGATAGTCGAAAGAAGGAGACTTTCGTGAAAATAACTCGGTCAAAAATGATTCCTAAGATATAGACTGTCAGAGTTTTTGTCAAAAATTCGTTTTCTCACCATAACTTCCGAACCACTTGACCGATTTCATTAAAATTTAGGACTCAGACTAATGAAATACATCTCTAAGTAATGATTGAAATCATTTGGAGAATCATTGAAGGCTTGCGAAAAATACTAAAATTTATGAGGTTCTGTACAAGCTGTGAATAGTTTGGGTTTCAATAATCTTTATGAAAGCTCTGACACCCTGTATCATTGTTATGAAGCATTTTGAACCAGAGTTTTTTCATGAAAGTCTACTTCTTTCCCGTTGGTCTATCGCCTATCAAAATTAATGATGTTTGACCTGGACCACCCTGCATATTAGGTCGAGTTAGGTTAGATCGTTTAGAAAGAGAAGTCTTCTTCCTTATGCAGGAAGGATAATATTTTCATTCCTTATATCATATATTGGGTCGAGTTAGGTTAGATTGTTCAGAAAAAGTTGTCTCCTTTCTTTTGCAGAAAAGATAGTTTTCTTCCGTATATTACGTTTTATTATGTGTTTAAAATTTAGAGAGCCACTGATGGAAATGGTATACGCTTGTGATTGTCATATCCGCGATTCGAATATTCCGTCAAGGCCAATATCGTCCTGATTAGTCTGAAATTCCAACTATGGAGCATTTCGGGTAGTATTGAATTCTTGCGCAAGAAGAGGGAAGTGTGACCGAGACTTACAAGAACAGATTTTCATTGGAACCACCGATAGGATCTCTGTTGTGCACTTGGTTGATCTCCACAGATTCCGCTAGAGCCATCATGACGTAGTCACGTACTACGTCCAGAGGAAAATAGGGTGAATACAAGTTCTTGATGTTCTCTATGTTGTACCTGAAATAACGGAACTGTGAAACAAATTCACTTATTCGTTATGGGTTTGTAATTTACGTTATTTCAGACGTTTTCATCTGTGGTTGTACGGATTCCATTTTGAGTCTCCTCAAGCTGTGTCCCAATTCTGGATCCTCGTACAAGTCCTTCAGCTCTTGTCCAATGGGTATCACGTACTCGTTCTTGCATACTTCCCTACAGAAAGCAACGAATCTCAAAAACAACACTATTCCCATTTGCAACCACAAAAATCACAATCCAACGGAAAATTGATTGATACTGCTTCTTAAGTGATGTTTCTGTTAGATATCTGAGTCTCGATCCTACTGACTGCGCCAAATGCAATATATTTCATGTAATTATCCTGAACCACGACTAAAACTTGAAATTTACCGATGGATAACTCAACTGCAAGGTAGAATAGTATATCATATAAGTTTTATAAGACACTATTTTGTCGCACGCGTTGTTTGGAGTACAAATACACCAAAATGATTAGAATACATACAACAAACTGACTTGCTAAAATATATATTTTTTTAATTTCATACTCACATTGTTGTTGCCGTTGACTCCAAATGCACAGCGATGAGCAAATCGTAGAAACCTTGTCTGAGAGGCCCGCTCATGTACTCAGACTTGATAGCATACAACAGTTGCTTCTGATCCACGTGCTTGCACAGAACGTGAGCCGCCTTATAGTTGCTCTGGTAATAACACATTACAATATTCATTGGTTGTAAATGCCCAAAGTCTCACACAAGTCAACATCGTGATGATAATGTCAATTTTACTGTTGAACTACACTCTTCACCAAATATTTGTATTTGTGAAATTCAAAATTGCTGAATATTCCTATTATTGAGAAAGTGATGGTGTCAGGTGTGGGGTCAATATTAATGTTTTCTAATGACTTGAATTGCTTTCAGTCAACATACGTTTATTTCCCAAAAGAAAAGAAGATAATGAAAAATTCGGTTGAATCATTCGACGACATGAACGTCTAGTACCATACCTGGTAGCAGAGAGCAGCGTACAGTGTCAAAGTGTGAGCATGGAAGCTCAACAGCTTGTCCATTTCAATCAGTTCTAGAATGTCGATGCAACGGTCCTCTTCTGGGATGTGCAACGCCAGCATCGATATAGGGTCCTCGCACAACATCGACCAACCTCGGATGTCAGACAATTTCAGAGCGTGAACTTGAAGACTCTGATTCGGCACCTAAATTGGATCATTTCTTTATTACCAACCGGTTGAAACAGTTATCCAGTAGAGATTGAGGTAGATTAGACTATCCCCACTCCACCTGATTTGCAGCCCCGCCCATCGAACGTCAGAGAAGTGGGCGGAGCATGGCATTAGAAGTGGAGTGGGGGTATGCTTAACTACCTCAATACCTATCAGACCATCCGAAATTGTTGTGTAAACTGGTTATTGTCTTACCCTTGCCCACTGGTGAGGTTTCAAGCATTGCACCTTCAGTCTGGGAGGGAATTGAGGGGTCACGTGTCTGGCACTGTTCTGCAGAACGGCAGCCGACAATGGAAGACTAGTAGAAGTTCTGCCTAGTTCGATTTGCAAGATTTCCTTGCTCGTCGCCTCAACGAATATGGCAGGGAACAATTTGGTCTCGGGTTCCATCTGAGAATCATCGAAAAGGTTGCCAATGTTTTTTGGAAAGATATTTGATGAAAAGCAATGTTAAATTGAGAGTCTTATACCTACTCACTTTGAACTTGTGCAATGTTTGTTTTCCGTCACAAGTGAATGTAATGACACCTGTTGCAGCATCTAGAAAGCATCCTATAAACATCCCCTGAGATGCTCCTTTGCCTGAGGCGTCCTGAGTCACTTCGTTGTACAATTCGTCTGCTCTCACCATATAACACGACTGTCTATCGACACTGAAAAAAAAAATGACATCACACAAATGTGAGAGAAAGAAGAATACCTACCCATCGACTATCCTCTCATAATCGTCGACTATAACGACTGAAGATTTGAGCACTTGGTTCTGGTTGAAGTCTTTGCTGTGCAGGTGATACTGGGTGGTCACCCATCCGACGTAAGTGTGAGTAGGGTCTTGCCCCGGAAAGATACGAACACCTAGTAGAAAAACGAAAGAGATAAGTGGGCGATCTTCAAGGTGGATGTTATTTTTCACCGTAAAAATATTCGTTGATTAATTTGAGACACTCGGCGTCGTAGATTTCGTTGCCTACTGCTTCGATGCCAGAAGGTTGAGTGACGGTCAATTGTTTTTGTTGTCTGTCCGGTGCAGACTGGGGTTGCAGATCATTCTATTAAAAACAACAAAATAAATGTGTACTTTATCTTATGAAAACAGCAAATCTCGAAATTTCAGAACCATCACAAGGGAATAATTTTCATACCTGTGACTGGTGTTTGACAGTTGGCGACCTTTGCAACATCGTGTTTGTTGACCAGCCCATAGTTCTCCCTTGGGGGGAAAATTCCTCAGCCCTACGCCCTGGCGGTTCGGGTGTCTTTGCCTTCTTGATTTTCGTCCTCTCGTTGCTAGTAGCTTCGCGATTTTTCTTCGAGAAAAATCTGAAAAGTTATTTAATGTACCTTTGACGATTTAGGGCTCTGGGTTCGCGTATATGGACTGATAGTAGTCAACGCAGAAACCTGCCAACTTTGTGAAGTAGTAAAGGATGAAAAATAATCGCATATCCTTCACTACGACACAATTTGTAACGAAGCATGCGCTTGCAATGACAATTTCGAAATTATAACGTCATCTGACACTTGAAACTTCAATAAAAAAAGGTTGTTTTGAAATTGAGTACAGTTTCAACTCAAATTTTGACTGCCACTACTAGAGCCATAGGCTTGAACGGATGATGGTATCTTCAATCAGAGATTGGTGTCTTTTCTTTGACTCAAAACAGAATTAGAAGCTGCATACTTCGAGAAAATTATTTTTTAGAAACTGAAAAGGGCGTATCTTCTCATAGATATGAATATTTCATGATTTTTATAGGTTTGATAGTTGATGTTTTAGTTTTCTCAAAGTCAAGACTGCTGAGATGCAGCAAATATCCATCTCATTCTGGATAATTTCGGGTACAAGCTAAAAGAGGTTTTCGAGTGCTACTTTGTGTGTATTAACGACGTTTATTTCCACCTCATTGATTTCCTTTTTCAATAAATAGTCTCTTCATTCACATTCATTGGTTTTGTATTTCTATATTGAAATCGAATTATTATTTGACATATTTTCAATTAATCACACCGTGACAATAAATTCGCAATATTCTTTCGAAAATAAAATCAACTACCCCTCAGTTATCAGTGCCCCAATTATCGATCCATGAAACCACATATTCAAGTCATGTCAAGAATTTATGGATAAATATTTGGACAATCACTTTTTTCAGCTGTTCAGAATCCAAAAGCAATTTGTTCTGAATCTGTTATCTCGAAGAGATGAACCAGATATGAAAGTTCCATTTAGTGGAAAAACATTCATAACCTCAAACTTCACCGTTTTTCCATTCCTCCACTAGTTTTCGTGGTTCGAAATGTTTATTTAGAAGTTTTTGAACAGGAACGAACCATTTGACTTGGTGATTTTATAACTATAACAAGAACACGCTCAATTTCAAATTGCTCTGAAGACAGTTCAACTGGTCTAAATTCGTTACCATCCCTCTCTCTGAACGTAAATATTTTTTTCACTATGTGTACTTACCTAAAGGGAGATCGTCCCCGTTTCTTTTTCTCGTCTTTGTCTTGATGGTTCAATGTCGCATCTTGGTACCTGTTGATATCTAGCTCGCTGCTAGACCTGTGAACACCTCTACCGATGTTGACTCCAAGAGCTTAAAACAAATTCAGAAAATTATACCATTATTTTCTGTTTTCATTTTGAAAACTTACTGTTATCATCGAACCCATTGACGTTCCTCGATAGAGATCCCTTCCTGGGCGGTCTAGAAGGCATAGCTCTGGTGGATTTGGCGGGCTGTTTCATCACTTCGTCAGACTCCACGGCATCTTCGGCGTAGTTGCGGTGCAGACCTTTGATGTCGCTCATGGAAAAACCGCTTTTCATTATGTTTTCGATGTGAGCTGGCGGCCCTTGCTGATCCGCCTCTACTTTGAGCCGGTGTTGTCTGATCTTTATTTCGTTCCATCTTCTCATTTTCTCATCCTCCCTAAAAATGTCCCGAGAGGTATCCAGTGAATATTAAATTATGAATAAGTGAATTATGAATTATAGAATGTTGAACTGATTCCTTATCCTTGTCATCACCCTAGACTCACTTGAAAAATATATAAACTTCCCAATGATATGTACACGGAGTCTCAGAACAACGTACACCAAAATAGACGGGATTGAAATCAGCTTACCTCTATGCGAAAATGTATCATCGAGCCGTTAGAGGGCGATGCAGAATATTTTTATTTGCAGATTTTCCTGAATATTTCAAAATCCTTGAAAGGTACTGAGCTAAGATTCGCAAAAAACTGTCTTCGAGAGAAAACAATAATTTGAATATGACCAAAACCTCATCATAATATATGCTGGAGTAGTAGGTCATAAACATAAACTTGCAAAACATGATAATCCTAACACATCATGAACAAGTATGGAGAAACACCAAAACTGATTAAGTTAGATATCTCGAAAACCAAAAAAAAAAAATATAGGAAAAATGCAGTTAGATGAATAATTTTTGTCTGGGACAACCTGTATATTGTGATCCTCATTCTCAGCGTTATGCACCACCCACATAAAAGCTAATTGATCAGCATTATGGTATGACATCTAGTTAGCTATAGGAATTTATGTATATCAAGAAGAGAGTAGGGCCCAGGATGGAGCCTTGGGGAACACCACATTTTAAATGGTTTTTGTCACTTCCACATGACAAGCGATCTATGGAAAATAAAAGTATATCTTACGTTATGAACTGAGAGTGGCAGATGACGGGCAGACTCAACCTCAAAAATTCCCAATTGGCCTTCTCCATGGTCTCGAACGTATTGTGGCTGATTTTCAAACAAGGCGGGGTCTCAGAACCGGCCAGAATTCGTGTGACGTCGATTTTCGTATCAGACATGTCCTCGGTGTTCTCGAAAATCGGTTGGTCTTTGGTGTACCAGTAAGTGACCGCTCTGTTCATATTACTAAAAAACGAAAAACGGTTCCATCACACTCACACATTAAGTGAAGTTTTGGAGACGGTGCTTAACTGATCAAATACAAAAATACAACCAAAGGTACATTGGGCAAACACGACGAACAATATGCAGACGATTCAAAGAACATATTGTCTTCATCTGTCATCTTTTAAATACTATTGTGATATTTTGGGTATATTTATATATTTAGCTGACACACCTTTGTAAAAATTCACTTACACGCAGAACGGTTCGTAACCTTCTTGTAGACCGCACATCGTGAAATATTTGAGTTGGTTGACGTCTTGACCGAAAATGAGTTTCGCCTTTTGGCCCACTCCTAGAGTGAAGGCGGGCACAAAATTATCGCCCTGTACATCGGCAAAAGTTGTTTCACCACCAAGAGCATCCATCAGCAATTCACCGTTGAGGGAAAAGCCTGTGTAATATGGGAGAATTTACGAGAGATCGAAAAAAGGAGAAACAAAGAGAAAATCAGTTGATTAAAATTATCACACCGGACTTAGTGAAAGGTTTTTCGATAGACGCTACCAGATGTATTATTCCAGATATTAATAAGCTTTTTTATAACATTTATTTGAAGAACAAAATTAGGAACAATCTAATCCTTGTTTATATCAAGACTTTCCACAAAATTCGAATAATAGACAAGAACACTAATGCGTGAATACCATTTAAATACGCACATAACTAAAATACAGTAGGTAGTAACATAACAGTAGCGCGATCTGGTGAACAATAAAATAGTGTTAACCCTCATTGATTCTAGATAATGATGAATAGATATATATATCTTTCAATAAATGTTATACAGGGTGTCCTTGAAAGGTCTGTACGAAATTATACCAGAGACTTCTAAGACCAAAGTGAGATGATTGAACCAAAACATCAGGACGTTGGAATTGAATTCATATTTTTTATTTCAATGCAACACCCTGTCTTCTTAATTTGCGAAGTGTGTGTGCCACATATTGAATATCACTGATATAATTGATGATTTCATACGAAAATTGAATACAAACCTACAATAACTAAATAATTCTGAAGAGTATCAGGTATGCATCAAATCCTTATACAAGGTGATTCTAAAATAGGTGGTCAAACTTTGGGAGCATATAGAGAAGGTGAAATAGCTACGAAAACACCCGTAACATTTTTTCTGAAGTGACCCCCAAGAAAGATACAGCCCCTCAAAGGGGGGCCTCGGAGAATGATTTTGTATTATCATCTTCAACACCTTGTATAATGAAAATCTGAAATTTTCTCCATCCACTTACTATTCAGTGCCGGTTCGAATGGAGTTAAAATCACCTCTAAATTAAATACAGGGGGGTGTCAAAAGAGAGAGGTAGGGGGTAAAAATAACCCCAACTTTTTTGTCTATCGCAATTTTAGTTTTTTGACATGGTTCATTTTATCGAGATGCAACAAGAGTACCTTTTCTATGTAAATAGCCCTGAGATTTCATAATTTCATGTCAAAAAACTGAAATTGCGATGAACAAAATAATTGGGTTTATGATTACCCCCTACCTCCCTATTTTGACACACCCCTGTATTTAATTTTAAGGTGATTTTAACTCTATTCGAACCGGAACTGAATAGTAAGTGGATGGACAAAATTTCAGATTTGCATTATACGAGGTGTTGGAGGTAATATTACAAAATCATTCTCCGAGACCCCCCTTTGAGGGGCTGTATCTTTCTTGGGGGTCACTTCAGAAAAAACTGTTACGGAGGTTTTCGTAACTATTTTACCCACTCTATATGCTCCAAAAGTTTGACCACCTATTTTAGAATCACCTTGTATAACTTGCAAACCAATAAAAATATCACAAACTTTCAAGAGGGTTGAAAGTTAGTTATCAAATGAGAGAATAGAAAACAGCATTTAAATCTGTCCAGTGGCGTAGTCATGAAAAATTCTATCAATTTTTCAACCAGCAGTACTCCAAATATGTAACATCTTGTTTGTCAATCAAAAGGGTATGGAATATGTTGTAAGTATAATAGTCGTTCCAGTGTGACTTGGTAATTTCAGAACGATATTTATAAACAATATTGAAATATACGAAAAAATAAAAATTCAATTCCAACGCCCTGTAGCACCTGAACGGAGCGTTGTGGTATAGAGGTGACTTTGAGTTTATCATCTCATTTTGGTCTCAGGAGTCTGTGGTAGAATTTTGTACAGACCTTTCAGGGACATTCTGAAGAAAAAAGCTGACAAGAGTTATATTAGCGAGGAAACCATGAATCATGACACCTAAAAACGTCTGGTAGTTCTACTGAAATTCCTATTAAAAACATGCACAAGATGGTTAAAAACATGGCACATGGTTGGGTTCAAAACAAACGTTGCAGGAATAGATTTATATTATAAAAATGTTCGAATGTGGCTAAAAATAAGAAGCTGCCTTTTCAATCACACGTACTGCGAAATCATAAAAATGTCAAAGCTGAAGCTAGTCCTTTTTATCAATTCTTACTTATCGTGTGATCAATGAGATCGAGAAATACCCCCACTACATCTCCCACTTGCCACTGCTTTCCGAATGATTCTGCAGAATTACTGTAAACTTTCTCTTCCTACAGAAACAGACACAATTTCAAATTACTATATTAGAATATTGTCACTCTGTTAGAAGTCCATCGACAAAATTAATACACATAATTGAAGAGAACTTGAGGATGTGATACACTCACCGGCAAAAAAAAACCGGCTAGCAAAAAAAATTGCGAAATTCGATCGCTCTGTAACTTCTTTTATTTCTTGTTTGATTTTGGTGAAATTTCGAAAAAATTGTAGATTCATGTTCTATTATACAGGGAAAAACAAAAGTTACTATTTCTCGCTTGAATTATTAACGCCCCTTGGCAAAAGTGAGCGATTGAACTCATATTCATCATGTTATGGATTGAAGTGTGATCCCTTCTTAAAGCAATGGTTTTTGATTCACGTGAATATTTACTTTCAAAGAGAAGATACAAGTATTTTAAGGAAATATGGACTTTTTAAATTTGTATATCTTAAATGATGACTTTAATTTCATGTGGTGATTTCTTGTCATATTTCATGACAAAAAGTTCATATAAACGTGTGTCCTAACTTGCTCCGTTTCCGAGTAACAGGGTGTCCAAAGTTTAATGAAATATCGGTTTTTCATGAATTACTCAAAATACTGTTCGCCGATTTTGATCAATCTTCGTGTGTTTGTGATTTGTAATACGAAGCTTCTTTTCATGAGAGTAGATTTTGAATTTTGTTTTCAGTGGAATGAAATAGAAATAAACTAGCAGTTTGAATATCAATCAGGTTACCCTCTGCCACACCACTGGAAACAAAATTCAAAATCTACTTTCATGAAAAGAAGCTTCGTAATACAAATCACAAACACACGAAGTTTAATCAAAATCGGCGAACAGTATTTTGAGTAATTCATGAAAAACCGATATTTCATCAAACTTTGGACACCCCGTTACTCAAAAACGAAGCAAGTTAGGACACACGTTTATATGAACTTTTTGTCATGAAATATGACAAGGAATCAGCACCTGAAATTAAAGTCATCATTCAAGATACACCCTGTATTATTAGACAAGCTTTGAAATTCTTTGCCAATGGAAGTATTTCCAAGAACTCATAACCTCCAAGTTAAAAAAAAATCCAATCCAACACCTACCTGCTCTCCCTGTCGTCCCTAGGTACAAGCAAAGTTCCACGAACATTATAGGAATTTCCTTTCGTGTGCTCCAAGAGATAAAAAAAATAGAGCTGTTGGCCACGAAGGTTAAGTTTATATTACGAGCGTAGCAAGAACTTGTTTTTGAGTGGAAGTCACATTTTCAATAAAAGTAAATGAATTATATTAATTATTCATTACAACTGTACTTCCTCAAGCAAGATGACATAACAAGACATAAGGAACTCTAGACCAGTGAATAATAGTTATTCACCGCTATTATTCACTGGTGTGAAAAATGGCTATCGTTTTGCTTGAGGAAGTACATGACTGTATTATGAATATTTTATACAACAGTCGTGGATAAATATTTTAGCACTCTCCAATAAACAGAAACAGTAACAAAATTACTAAGGAAAAGAAGACCTCCTAGATATAGTCAATAACGATCATTCAATCGCCGATGGGGTGAAAGAGTAACATTTGTTTTCCCTGTATAATAATCAAGGCATCAGCTTTTTTCAAGAATTGAAATTCACGCTAACACTCCGAAATATTGATATACGGTTTGGTCGGAATTTCACCTGAATCGGACAAGAATTGAAAAAGTTACAGGGAGATCAATTTGACAAAATTTTTTGCTGGCCGGTTTTATTTGCCGGTGAGTGTATAATTTTTTTTTCAAGGGAACACGGAATTTGTGAGAATTAGTACACATATTTCGAAGGAACTTATGGAACCATGCCTGACTCACTTATAGTTCGATCTGTTATGTCAATGAAACTTCCTATTACGTCCCCAATACGATATTTAAAGCCGAAACGTTCTACCAATCCTGCGTGGTGCTTTTTGAGCTAGTGACAAAATTAAAAATCAATGAAATAATTCTTGTCAAAACTTGGGGGTTGGAAAACTATAATATATCTGCCCGAATAGCTCTAGATTATTTTTTTTTCATGTTTACCGAAGAAATCTGGTGAATGGGAAAATGAAATAAACTGATTCACAAAACCCAGAAATTTTATGTATCTCAGTGAAAATATATTGCAATTAGCTTAATTGCGAGATATATCCATCAATTAACCTCTAATTGCAATGTTTATCTTGAACTGAAAGCAAGATTGAACTGCAATAATTAGGCTCATCTCGATTTTTATCTGTAGGTTCATATTTCATTTATCTATCAATCAAGTTTCAACTGTATGAAAAAAAAAATTAAATGAATTCGACTAAAACATAAAATATTCAATCAGTGAGTGTTCCAAATGTGTTAGTCGCAAACCTCAAAATTGTTTTGTCTGAGTTACCTTTGGAAAACTGACATTTATCGATAGTCGAGACTGTAATGTTAATAACATCGATTTATTGTTAATGAATACGTTGTTTGATAATCAAAAAAACTGTATGATTCCTCTTGCAGAAACGCGATTGATTCTTGCTGTATGGCATGCATTATGCAATTACCACTTCATTGAATAAAAATGTTTGAATTAGCCAAGATTAGTCTTGCAATTAGGATTATCGCGTCATTCATATATCAAATCAGTTCTAATAGAAAGATTCATCTTTCAATCTCATCAATTCAGATTCAATCATACTTCATCTAGCAATCAGAATAACATAAATTTCGCAATTACAACAGATCGACGAATAAATATTATAATTAACCCAATTGCAAGATATCAAAGATTATAATCTTGCAATTACAGCCTAACTGGCAGATGAATGTTGCAATCATGGCTTAATTGACAAAGTTACCTCACAATTTCAGTTCAAAAAGAAAGAGACAATTACTTTAGTTGCAAGATTATTCTATTATTCGAGCTGATTGCAACATTACAGTCTTGCAATTACAGCCTAGCGGGCAGATGAATGTTGCAATCATGGCTTAATTGCCAAAGTAACCGCACAATTTCAGTTCAAAGACAAAGAAATATGTAATGTCCGATTAGCGCCCTCATTTGATATCAGAAACAGCCCAAATATTATACAATTCAAAAATAAAGTGAAGAAATATATTTATATGCAAAGGAATGATCAAAGCTGAAAGACTATGAATTTCCTTTTTTTCTTCTCCTTGTTCACTATAATATGACTGTTATTTTGAGATATCTTAATGATATGTAAGTTTTGTTCACTATTTGTAATTTCAACTATACAACAGTCGATAATACTTCATGAATGATCTTATACCAGGAATTACTGTCTAATCATTCATGTCATTCCTACTAGAAAATTGATTTTACTTCATATATTATTTGTATAAAATGTATCAATGAAGAAGAGAATGTAATGCAATAACTGAAATAAATGAATAAAGAAAATGAATATAAATCGGACACATTGTGTTTTATTTTCATCGATTTCCAGAACATCAATGCATAACATTCAACTCACATTGTAGCCGTCGAAGGCCCAGGTGTTCTCGTCCGACCCCAACATACACCCGGGGGCACAATCGGCCTTGGCCCAACCCACCCTCATTGGCCCCGCCGTCAAAATCTCGAACTCGAAATACCACTTGCCCGAGCCGACGGCGTAATTCTTCTCCGCCCTGTACGTCCTGAACGCCGCCAATCGAGATCTGCTCGAAAAACATTTTCAGAATCCCCCTCAAATGAATAACCATAAAAGAGTAAACATATTTTTTGCAGACTTCTCACCTGCTTGCTTCCGCCAATAGGGTTTCTTGTTGCTCCCCCGTAGGTGGATCCAAATTATACCCGTACACAAGGAGAGTGCGTACAGTCTCAGAGGCAGTGTCTCTGTTAGCCTTCTTGATGGCGTCATCGACTTTGCTGTATGGCACCAGGTGAGGGCTTCTGTAAACGTCCGGGTCCTGAAAAAAACAAAGCATCGGTGTAATTTTTCGTTTTAGAAATGTATTTGTCGTGGAAATTACAAGTCAGTAAATATCAGTGTACACATGGAAACACGACAGGTGCCTTTACCAGGGGAGTGTACCGAGTCGGTAATATCTCGGTGCAGGAAAGGTTGACACCAATGAGGCTTGGGGATCTCACCTCATTTAGTCCGTACGTTTGTCGTTGATACTTCAGCCAGTGGATATTAGTGTACTAAAGCTATTTTGGCATGAGGGGACGACGGATTATTCGATTTCCACATGAAAACACGACAAGTTCCCTTACCAGGGGAGTGTAACGCGTCTGTAATATATCGCTGCAGAGAAAGTTGTTGAACGCCAACAGGGGTTGAATAACTCACCTCGTTGAGACCGTACGTCCAACCCTGTTGGATCCGCTCTTTCGCCCACAAGTTGTGCGTGTTTTCCGCTAGCTGATCGACCAATTCCTCCAGTTTGGCAGTCAGGGAAATGGCGCCTAGATCAAGTGGTGCCGGTTTGTAACCGTTGGCTTGCATGAAAGGTTCGTTCGGCAATCGGATGGTCTTGATCCTCGAAGGCGGTTTGTCCATGGTGATGTAGTATCCCAAGGATATGATCGTCCTGAAATCGATAGAAGATACTGTAATCTCTGTACAGGGTGAGTCATTACTATTGGGACATAGGCTAAGGGCGGATCATTTGGACTAAACTACGGCGATAGGACCGAATATGCCTTGATAAAATATTGCTGTGGAAAAAAATAGAGGACGTTAAAATTGAATTCTTTTTTCGTGTCTTGCTAATAATTTCAGTGCATATTCATCAATTGTTATCAAAATCGGCATAATTTTACACAGATGATTATTATTTTATGTAGTATTCTACGGTTTGTTAATTTCATGCTTTATCTTGATAGGACATTATTCAATTCTGTTTTGGAAGGATGGTAAAATGTGCTGCGTTAGGCTGTATCAATCAGTTGGATGGCAAATTTGAATTTGTCTGCTTTCCATCAAATGCAAATGAACCTAGAACATGGAAAGTGAAGTGACCGAATGGGGAAAATTGGTAAATACATCAGCAAAATATTCGTGGTAAAACTAATACGAAATCACATATTATACTTCCTCATTGTGCCTATAATTATCCACTTCGCAAGTTTTTCAATGCATTTTAGTAGAAACAGTTTTGATTAAAACGGAATATCAAAAGAAGAGGCATCTACCCTACCTTTAAGAAAATGATACCTACATTCAGGAAATAAGTGTTCGTGAAAAACTGCAGAAATGATTCCCAACATGAATATATACAGCACAAATGACATATGAGCACATAAGTTTGAATACCTACATGAAATTTTTCACCATTTCTCAACCATAAGGCTTAGTCTGAAATCGAAATTCATTTATTGATAGGTACTGCCTAAGAACAGTCACATTTGGTAAAACGCATTAAACTTTCAGAAAAATCAAAAACTCGAAGATTATCATCATCATTTGGATATAAAATGTAGAGTTGAATGAGAAATTACATGTGGAAATTACGTTTGATACGCCAATGTCCCCAATATAACCTAAAAAACAACAAATGTCAGAAATCTAGTGTTTATTAATTATTCCAGAATTACGTCATTTGACAGATTGCTGAGGGGCAAACATTTTATTTTGTCAAGATTTGTCATATGCAACCATAATTAGTGGGATCGTTTCCCTTGGAATCCGAGGTGGAACCAGAAAGAATTTCATAATTTTGTTTGGTGAAACTGTTATTATATTGTGGATGTGGCAGGGACGGCCAGAGCAATGCTCAGCAAAGGTAACCTAACAGATAGTTTGTGTGCCCCACAAGAAACCATGTCAAAATCACGTGTTCTAGAATGATCAATCCCCAGAAATGAATAAGTATGGAACTATATAACTGTTTCACAAACACTTTAGAGTAAGCGGAGAGGAGAATCTGTCGGTACCCTGTTAAGATGACAAATACGACATTTTACATCAAGGGACCCTAGTGCAAATAATCGAGGCCCAAACTTACTTCAACGTCTGCACGGCCAACTGCGAATCGTACCGCTTCTCCGCAGGGGGCAGCTTATCGAAGGGCACTAGGCAGGGATGGACGTGCCGCACGTCGTCTCTATACTCGCCCCACTGCCATCCAGCCTCTAGAGGGAGAAAGAGGGAGAAAGAAAATATACTTTATTCACGACTAATATATTATACTTGTGGTTTTTGAAGTATAATGCCATATATTAATCCCGCAGGGAATAAAGACTATTAATCCCTCGCCATTATTCCCTGCGGGATTAATATATGGCATTATACTTCAAAAACCACAAGTATATATATTAGTCGCAAATAAAGTAGAGTATACTACTCGCAATAATGGCTATTATTCTCTCGGAATGTTACTCCCTCGCCGCTGACGCGGCTCGGTTCGTAAAAAATCCTCGAGAATAATAGCTATCATTATTGACTCGTGGTATAATCTACTATTATCACGTATATTTACTACTCATATGTGAAGCATTGCTGAGGTCAAAGCGGGACCAACTTCTGTCTCTATAGGTAAGGTAAATTGGTTTTAGCGCCTATGTGATTGATTGTGATTGAAATTCGAATATTTCCGTGTTTCAAAGAAAAAACAAAGTCACCAAGTCGGTCGACCACAAAATTCCGTGTTTAGTTGAACAATTTTCTAGTTTTTGTGTTTTCGTTTATTTTTCATAGACTTTTTTAACCATGTATAGTGGAACGAAATGCAGTACTTGTGGGGTAAAGAATAGACAGAAATCCTCTTTTCATAAGTAAGTTTGAATTTTCAAGATCTTGGGCTTTCAAATAAGTAGGTAGATCTGAAGCTGAAAATCATAGAACTGAAGTTAGGATTTATCGATAATAATATGATGCATAGGTAGTACGGTACTAATAAAGGCTATTTTACCTATTGATGAAAAAAACATGATTACATTTGATAAAATCCAAAGCTTTGTAGGTAATGGTTGGTTCAACATGAGTTTGACAATGGACCTTCAGCCTCATCATTTTTCACATTCATCATCAATGGAGTTATTAATCATCCAGCAACAAGCATAATATAAAGGGAATTTCCTCAAAGTAAATCAAGTTTGATTCAGTAAATGACGAGTAGTGTAGCCCTATCATGCTAAACATATACGACTAGATCACTTTCACCACATTGTGAGTTTCGAGATTCCACCGAATTGAATGGAATCATTATCCCAGTGCATTTCATTATCATCTGCAATTGCTCTCTCCTGTTCCTCAAAGTTACTGACATTATGCTTTGCTATATTTTGACCACATTATAAAGGAATAAATCGAAGTTGACGGTATTATACTGTGGTATTATCAACAATTGATGATTTTTTATATTTTATTATGTTAGGAACCTAATCTAACTCAAAATGTGATCTCACGTCAGCAGCTTCCATCCTTCACTTTCCGTCCTTATAGATTCAAAAAGTACCTCACTTTTTGGTTCCATTTTTGTCAAGAGAAATAGTAGATATATGCTTTATTATCATGAGAATTCCAATTCTTGACTAAGTTTGCTTATGTTCTAGAAATATCAAGGTATGTCTAATAGAATCAATAATTAAAATAATGTACCAAGATTTCATACTAGTTAGTATGTGAAATGAATGTATAAAATAATGAAATATAGAGCAATACCAACAAAACAAAGTTCAGTATAAACTTTATAGAGGAAGGAAAAGATTAGCATCACATGTGTTTTTTTCCTGCCGTAAAGGCATCACATTCTGAGGACCTCTTTGGAACCGCTGTAAAATCGATGATTCGAGATGCTTTTTCGGATGAATCATCTCATTCAACTGGGCATAAATAGCTTGAGAGTAAAAAAAACGTTTCGATAACTAGAGGTTTTCTATTTGTTCAAATATTCTACATCATTTGTCCCTGATCTTTTAGATGAAACAGGCCACAGCCTTTAGGGCTATCCGCCATAATTTTGGGACTTTTGACTTTGACATTGCCCTACATTGATAATCATTAGAATTTTAGGTATTCGCGAAAATCACGAACCAATAGATGGCTCTATTAAACGTCAAATCAACGTCAAATTTCAAACTGAGTATGAACAACAAAAACATTGCCGTATGCACTCATTGCAAATTGGTTATTTCGAAATCATTTTGCAAAATAGTGAATAATAAGTTGACTTCTTAAAGTACGTACAAGGTTACCAGTATGGAAAAAATTACTTTTTGTGCAGAGAAATTGCCATTTTGATGTGGACAATGGTGGTATTCATCATTGATATTACACTACAAGTCCACAGTTTTCAAACATATGGAATGGTCAAAATGGTCGGAATGGTCCACTCAACAATTGCATGGACTGCAAGGTATGAAGAAATAATTGAATTCATCAAGAAATATCACTGGCTTTTATGAAGGAAATGGAATTCTAGTGAAGGGGTTGGAAAAGAAGATATGGTTGGAGAGGCTGCTCAGAATGAACAATATCATCGATTTACATGAACAAGGATCTCCAGCAATTGAGGACTTGAAGTTATTCTCAAGATCGAATCATTGCAACCAACATTCATACAATGATTCTAATTGTGCTTCAGAAAATGTATATAATATTATTATAAGGTAGGTATACTGGTTTCTTCATTGTAAACAATAAAAGTTCATGCAATAATTCGAGTTTTTTCATCAGCAAGAAATGAGGTTCTGGAATGTGCACTTCAACAAGTAAATTATTACCGAATAAAACACATATTTATGAAATTCAAAACAATGGTCGCCATATTTGTTGTTCATACTCGCAAGACTTGTACAGTTAGCCACCAGAGGCCGCACACTTCGTGATTTTCGCGAATTATCCCACTTGAATATTTAAGGTTATGTGTATCGCTAGTGCGACGAGTGGAAAACGTTATAAGTTTAGTTTATTGTAACAGAATTTCACCTGAAGAAGCTACTGTGTTAGCGAACCATGTCGCGTGATTAAGAATTGTGTGGAAATCTTATCGTTTGTGAAGTTCATCACATAAACTTATTAGTAATTATGAGTTACATAACAAAATAAAAAATGAATTGTTAAAAGATGAACGTGGCGGCACCGCAAAGTTTCTTAGACGAACAATAATCGTTGTAGTAAAAGAATAATTTTCAATGATTGATGATAGTGTTTACCTATCTTGTTCATCGCCCACATCTCGTGGATGTTCTCAGCCAGCTTGTCCCTGATGGACTCGACGTACCCGGCCAGGGTGACCATCGAGGTGTCGACGGGATTGGGCACGAACGCGGTGTCGTCCTCGATGAACAGCGGACCGGCGATAACGTTCTTGGCCATGTTGCCGAAGTAGTAGCAGGGTTCCAGCATGAGGACCTGCAGGGAGAAAATCGGTCGAGGTCGGCATACGGTAGAGCTCCTTAACGTATTCGACACTTTTAGATAGATAGATAGATAGATAGAGATAGATATAGATTATTTATTCATTTCTACAGAGTTGCTTTACGCGTCTGAGAAGTAAGTCACAAACATACAGTTTTAAAAAATAGTTCAAAATTTCATAAAATATTTCAATTTGAATTTGTATGGTTTTGACGTTATTATTTATATTGATAGCGAATTTTATCTATTTATTTATTTATTTATTTATTGAACAAATAACTTCCAGACAGAATAGGCTCTGGTATAAGGAAGTACATAATTATATACCTATAGGTAAACATATCATTATACAAAATATATCAACAACTGTAAATTGACAAAGAATAATATTTGTAAAAAAAAATGGCATGTTCAATTCTATCCAGTTCGCTCAGAAATAATCAATTTTTTCACTTCATTTTTGAATGAACCTATATTTCTGCAATTTTTTATATTGTCAGGTAGTTTATTGAATTCAGTTAAGGCTGAATGAGTGAATCTTTTTTGTCCGATAATGGAGCTAGCGGCGTCAAGATGAAACAAGTTATATTGTCTTGTTTCATGATTATGAATTTCAGAATTCCGTATCAACATGAAATTCGACTTCAATTTTTTATTTATGATATTATATGATATTTTGAGAGTTTCAATTCTATATATTTCATCTAAAGAATACGTATTTGTTATTTCAAACAATTAATTGGTTGGTGTATCAAATGGGAGACGATACAATACTTTTAACGATTTTCTATATAATGTTGATATTTTATTGAAATTGTTCTTTGAACAAGTTCTCCAAAGATTTATTAAATAGTTGATACGACTCAGTATATGAGAGTAGAGAATCATGTTTGCAATTTTAATATCAAGTTTGGGACATCTTCTCAATGCACCAATAATTGGAGATATTTTTTTTGTCAGAACATCAATATGTTTGTCCCACTTCAACCTGTTTTGCACTTGCACTACGTTGGTTTTCTTCAAAATATGAACTGGTGTTTTCCCAATGTAATACGAAATAATAATGATGATGATAATATCATTCTTAGAGGTTAGATCGGTTATGAGTGGGTTTGTTTTTGTTTGAAACTTGTTGAATTTATATCGAAATCGTCGTTCTGAAAGTTAAAATGGACAATACTTATCTATCTAACTAAATCAAGAGATAATTACATTATCAATGCTGACAAGTCACAGCAAACAACTTTTTTAAATTGACAAGTAAGTAGTATTTTCAGAGAGGTATTCATTCATCACTACTGCATGACGATGATGAGATTGCCACTAACAATTTGCCTTTCAAACTATTCATATTCAATGATTTCGCCATTTTCAAAACTTCGCACGATCTATTGATTGCACTGATCTCTACTATGTGCACCAGTTCTCCAATGGAATTCATAACCTGCCACCATTTTTACCAACTGAATACAGAAAATGCACTCAGCGACCCAGTTTTAATAATGGAATTCTCTTTGACAAGCACTGACAGTCAGACATAACCACAAATAAATAGATGAAAAAAGTGGGCACTGACAGTACAGGAACAACGAACGTACATGACATCAATTACAAAACGAATATGAGATGCAAGTTCGTGCTGTCACAGTATATTATCCTTGTGGGGCTGTTTCTAACTGTAAAATACTGGGAATTGATTCAGTTTATTCGAATTTGAAATTTTAAAGAAAATTCAAGAGGAAGGATTCTAATTTGCGATGAATGAACATTTTTGCATGTTTCATCAGAAACTAATCAAAGTTCTTCATTCATTTGCTATTTCATCAGGTTGCTTTACGAAAATATGATCGTAGACGTCACAGTGTCGCCATATTGATTTTAAAAAATGTCTCATGCGCCGCCATTTTGAAAACAAAGTCATGATATGTCATTAAGTAGTAACTTTTTTGCTCTATCAAATGGCGTTAAAATGGAAGGTCTCTTTTCAGTAAAACCGGAGGTGATATTCAATTATTTTTTAATGGAAAATGTGAGTTCTGAGGGACTTTAGCTCCGATCCAAATGTCAAAAGTCTTACATAAAAAACAATTGAATGACACCTTGGCCGATGATTTCGTTGTGGCCCGGTATATCCTTTAGCGTAAATATTTGATGTGGTAGGTACTACAACTACATTTCACCTGTTGGGGTAACAAACTCTCCACCAGGGGTGAAAATTCTTCCGGAGGATTGTACTTCAATTTTCCGTGGTCTCCACCCAACAAAAATCGACAGCTGAGTTTCGAAGAACAGCTGATGACAGGGAAGAACATGCCATCTAGATTGAAGTCGCGGAAACTGCCCTTTATCGGAACACCGTTGAAAGTGAAACTTATGATCGGTACGTTCAAGTCTAAGGCACATCCGATAACATCAGCTGCAAACGGTATTTATACATGAAATATTGGTCAATCGTAAACACAGGTAATATTTCTCACCTTTTCTGATGAAAGGTTCTTTGTTACTGTGGATGATCCTGGTACTTCTACCACCGGTCCAGAGATAAGCCCCATCAAAACCGTAGGAATACAAATCGTCACCTACCCCGTTACCACCCCATTTTTCACCACCGCCAGGGTAGGGAACATAACTAAAAATAATGAATATCGTTATTGTTAAAAAAAACAGGAATTTACGGTGAAAATATGTAGGTCAAACTAGAAGATCCAGTGGAACTAGATTCATGGAACATCTTGTACACACGTGATTGGTGAAAAACCAGGATTTTGCGAAAAAAATATAAGAAGGTCAAACTAGATTCAAGGAACATCTTGATCATTTGAAGTTTATTGAATGCAAGTGCAGGAAACATGTTCGACCAAAATCGTGACAAAGGCATTAAGAACTTGAAATTGTCCAAACAAGTTGATAATTTTTGAATATCAGCAGCCTAGAAAAAGGAAGAGTCAGAAAACTCAAAATGCCTTCAACGTCAATATAAGAGATGAAAAGGCATATCTGAAATAATTTTCACTGACTAAATTGGATAAGAAGTCATTTCATGATGAATATGAATATGAACGTACCCTTTGGAGTTAGCCCAACCTATTCTCAAATGAGGCATCATGTGAGTAGTTTGTTCTAAATAATCTACTGTTACTTCAGAATACCATAATGAATATCGTTATTGTTGAAAAAACAGGAATTTACGGAGAAAAATATGTAGGTCAAACTAGAAGATCTGGTGAAACTAGATTCATGGAACATCTTGTACACACGTGATTGTTGAAAAACCAGGATTTATATGTAGGTCAAACTAGATGGTCCGTTGAAACTAGATTCAAGGAACATCTTGAACATTTGAAGGTTATTGAAATCAAGTGCAGGAAACATGTTCGACCATAATCGTGACAAAGGCATTAAGGACTAGAAATTGTCCAAAGAAGTTGATAATTTTTGAATATCAGATGCCTAGAAAGAGGGAGAGTCATAAAACTCAAAATGCTTTCAACGTCAATATAAGAGATAAAAAGGCATATTTGAAAGAATTTTCACTGACTAAATTGGATAAGATGTCATTTAATGATGAATATGAATATGAACTTACCCTTTGGAGTTAGCCCAACCTATTCTCAAATGAGGCATCATGTGAGTAGTTTGTTCTAAATGATCTACTGTTGCTTCAAAATACCATAATTGATATCGTTATTGTTAAAAAAACAGGAATTTACCGAGAAAAATATGTGGGTCAAACTAGAAGATCTGGTGAAACTAGATTCATGGAACATCTTGTACACACGTGTTTGTTGAAAAACCAGGATTTATATATAGGTCAAACTAGATTGTCAGTTGAAACTAGATTCAAGGAACATCTTGAACATTTGAAGGATATTGTATATTATATTATTATAATCGTGACATAATCAGTGACGAGTCAAAAAACTTCACTCATTAATTTGGATAAGATGTCATTTAATGATGAATATGAATATGAACTTACCCTTTGGAGTTAGCCCAACCTATTCTCAAATGAGGCATCATGTGAGTAGTTTGTTCTAAATGATCTACTGTTACTTCAAAATACCATTTCTGATAGATAGCGCTACCGTCTACTCTGCCTATAAATATATTTGGTCGAACGCTAAAACAAAAACATATTAACAACATTTGAGGGTTGATATAAATATATGTTATACCTTGCCACGTGATCCACCAGTTGTGTTTGCAATAACAAATTCTTACCAGGCAACAAGAAATCACAGATATTGTTTTGGGAACTTCTCACTGCAACTCCATTACCCACACAGAGTGAACATAAAACGTCAAGGACCTTTGGATCCCTTCCGTGTTTCTCAAGCAAAGAAATTATCACTTTTATGTGTTCATCCTGAAAAAGAGAATCTTCATGGATAAAAGTAACAGTTATTATGATCACGAGAGCTTCAATTATATCCGGAAATTTTTTCGAGAACATGAATATTTTGAAAATTCTTCCGAGTCGAAGACGAATATTCGTGTTCGAGAAAACTGGTATTCGGTAAGAAAATTTCACACTGAATATTATTGAAAAATTACTTGGATAATGACGATTTTTGATGGTTTTGACATTTGAATAGTAGGCTTTGTTAACTCAAAAGAATAGTCGACCTCGTATTAACGACTAAGTTTAATGTATATGAAATCGTTCATTAATGACCCCTATTAATGAACGATTCGTCTATTAATGCACGATTGTTTTATAGGCAACCAAACATACACCGCGTGCATTCATTGTTTATGCTATAACTTACGGAATTTGCATTTAAATCGAAAATATGGATTTCATCAAAGATTTTCCGTTAACGGGTTCGCCTTTCCAAGTTTCTGACACGATTTCAATCCCTGTTTTCTAACACAAGGAATTTATTTTCTATGTTGATCATTTCGACAAATGTCAAATGTCACTAATGTCAGTAACAAGGCTACTGGGTGATTCTTAGCAGTTTCCGGATGAATGATGAATTCGCAACCAAGTTTTCTTCATTGCAGGAGAAATGAGAAATTTAGTCGACGGAAAAATTTTGTAACCAACTTGTATATTAAAAGACGATTAATGATCTCGAACATTAACATGCTCGCTTCGATCGCACGTTAAAATATCTCGATCATTAATCGCCCTCATTAATACACTAGTTGGTTAAATAACTATTTTTATTCACGTATGTCATTCTTCATGTCAAAACTGAAGAGTAGGTATATTATCATAGTGTTTATATGAAAATGATGGTTGTAAATTTCGAATTTGCAAGTATACCTACATAATATGGTAAACTGTTGAAAAATGATTTTAATTTATTGACTTATAGAATGAACTCGAAATAATCTGAAGTTGAATGTAAATGTCATTCAATCTATAAACGTCAAAAAATTTCCAGTGTAATTTCATGCTCCGTCCCCCAAGGAAGAAAAGTTCCAAGAAATTTGTTTAGTTGCTATGGTAACGATACGAAATACAGGCTTTGAATTGATCGAAAATGTTTGGTGTGAAATTTTCAGTGATATTTTTTGAAGTGATTTTACGACGACGCGAGACATCTGCTTATAGCAATAGCTTACTCTCATCATGTTCAGGGCTTCCGGAGAATCGATCAAGACGCAGTGGAGTACGTCTAACATGCCTGTCCCTTCGCCAGAGGCTTGCGAACCGAGTCTTGAAAACAACCAGTTTAAACGGTTGGAATTGGCGAATTGGGCACAGTTCGTGTGGTTGCCTTTGATGATAGCGGCTGCAAAAACACGAAAATTATTGAAAAAAAAATTTGCGAGAAAACATTTGTTGTTTGTACAGGGTGATTCACCATAAATGTCCCCCCTCTAGCTCCATTATTTTTGAATCGATTTAAAGATTTGAAAAATCATCCATAATGATTTTTCAGAATTTTTTTTCCCGTTGCATCAGAAAATACACGCTGCTCGGAACAAACGATCTACAGAGTACTACTTGATTTTTTCAAATGGAACGGTTTCAAATTCATAAAAATCGATCTTTTTAAAAAGTTTACACATAATACACACACACACATTATATGTTGACAACTACGCATTTCCATACCCACGTACATATATCATGAATTTCTTATTTCATCATGTAAAATCACCCTCTTGATTTTTTGCGCATAATTTCCCCTGAATAATAATTTTTCATAAACTTCACAGAGAAATAAAAATCTCAATATAGAAAACTTCCCCATTCATCAATCAGATCTGAATGTTTTTTTGACGTACCCAATAGCTGGTACAAATAACCACCGATCATCTCCCAGTTTTGATCGCCAGCTAGGGCAGCTAGGAAGCCCTGAGACGTGATGACGTTGATCTTATCAATAGCCTCGAGAATGAGGTTGAGAATACCCTCTTCTTGAAAGAGATCCTGCCTGTTCCTCAATGCTCTGAGTTTATTCTGCTTCTCCTCGTGTTCTATAGAAACAACGGAAATGTTAGAAATGCGCCAGCATAAGCGGAGTTTCTGATTTTACCCATGTCATCTTCAGGCTGAGCAAAGTAATTGATCAAATCTTCCAGGCACATGACCATCTCGTTCAAGTTTACGACGTGGAAAAACATTGAGTGCCTTCTGTTCATCTGGAGTTGTTCCAAGCCACTGAAATAATCATTTATACAGTGCATATATAAAGTAACACATAAATTCTTCATTATTACTTGAATGAACAATAAAATTTAAAACTCCCGAAAGAGGCCGATTTTTGATGTTGAATTAGTATTTTTTCCAATCATCTAATATTCAGGGTGATTCAAATTGGTCCAAGGTGGGCAAAAATGCAAGAATTTACTTACAAAGTGATAAATAAAGAATAAACGTAGTAAAAACATTAAATGAAATTACGTATTGCTATACAAATACTTTGAGGAACTATCAAAAACACCCTGAATTATTTTCAACATTGTATGCATCTAACAGCTTTTACTAGTGATCCAGGTCCGTGAAATATACAAATATTTGTATTTGGCAGTATGTTTCACCATTTTTTCAATTTGACATTGAAGATTTTCAGAAACATTAAAGTACAATTATTTATTGTAATCACGAGAAGGTACGTTCGTGAACTGTTTCACAAAATGCCTTCAATCAAAATAAATAGAACTGAAATATTAATTATGATTGGTATTGGCGATAAGATGCGGACTCAACAAGATTATTCCATGAAATCTACCCAGATCGTGAACCTATTTCACAATCTACGGTAAACAGAATAGAGCATTTTTGCCCACCCTGTACCAATTTGAAGCAACGTATTATATATTTTTGGAATTAGCTCTGTAAGGGCAATCCAGAAATTGAAAAAAAGGGAGGGTTCCATTTAAAAAAAAATGGTGATGAAGTATCATTACTCGAAGGTGGTTCACCCTGTCCATCAGATTATGATTAGAAAAAATAGTGAATTAAAATCAAAACTCGGCCTGTTTGGGGAATTTCTAATTTTATTGTTTATTTAGCCAATAATGAATTTAAGCGTCACATTTATGAACGCACTGTATAGTTTGTTTACCAATATTTCCTTTGAAATATTGCACAAAATGAACCTAGATCACTTCGTTTGAAAATAATCATAGACTTATTTTCAATTTTTTTCTGAATCACTTTGTAATTTTGATAGAAGCAGACGCTTGAGAAAAATGATTTACTTAATGAATTGTGTGAATAGGGAGCTGCATTTTCGGATCACCCTTGCTGTCCTTGATTCCTCTTCTTGGCTCCTACTGAAATCCAAGCCATCGTCCATTTTCCCTTCTTCGTGCAGTATTGCCTGTTTTTCTTCCACCTTACCCACGCCCTTCTTCTTCGTTTCATATGCCTTGAAAATCATTTCATGATGAACAATTTCGGCAATTCCGTTTCTAAATGAATGTGATTGTGAATAAAACGTTGTATTGCGTTTTAGGAACATTTCCTTCGCTTAAGAATATTGTTGCGCGAATAGACTGATATCTAAATCACTTATGAAATAAATAACTATTATCCTTGTGGCCGACCAACTTGGTATTTCATTTTTCTTCGTGATATTATTCATTACCATTGTCTGCTGAATATGCAGAGGAAAAATCTAGTCAGCTGTAGTATATGGTCTGCTCAAACAAGGAAAATTACCTACAGGTTTCTGTGGCCGATACAGTAGTGCCGCCATACGGTCAACTCGAGGAAACACTTATTTCAATTGTTTTCCTGTCAAACCTACATAACCTTGAAAATCGTAAACGAGTTGAGAAGAGGTAGAATCAGTAGGGTCCCTTGATGGAAATTGACGTTAAAGTCATCTTAACAGGGTACGGACAGATCATAGGTGCATTCTTTTTTAATGATCTAGAGACTTTAGTTTTGTCTACTGGCATCCCTGACATTGCTGTCACGTCACATCCATAAGCGCTACAGAAAATCATTCAAAATTTTAATAATAGGTATGTACAGGGTACTTACTTGTTGAGGAAGATCATATGGCGAACAAGTTTTGTAATGATGATTCGATTCTATTCAAAATTGATATCTGGGGGTTTTCGGGGTAGGAGATAATGATTGTTTCGTCAAAACTGGAAAATCCATGATGACGGATCCAATATGGCGAAAGACATCAGTTTATATAATTATTACTCTACCACAAAAAGAAAATATGTAGGATGCAAGAGTGGAAATAACGTGCCTATAAGTTATACTGCGTATACCTACTTGATTGTTACTTTCATCAATAAATTATTTGAAAATTACTTTTTATTCAAGGGAGACGGAAGAATCATATGTATAACATGGGGGTGAAGTATATTCTATTCTTTCACATTTTACGTATTACTTTTTATCAGCCTACTTTTCGCCCTAGACGACGTTTTATACATAGTGTGATATTAGCCACTCCATAAATTCTTCTTCGAGTTGGATTTCCGAAAATATATTTAGCACACATTACATGAGTTCAGTAGTTTAGATACTCACATCGAAGTTTTCACCATTCCTCAATCATAAGGCTTTACTCATTCAGCTCATAGATAAACTACTGCTCAGTTTGAAATCAGAATTCATTCAGTCAATTCAGTCAACCCTGGTATACAGTCTAAGAACAGTCTCTTGAGTTGAAATTTATCAAGCTTTCGGTACAATTAATATGTTTCCTACCTCGCAAAGATTATGCTAGAGTAGTAAACTCTGAAACTAGAGGATTTTTCATCTATATCTTGGTATAGTTGAATCAGGAATTCCATATGGAAGTTACGTATGATACGCCAGTGACCTCAATATAACCTAAAAAACAACTAATGTCAAAAATCTAGTGTTTATCCCCAGAATTGAATAAGGCTGGAACTATATAACTGTTTCACAAACACTTTAGAGTGAAAGGAGACGAGGATCTGTCCGTACCCTGTTAAGATGACTTTAACGTCAATTTCCATCAAGGGACCCTAAGAATCAGTAGTATCGATTATTAGCATTTGATCAGGGCTCTGATTATCTTACTTGTAATGAGCCTATAACACTCGATTTCGAAAGTATTCACTTATGTCGCAAAGAAATATCACCTGGAAATCCATGAATGAAGACGGTTTCACACTTTCTGGTAGGCACAATTGAGAGACAGAGTTTGTAACAAATTATCAATCAGAATAAACTACTTTAATACTGGGAGCACAACACTAAACTATATCTATCGAAAGGAATATTAGAATAAGAAATAGAAGATTTCCCAAATTTTTTAGAATAAAGTGAAGATCATTTCGTCCGATACGGTAACATCCAGACCAGTAGTTACAGTTCACTAGATTTTTTCTCCATATTTAGAAGACAATGTTCATTAAGTTTCATTCTACCTTGTATGATAGCCAGAGTCCAGACTCAGAATGCTGAACAATGACAGTAGAGTCACCATATTTTATAATTGGCGCCCCGATAACCTCCAAATCTTTGTCTTCCAGCACAACTTTCTGATCATCTTTCTCCTGGCGCAAACAAAAAGCTGTCGTCGCTGTATTCGCTTCCTCCCTAAAAGATCACGAAAATCATCCACCAGCCCCGAAAGAAAAATCGTTCACAAAGCTATCATTACTTGCTGATGAGGTAAAGTTCGTTGTTTTCGTTTACGGCCAGATATCGGCCTGTCGTTATGTGCCTTATTCTCATCGGATGGTACCAATTGATGAAGCCTCCGGCCCATTTGGTTCGTGCCAATTCTAGCCTCCAGAGTGATCTGGCCTGTGACATGACGCTACCTCCCTCGTAGATTACGATACTAAAAAACAGTACACAGCGAAATAACCTGATTGTTGCGTATTGGAAAAACTTGATAACATTTTGAATTGACTCAGCCGTTACTTGATGGAAATCCATGGCAAATGTAATAACTTCACAAACGATAAGATTTCCACAAAATTCTTAAACACACGACATGTTTCTCTAACACAGTAGCTTCGTCAGGTGATATACTGGTACAATGAACTAAACCAACCTTGGCTTGCTCAACTTTTATATGTCCTACTTTCCCAACCTGAAGGATTAGTTACCTGTGAACAAGTTCAATGAACCTTCATTTTCGGAAATTAGGCACAATATCTACATTAAAATACGGTGAACCGGATCAACTTGAAAGTGTTGATAGCGAATAAATATTATTATCTAGTAAGAAAACAAATTCAACAGTGGTGAACTGTTGAGGTCTAATTGTTCGTTAAGTAAAATGTCAAAATTTTTGAGTACATCGAACCTGTGCACAGGTAACTAATCCTTCAAGTTGGGAAAGTAGGATATATGAAAGTTAAGCAAGCCAAGGTTGGTTTAGTTCATTGTTGTTGTTGTTCATCACCTGACGAAGCTACTGTGTTAGCGAAATATGTTGTGTGTTTAAGAATTTTGTGGAAATCTTATCGTTTGTGAAGTTTTTACATAAACTTAACAAAAGCCGTCATTCCTACAGGATTCTTACTGATAACACAATATGTAGCTTCTTTCGAGAGTAATTACCAGACTTATGATTTTTTCTTTTAATTGAGTCGGCCGTTACGTTCTAGTTGATCGTTGGGTGAAATGTTGGAATTTTTTCGTTTTTTCATTTCTAATGATTTCAAATGATTGAGTTTCAGTTTTTTATTTTCTACGTGTAACATTTCGAAATTATCATCAAACTATGTTTTTTTTTCAATATATGTTTCACGTCTGTTGATTTTGTTTCTCTTTTAAAACATTCATTTCATGTTCATGAATGCTGTGATTGAACGTTGGACCTGTCTGACCAATATATACACACATAACACTCTCAGAAGCTAGTTCATAAGAAACGCATTACAACATATTGAAACATTTCACTTTTTTCAGAGCAAAGATAGCTCAATTCTGTTTTCACCATTGACTTTTTTGGGTCGAAAAACTGCCTATTTAGGTCACAGAACCAAAATGGAAGCGAAATCTAGACAGATGACAAACATAGATTTCAATCAAGGAAATTGATCAGTAGGTCCTAGGAAAAAAAATGGAACTTTTTTCAGAGCAAAGATAGCTAAATTCTTTTTTCACCATCGACTTTTTTGGGTCGAAAAACTGCATATTGAGGTCACAGAACCAAAGTGGAAGGGATATCCAGACAATATATAGATTTCAATCAGAGAAATTGATCCGTAGTAGGTCCTAGGAAAAAAAAACAAACTTTTTTCAGAGCAAAGATAGCTTAATTCTTCATTCACCTTTGACTTTTTTGGGTCGAAAAACTGCCTATTTAGGTCAAAGAACCAAAATGCAAGCGTTATCTAGACAGATGACAAACATAGATTTCAGTCAAGGAAATTAATATGTAGGTCCTAGGAAAAAAATCGAACTTTTTTCAGAGCAAAGATAGGTCAATTCTGTTTTCACCATTGACTTTTTTGGGTCGAGAAACTGCCTAATAGGATAAAAGAACCAAAATGGAAGCGATATCTAGACAGATGACAAACATATAGATATAAATCAAGTGAATTGATCAATAGGTCCTAGGAAAAAAATCGAACTTTTTTCAGAGCAAATATAGGTCAATTCTGCTTTCACCATTGACTTTTTTGGGTCGAAAAACTGCCTGATAAGATAACAGAACCAAAATGGAAGCGATATCTAGACAGATGACAAACATAGATTTCAATCAAGGAAATTGATCAGTAGGTCCTAGGAAAAAAATCGAACTTTTTTCAGAGCAAAGATAGGTCAATTCTGTTTCCACCAATGACTTTTTTGGGTCGAAAAACTGCCTATTTAGGTCACAGAACGAAAATGTAAGCGATATCTAGGCAGATAACAAACATAGATTTCAATCAAGGAAATTGATCAGTAGGTCCTAGGAAAAAAATCGAACTTTTTTCAGAGCAAAGATAGGTCAATTCTGTTTTCACCATTGACTTTTTTGGGTCGAAAAACTGCCTATTTAGGTCACAGAACCAAAATGGAAGCGTTATCTAGACAGATGACAAACATAGATTTCAATCAAGGAAATTAATAGGTAGGTCCTAGGAAAAAAATCGAACTTTTTTCAGAGCAAAGATAGGTCAATTCTGTTTTCACCATTGACTTTTTTGGGTCGAGAAACTGCCTAATAGGATAAAAGAACCAAAATGGAAGCGATATCTAGGCAGATGACAAACATATAGATTTAAATCAAGTGAATTGATCAATAGGTCCTAGGAAAAAAATCGAACTTTTTTCAGAGCAAATATAGGTCAATTCTGCTTTCACCATTGACTTTTTTGGGTCGAAAAACTGCCTGATAAGATAACAGAACCAAAATGGAAGCGATATCTAGACAGATGACAAACATAGATTTCAATCAAGGAAATTGATCAGTAGGTCCTAGGAAAAAAATCGAACTTTTTTCAGAGCAAAGATAGGTCAATTCTGTTTCCACCAATGACTTTTTTGGGTCGAAAAACTGCCTATTTAGGTCACAGAACGAAAATGTAAGCGATATCTAGGCAGATAACAAACATATATTTCAATCAAGGAAATTGATCAGTAGGTCCTAGGAAAAAAATCGAACTTTTTTCAGAGCAAAGATAGGTCAATTCTGTTTTCACCATTGACTTTTTTGGGTCGAAAAACTGCCTATTTAGGTCACAGAATCAATAGGGAGGCGATATCTAGACAAATGAAAAACATACATTTCAATCAAGGAAATTAATAGGTAGGTCCTAGGAAAAAAAATCGAACTTTTTTCAGAGCAAAGATAGGTCAATTCTGTTTTCACCATTGACTTTTTTGGGTCGAGAAACTGCCTAATAGGATAAAAGAACCAAAATGGAAGCGATATCTAGGCAGATGACAAACATATAGATTTAAATCAAGTGAATTGATCAATAGGTCCTAGGAAAAAAATCGAACTTTTTTCAGAGCAAATATAGGTCAATTCTGCTTTCACCATTGACTTTTTTGGGTCGAAAAACTGCCTAATAAGATAACAGAACCAAAATGGAAGCGATATCTAGACAGATGACAAACATAGATTTCAATCAAGGAAATTGATCAGTAGGTCCTAGGAAAAAAATCGAACTTTTTTCAGAGCAAAGATAGGTCAATTCTGTTTTCACCATTGACTTTTTTGGGTCGAAAAACTGCCTCTTTAGGTCACAGAACCTTGATGGAAGCGTTATCTAGACAGATGACAAACATAGATTTCAATCAAGGAAATTAATAGGTAGGTCCTAGGAAAAAAACGAACTTTTTTCAGAGCAGAGATAGGTCAATTCTGTTTCCACCAATGACTTTTTTGGGTCGAAAAACTGCCTATTTAGGTCACAGAACGAAAATGTAAGCGATATCTAGGCAGATAACAAACATATATTTCAATCAAGGAAATTAATAGGTAGGTCCTAGGAAAAAAAAATGAACTTTTTTCAGAGCAAAGATAAGTCAATTCTGTTTCCACCATTGACTTTTTTGGGTCGAAAAACTGCCTATTTAGGTCACAGAACCAAAATGGAAGCGTTATCTAGACAGATGACAAACATAGATTTCAATCAAGGAAATTAATAGGTAGGTCCTAGAAAAAAAAACGAACTTTTTTCAGAGCAAAGATAGGTCAATTCTGTTTACACCATCGACTTTTTTGGGTCGAAAAACTGCCTATTTAGGTCACAGAACCAGAATGGAAGCGATATCTAGACAGAGGACAAACATAGATTTCAATCAAGGAAATTAATAGGTAGGTCCTAGGAAAAAAAACGAACTTTTTTCAGAGCAAAGATAGGTCAATTCTGTTTACACCATTGACTTTTTTGGGTCGAAAAACTGCCTATTTAGGTCACAGAACCAAAATGGAAGCGTTATCTAGACAGATGACAAACATAGATTTCAATCAAGGAAATTAATAGGTAGGTCCTAGGAAAAAAAACGAACTTTTTTCAGAGCAAAGATAGGTCAATTCTGTTTCCACCATTGACTTTTTTGGGTCGAAAAACTGCCTACTTAGGTCACAAAACCAAAATGGAAGCGTTATCTAGACAGATGACAAACATAGATTTCAATCAAGGAAATTAATAGGTAGGTCCTAGGAAAAAAATCGAACTTTTTTCAGAGCAAAGATAGGTCAATTCTGTTTTCACCATTGACTTTTTTGGGTCGAAAAACTGCCTATTCAGGTTACAGAACCAAAATGGAAGCGTTATCTAGACAGATGACAAACATAGATTTCAATCAAGGAAATTAATAGGTAGGTCCTAGGAAAAAAATCGAACTTTTTTCTGAGCAAAGATAGGTCAATTCTGTATTCACCATTGACTTTTTTGGGTCGAAAAACTGCCTATGTAGGTCACAGAACCAAAATGGAAGCGTTATCTAGACAGATAACAAACATAGATTTCAATCGAGGAAATTGATCAGTAGGTCCTAGGAAAAAAAAACGAACTTTTTTCAGAGCAAAGATAGGTCAATTCTGTTTCCACCATTGACTTTTTTGGGTCGAAAAACTGGCTATTTAGGTCACACAACCAAAATGGAAGCGTTATCTAGACAGATGACAAACATAGATTTCAATCAGGGAAATTAATAGGTAGGTCCTAGGAAAAAAATCGAACTTTTTTCAGAGCAAAAATAGGTCAAATCTGTTTTCACCATTGACTTTGACGGGTCGAAAAACTGCCTATTTAGGTCACAGAACCAAAATGGAAGCGTTATCTAGACAGATGACAAACATAGATTTCAATCAAGGAAATTAATAGGTATATAGGTCCTAGGAAAAAAATCGAACTTTTTTCAGAGCAAAGATAGGTCAATTCTGTT